GCGCGCTAGAGTGCTGGTAGCGCGCCGCGCGGCCTCACCCCCTCAGGTCGCCCCTTGACCTTCACCGGGGGGAGGCCGCTACCTACAGGGGCCGGGACGTACGGGCGTATTCCCGCCTCCGGCCCCCGGCTCGACGGCGACGGATCGGTGCGGAAAGGGAAGAGCTCTCCCTCTCTCGCTCCGCCGCCTCCTTCTGCGAGATGGTGGACTCGCAGAAGTCGAGCATCGCCTTCCAGGACGTGTCGCTGCCGAGCATCGTAGCCACGACGCGCGGCAGCGAGAGGTGCTCTCCTATGACCGCGACGAGGGCGGCGCGTTGCTCTGGATTCGTGCTATGTGATGACGGGTGTCTATAAAAAAAAAATTGTGGAGGTTGTAATCACATATCATCAACATGTCCATACAAGGAAAAAGGCATGAAATGTTTCAAGTGCAACGTATACGGCTATATTTCCACGCAGTGCGCATCGAGTGGGATAGAGAAGTCCGAAGACAACGCAGCGCCGGCGACGAAACTCCGAACGCTCACGGAAACAGACGAGCGATGTTTACGGCAAAAGATGTTTACGGCGAAGCGTCAACGACTCAAGAACAGTTTGAAAATGCGTGTAAAAAACTATTATGGTGAATCAGTGCGTCGTAAAAGCATTAATCGACTCTGGTAGTGAAATTAATTTAATGTCATATGAACTGTATACACATATAGGTGCACCGAGAAGCGATTTTACAAATTCAGTGTTATCGGGATTAGGATGTAGCAAAGTGTTGTGTACTGAAAAGTTGACCACTCACATTGAATTAGACGGACACAGTTATAGTGTTAGTTTTTATATTATACCTAGGAACACTATGCCATGCAGTGTAATCTTAGGTCAGGATTTTCTGAAGGACGTATTTACAATATTTTCCAATGGGTCGGTATTTATTGCCCCAAGCGCTGATAACTGGCTAGGTAAATTTAGTTATTTTTCAGGGTGTCCTGAGAAGTTTATTGTAGGTGACATAAAAAATTATGATTTGAGACGTGAGGTTATAGAATGCGTGAATAGTTACAACCCTGTGCAGACTAAGGAGTGTCCTATCGAGCTGCGTATCGTACTCAAAGATGACATACCAGTGGCACAACGTCCTAGGTGCTTGTCATTAGCAGAACAACAGATTGTTGAAGAACAGGTATCTCAGTGGCTCAAGAATGGGATTATACGAGTAAGTTATTCAGAATATTCTTCCCCGTTTGTATTAATTAAAAAAAAGGACGGCAGTACGAGAGTCTGTGTAGACTACAAACCTATAAACCGGAAAATTCTGAAAGATGAGTTTCCTCTACCCATAGTAGAAGATTTGATCGATAAACTTAAAGATGCTCGTGTATTTAGTGTTTTAGATTTAAAAAATGGATTTTTTCATTTGAAAGTCAGTAAAGATAGTATAAAATATACCACATTTGTAACTCATAATAGATAATATGAATTTTTGAGAGCACCGTTTGAATTATCAGTATGCCCAAAATACTTTATGTGATTTGTGACTATGATATTTCAAGAGCTGATTGCCAAAGGTATACTGGTCATATTTATCGATGATTTATTAATACAAGCACAGGATGAATTTCGGGCTGTGGAGAATTTAAAGGAAGTTTTAGCAGTTGCATCTCAGTATGGGCTGCAGATCAACTGGAAGAAGGCACAGTTACTTTGTCGTCGTATCGAGTACCTTGAACACATAATTGAAAATGGTACAGTGCAACCATCTAAGGAGAAGACTGAAGTCATTGCCAGGTACCCTGAACCAAAGACATTAAAACAGCATCACAGTTTTATTGGATTAACATCATATTTCAGTAAGTATATTAAAGACTACGCTTTAATAGCCAAGCCTTTGATAGATTTGTTGAAAAAGGATCAAAATTTCGAATTTAATGATGTTCATAAGAAAGCATTTCATATTTTATTAGCCCAGTTTTAAGAATTTATGACCCTCAGTTGAATACAGAATTGCACACTGATGCTTCTGTTATAGCCTACAGTGCTATATTATTACAAAGAGACAACCAAGGTGAATTACATCCAGTACATTATTACAGTCGCAAAGTCAGTGATGCTAAGAAGAAGTACAGCAGCTATGAGCTAGAAGCATTGGCTATAGTTGAGGGAGTGAAGTAGTTTCGGCATTATCTGTATGGTAAGCATTTTAAGATTGTGACTGATTGTCAAGCTTTCCAGAAAACATTAAGTAAAAAGGACCTAACAACTAGAGTAGCCAGGTGAGTGTTATTACTGGAGGAGTATGATTATATAATTGAGCATCGACCAGGTTTGAGCAGAAACCCATTTGTTGGAACCGTAGAACTAAGCCTATCTGAGCAGATTAAGCAACCACAGTTGTCGGATGAAGGTATCAGAGCTATTGTGGAAGTATTGAAGTTTCACACTGATGAAGACTACACCTACAGTGATGGTTTGTTATACAAGGGTGCTGAAAGACAGCTAGTAATTCCAAAAAATTTAGAAATGGAAATATTAAAAAGGGTTCATGAAAAAGGTCATTTTGGTAAGAGAAAAATGTTGGAAATTTTAGGAAGAGATTATTACATCAGGAATATTACTAAGAAGATTGAAGAATTTCTATTAACATGCATTCCGCGTCTATTGGCAACTAAAAAGGAGGGTAAACAGGAAGGTTTTCTAAACTGCATTGATAAAGAGAGCATTCCTTTGCATACTATTCATTGTGATCATGTGGGACCTCTTTCAGAAACAAGAAAAATGTATAACTATATTTCAACTATAGTAGATGTATTCACAAAGTTTGTCTGGCTATTTCCAGTGAAAGGAACCACCAGTAAAGAGACAACTGATAAGTTAATAATCCATCAGCAGACATTTGGTAACCCTATGCAGATAATCTCAGATCGAGGTACAGCATTTACAAGTAATGATTTCAAAGAGTACTGTGACAGACAGAATATTCAGCATATAATGATAACCACAGGCGTACCAAGAGGGAATGGTCAGGTAGAACGTATTCACAGAATTATTATTGCTGTATTAACATTAAACAATGAAATGAAATAACAATGAAACGTAACAACCTGCAAACATTTTACTAATGCCGCATCTATGCGAACTAGCTCCTTGTGGCGCTAATATCTACCCGCCACCGAGCGGCCGGCGGCTGTACGAGGCGATTCGTTGTACTTACCTCGCTTCTGTGGTAATCTACCCTGTTTATACATTTTAGTTTTTGTTAAATAATTGTCATAGCAGCGCATGTTGTTACTATAAATTATTGTCATGTACTGCACGATCTGAATTAATTATAACTATTTTAATGTTCTCATTTAAGTGAATTTATGTAATTCTTTTGAGAATAAAGAATATCTTTAACCCGAAATGTAATATTTTGTTTATTTTTAATTGTAACAGTATTTATGGCCAGACTAAGTATACATAAAAACACTCACACTCGCTATAGTATAGGCTGGCGGCCCAGGCGCATTACCTTTTTACCTATGCTGATAGCCTTGAGAAGCTATTTCAGCTTCACCCTAACGTGTGTAGGTGAGCTAACGGGGTTCAAACCGGAGAGTTGCTAACACTGACCCTAGCAAGAGTAGTGCTTGGCAGAATCTACCACCGGATCGGAAACGCGACCCACTGAGAAGATCCGGCGAGAAACTCAGTGGGCTGTGTCTAGGGGTTAATTCGCTCATCGAGCCCTTCGTCGCAAGCGACGGGTTCGACGAGAACGGTGACCGGTACTTGTGGTGCCTAAAAGCACCGTTAATGGATCGGGAGGATCCGTAATGACGTGCTTTGGGCGACGTCGACTGTTTATCATTCGGTCTACAGGATCGGGTATGTAGTTTCCAGCGGCCACGACAAGAGTTCTCATGTCGTGCCGCCTTCTCGAAATGGGGCGCATTACCTCACGAACAAAGCAAAACCATGCAAATTTCATACCCCACATCAGATAACAAACATTTGTAAACATTTGAGTTATAAGTACATAAAAAACATAATAATATAGGTAGTTTTACAGTCCACTGCATTTTCCGTAAAGAACTTACTTAATGTAGGGTGCGGTGTGAGTTTGTTATTTAAAGATTATGTGGCTTAAAAATGTTTATTGTTAAAATATAAAGTAAATCAATTAAATGTTAATGTCATGAATGCACCCGGGTGACACGGTTGTTGATCGTGCACTAACGATTTGTGGAAATAAAGTTAATGCGTCGCGCGAATTATGCTGACAAAGGTGTTCGGTAATATATCATCGAACATATTCCGGGGCAACAAAATAGAGGATACTTTAATGAAATAATTGTTAGTAAAGAGATGATTACAGCTTACAAGAGGATGAAAGACAAACAGCACTAAAATTAAAATGTTGGTATAATAAAATTTAAGAACTTAAAGTCCATATAGGTTTTTTTTGGTATTGGAGAGCACGCTTTGTTTGACATTTTGGCATAAATGTTTACATCACTATGCGGAGGGTCCACCACAGAAGGTCGCGCACAGCACTATTTACATTCTCACAATCACTACACTGTTGAACCTCGATGCCGTCAGAGATGATCGCCCGGTTTACGCTCAACCGTCGTCGTCGCCAGAGTAACACGCCGGTAGCCAACACTCCTACAATAAAGATGATGTATGTTACCACATATTGATAAATATCGTGAGATGTTAATGATTTTCTAGATCTTCAATACGCACGTGTAGTTTGTGGAGAGCGTTCTTCAAATCTTTAGACTCGCTGAAATTAAGGTTCTCAGTGTTGAGAAGAGAGCTGTTTATGATGTTACTCATCGAATCTATATTATTGTGGTTGTATGTAAGAAATATCTACAGGAACTATTACACTAAGATGTCCGTCTATTAAACTCTATTATTTTGAGTGACCCGATAGGGTCAAAGTATATACCAGATGTATTCATTGAGGGATGATGATGTGGGAGGGATGATTGAATCACAATTTATTCAAGTTATAGAAAAATACCAAACTAAATTATCTAAATTAATCAAACAAAATATTTTGGTAACTACATCAACCATCTCTTCTTTTAAAGATACTTTAAATAAAATTAATATCAATGAACAACAGCTAAACAATGCAATTGATACTCTAATGCATGCACAACAAAACTCCACATTACTTTCCGACAATCTACTTCAAAGGTCAAAACTTAACGAAATATTGAACGTTCTAGAGAGCAGTTTGTTAACACTATCGTTTAAATTACAAGATATTATTAACGCAATTATGTTCAGCAAGTCAAATATTTTATATCCGTCTATAATAACCCCGAAACAATTGTTTTNAACTCCACATTACTTTCCGACAATCTACTTCAAAGGTCAAAACTTAACGAAATATTGAACGTTCTAGAGAGCAGTTTGTTAACACTATCGTTTAAATTACAAGATATTATTAACGCAATTATGTTCAGCAAGTCAAATATTTTATATCCGTCTATAATAACCCCGAAACAATTGTTTTCAGAGCTTGTAGACAATTATATATTTTTGGCTGATTATCACCAATTCCCCATAAGTTTGTCATTAGATAATATTTATACACTAATGAATGTATCTGAAATCGCTACCTATTATAATAACAATAAAATTGTATTTGTTCTAAAAGTACCACTTGTCGATTCAAAAGATTATCACTTATACCATAGTATTCCATATCCAGTCATTATTTCTAACAAAACTTACGCAACTATCATTCCATCAACTAAATATATCGCCATCACTAGAAATAGAAATCATTATTGTAAGTTGAATAGTTTAATTAGTTGTAAGGTAATATATAATTTAAACTACATTTGTGAAAACATAGATGCCTATTTCAGTTCTAGATCCCCGATCTGCGAATCGGAAATTATTTCTAAAGCCTTAAACTCTGTACCTAATGTTTGTAAAACTAATTTTCTTGGAGGTCATTTAGATATTTTGCAACCACTGTCCAATAATAGGTGGGTCTTTGTAATTACAGAACCTTATAAACTCTCCATAGATTGTCAAGACCAACCCAGTACAGAGATAATAATAGTAGGTACAGGCATCGTTAACCTTCCCATACATTGTGTAGCATTTTATAAAGATTCAAGGTTAATACCAAAATATTCAAAGATAATAAAATTTCAACCAATTATTGTAAATTTCAACCTTTTAAACGACTCTTGCTGTAATTCTGTAACTCTATACAAAACTAAATTGCCTTTATTAAATTTATCTAACTTTAACCTTGATTCTATCACCTCCCAACAACATACACAGATAAATAATATTGTAAAAAGTTTAGATACGATTAATGAAAAGCCGCATATTGTTCTATACGGCGAATATTATTCATATACAACCATAATTATTTCTATTATAGTTATTATTTTTATTTTAGCTCTTTTTTATAATGTTGTAAAATCGGGCACGTGTCACCGTCTTTTAAAATTCAAAACTAAATTAAATATTGAAAAAACCGAAGAATTATCGGAAGTCGCCGCCGTCTCCCCTAGTGTGCCAAAACTCCGTACATCTTTTTCCTAAACTTAACCCTTTTGGGGTAAGTTTACTCTCGGCTCCGGGGCTGTTATAAATGGTTCCCGTATACAATAGTGCTAAGGAACCCCATTACAAATCACAAAGTCAGCAGTTTTATTATCTCTTTATAATTACTCGTATAATTTAAATCAGTTTGAAACCATCATCCGCGCGCGTGACACTTGCCCTAAATTGAGCCCAATTTATTGTAATTTAATAAAATAAATCTATTCTTTCTTAATTTAATTTTTTTAAAAAGGCCTTCGGCCAAATCCCTGTAACAGAACGTAAATGTTAGACTGAATCTCCAGCTTATTGTTGTTTGTTATTAGGGATCATATGTCCTAATTCAGCATATTCGTTCATGAATGTTTTATATTTTAGTGCCAAATCCTTCTGAAATCCTTCTGTTTATGAAACTTATGTTCTAAATTTTTCAGTTGAGCAATCGCTATTGGTTTGATTTACCTAAATTATGTTTTAAATCCTCCTTTAGAGGCAATCTCACTTCATATCGACCATTTTCGATGCGTTTTGTTGTTGAGCAATAAAAGTTTATACATTCTTGATCTTCTACGGAAATGTTCGTAGATTCGTTGATTTTGTGCCGGCTCATGTCAACGTCGAATCAGTCCAGCACGGAGTCCGGCACGGCACTCGGACACGTATACAATAAATAGTTATGAGTGATATGACTTTCCTTTGAGACTAACCCACCCGTAACTCCGCACAGTGGTGACCCCGTGCCGTGTCGATAAATTAAATAGTTACAAATAGTGAAAAATATAACAATAATATAATACAAAAAAAAATCATACGAATCGGACATTATTAAAAGTGAAGTGGAGCAGATTACGGTTACATCGAGAACAGCCGAGTTCTGGGAAGATCAACCCAGGACGTGGTTCATACATGCCCAGCTGCATCGGAGCACGTAACTACCGCCTTAGTATAAGGAATAGAAATAGCAATTTAAATTTTTTAATAGACACTGGTGCCAATATCACTGTTTTACCACGTACAGTAATAAGAAAAAAAGCTTTTTCTGATAATAGTTCTAAGTATACATTGTATGCAGCAAATGGCACCGTCATTAAAACTTATGGTACTAAAAATTTGGAATTAGATTTAGGTTTAAGAAGATCTTTTCACTGGACATTTGTTATTGCAGATGTAAGTCAGCCTATTTTAGGAGCTGATTTTTTGAAAACTTACCATTTATTAGTCGATTTAAGTTCTCGTAAACTAACTGATCAAATAATTAATCTTAACGTTTCATCCTTATTTGTAAATACACATCATATACATAGTGTTAAAACTATAGATATAAGCCACCCGTTTTATGATTTGCTATCGAAAATCCGGATATCACCAAGCCGGTTTCTTTTAAAGAGCCACCGAAACATTCGGTTTACCATCATATCGAGACTTTCGGACCGCCCGTCTCGGACACGCTCGTGCGAAACCGTTGCCACCACATCGTTATGCCAAGGTTAAAGAAGAGATAAGACTTATACAACAGTTGGGGGATTTGTAGACCGTCGAAAAGCGCGTGGGCAAGCCCATTGCATGTTGTTGCTACAATATACGTCCTTGTGGCGATTATAGGGCGCTTAACGCAATCACTAAACCCGATACCTAGATCGTACGATTTTACTTATATTTTAGCTAATAAAAAAGTTTTTTCCTGAATAGACATCAATAGAGCGTATCATTTTATAATGGTCGCTCCAGAGGATGAAAACCGCTATAATTACACCTTTCGGTCTTTTCGAATTTCTTTTCAACGGTTTCACACTGTTTTAGACGGTTTAGATTATTTATTGTTGCAATTGATGTGACAATAAAAACCAGCAGCGTAACGACAAGTTCTTTTATTTGTGAAAGCAGGTAGAAATGGCTGGCACGGCTTAGTTTTATTAACACTATCCCCCCTTCGTTGGCTTTGGCTGTGGCGGAAGGGGGCGTGTTAATATGGCTTGGCGGCTTGGCTGGCGGCAGGGCATGACAGCTGACGTCACGTCCGTTACATTCGGCCATCCTGCAACAATTGCTCCCGCAATGGGGCACACACAAAAACATTTAGTTCTCAAATAAATCAATAAGGTATTCAGTTTCGAGCTGCTCATCGGAACTACTAGCGCTATCGGACACATGGGCTATACTTTTATAGGGCCTTAATGAATCTGTTGATACCAGGCCAGTGAAGTTTTTATAACTTCGTAAACCTTTTAGATATACTTCTAATTCGATACAGATTGTTACCTACTACTTTAGTTACTACATACGGACCTGAGTACAAATCGTCTAATTTGGTATTAATCCTAGCGGCGCTACTAACCAGTTGGCGCCCGTCTCTACGATACAAAATGCCTTTTCTTATAAACATGAGCATTTTTTTTATATTAATGTTGTGTGTCATTATTGTACTCGCTTGTTTTATCCTAGCTGCAGCTATCTTACGCCGTGCGTCAACAGTTTCTGGTTCGCGACCAGGAATCGAAACATTACATATTGACCTGCCAGAGCGCGCAAAGATTAAATCACAAGGCTTGTATGTTTAGTTTGTTCAATCTGGCCAATTAGCGCGCGGACAAGCAATATCGTTTAACGTATGTCCAAACTGTTTATCTTCTGATATTTTTTTTAAAGTACCTACTCGTAAAAGCTTTCCCGTAGTCTGTCACCACGTGATTCGGGTATCTGGACAAACCCTATTCATATATTTTTCAATGCACGAATGGTCCCGATTGAATTTACAGTACGCGTTAGTTCAGCTATCACAAATTTAGACAACGCATCTTTCATTACGATCATGTACTGGTTGGTGCCCTTTAGATGTCCTACAGAAAGGCATCATGTTATCTATTTGTACCATGCGCATAGTATCAGATGGTTTAGAGATCGGATATAGACAGTCTTCTTTTTTTAACATAGTTATCCTTCTCGTGTGTACAATAAAGACATGCTGCCACGTATTTCCTAATAAAGCGTGTCATTTTAAGAAACCAATATTGGCTTTTAATCAAAGCTAAATGATGGTTTAGATCCACGTGACAAATGTCGTCATATGCATTTGTCCAATTTTCCATTTAGCCGAAGGGACTGCGAGTCTATTTCCGTTAAAAGTTTTTCGAACTAGTTCATAATTATCTTTAACATCAGCGCGACTTCGTCCGCGTGGAATATAGTTCATAAATAATGCTTTATTTTAGAACAAATTTGGTTAGCATAAAAAAACGTTATAGTGAGCCAACCTTAACATATATATATGCTATCGCGGACATTTTTTTTAAAGGGGGACAATTCTGTCACATTATTTTAGCGAAACTTTAACCGCTTCTGCAGCGCAGGCACCGGAAGCTCTCAAAAGGGAAAATAACCCGATTTTGAAACATTATTTACTGGTACTTCGCTAGCGTGACACAGTGATGGTCTTAGCGGTCTTAGCGTTATATAGCCTATAACCTTTCTCAATAAATGGGTTATTTAACACTGAAAGAATTTTTCAAATCGGACCAGCAGTTCTTGAGATTAGCGCGTTCAAACAAACTCTTCAGCTTTATAATGTTAGTATAGATTGCTTTATAATCGAACTAAGCTTTTCGTCCTGATATTGCATAGTACAGAATCAATCAGTAACTTTAAGACGATTTACGTTCATCATGTCAACAGGATGCCTATTAAGCGCGTCTACAAATGTTCCATACGTTCACCAGGTCTATACTCAACACTAATGTCATAATCTTTTTTCAAAACTCACCATCGCGCAATGCGTGGTATAATGTCGCATTTGGTAGGCGTAGCAAAAACCACAGTACAATCAGTTTCTACTATATTATGCTTACCTACTTCATAAACACAGAACCTACGAAGCGATTGTACGACTGCTAGGTTTTGAGCTCTTAACTATGATACACACTCTTCCTTACTAGTTACCCGGCTAAAATACATAACAGGCCGCAGTGAGTTGTGAGTTTGTTTTTGTAATAGCATATTAGCAATTCCTAATATACACGCATCGGTATGTATTTCCATAGGAAGCATAGGATCATACAAAGCTAGCGTAGGTTTGGAACATAACGGTTTTTCAGTTGTTCACGGCCCCACTCCCATGATTTATCTTTTTATTATTAATTCAGCTAATGGATGCGCAATCACGGCAAATTTGAGAACAAGCTTTCTAAAGTAACTACATAACCAATAACGGTCGCACACTATGAGCATTATTTGGCACAGGAAACTGCGAAACGGCCGTCAATTTTTGTTGCACCCGGCTGTATACCGTCTGAAGATATAGATATTTCATGACCTCAATAAGTGACTTGTTTCTCCAAGAATGAGCATTTACTCATATTAAATTTTAAGTTTCCACTATCGAATTTACCAAGTACTTTCTCAATAATTATTGAACCTAATTTTATACCAACTGAGGGTAGAGGTAAATCGTTTAAAATGGCTAGTATCTCAATTTGACCTAAATTACTTTCATTATTTTTACCCATTTCGTTTCTACCCACAGACTCAATTATTTTATTTATTAAACGCATTTAACTACCCCACCTAGTGGAAGGTGGCGAAAAAGAAGAAACGCATGAATACAGATGGCGCATTTGCTAAACCAAAAGGAATTCTAGTGTACTCGAAATAATGACCTTGCGGTGTAATGAAAGCAGTTGTGTGTCTGGCACAATGCTTAATTGATGGTAGCCCTGGGCTAAATCTAAACTCGTGAAGTACTGTTCGGTGGATACTTTATATTTTACCATAGCGTTTAACGCACGATAATCAACGCATAGCCTACTGTCGCCGTTCTTTTTCTTAATAAGACCACTGCTGAAGCATGACTAGATTCAGATTATTTTATAATGTCGGCATCTAAAAGTTGATTAGCTTTAGATTTAACTATCGTTTGTTCATTATGAGAAAGTCTAAAGGTGGCGATACACGGGCTGATCACTAGTGAGCTTAATTTGCATTTGGACTAAATTGGCAATACCTAAATCATGTGTATTCGTAACAAAGCAATGCTTATACTGTATTTTTTAAATCTGAATGACCCTTATTATTTAATGGCTCCTTTTAATTTTTTTTTCTACCCTAAAATCTCGAAATATTTGTAATGGCATGGCTAGGGCAAGTAGAAATGCAACACTCCTGGCTGTTTGGCTGTGGCTCCTCGCAGCTGTTGGCCCTCGGCAGGACCTCGCCCGGCGGCCACATGATGGTCTCCGAGCCCATGTTGATGACTTTGATGTAGCTGTCTTCGCCGCGCAGTAGCGTCGCAGGCAGGGAGAAGGAAGCTCGTAGCCGTGAATCTCGTGAAGTGCCGTGAAGCTCGTAGTGCCGCAGTGGATTAACCACATTGCTGCTCTTCTAGTTTCCCTCCACGTGAACCAGAATGATGGAAGGACAGGGCGGCAGACGCTCTTGGTCCGACGACGTCGAAGTCCCTTTGATTTGATTGTTCCAGGTTCTTCATCCTGTAGCTCAAATATCGCCTTGTGGACCTCCTTCTGAAGCAATTTTTCAACACCTTCCTCGCCAGTGGAATAGGAGCTTCATCTTCTTCAAACTTGTCAGAAGACCGAGAGATCTGAGCGTGTATATGACGTTGTTTCATTTCTTTATGCCACTTCTGATTGTTGCAATTGATGTGACAATAAAAACCAGCAGCGTAACGACAAGTTCTTTTATTTGTGCGAGAAAGCAGAAAGCAGGTAGAAATGGCTGGCACGGCTTAGTTTTATTAACACTATCCCCCCTTCGTTGGCTTTGGCTGGCGGCGGCGGCGGTGGATGTGGCGGAAGGGGGCGTGTTAATATGGCTTGGCGGCTTGGCTGGCGGCAGGGCATGACAGCTGACGTCACGTCCGTTACATTATACACCTTTATTGATGGCGTAGTTATTGCAAGTGACAATTTAGTACAGCATAGACAACACTTGGAAGAGGTTTTTGAAAGATTTAATAAATTTGGCATTACAATTAATTGAAATAAATGCTCGTTGGTAAAAATAAACTTTCACATCAAGTCACCAAAGCAGCGGAAAGCGATAATAAACCGCTCGCTTATGTTACGCGTTCCGGCCGTATTAGTAAAAAGCCCGTACGTTTCAATATATAAAATCATGTACAGTATTAATAACTAAATAATTTACAAGTCATTTTTCATTTTAACAATAACATTTTTATACTCGTACTAGTAAAATGGGTAAAACTATATCAAAAGAGGAGATCGTCGTTGCCCAGAGTGGAGCAAATGCAAGTCTTCAAGATGCCACCTGGCATAATTATTTTAGTTGGTGGATAGTCGGAATTTTAGTGATAGGCATAATAGTGTACTTCACATGCCGAAGCTGTACCTTTCAAGAAAAAATGGTTAAATAAGCATGTGCAAAATATCCATGCACAGGCTATAGAGACCATGCAAGCGGCAAGAGGAAGCATGCGTAGAAGCAGACCAGAGACCAGCGCCGCGAAAGCCACTACTAAAATTGACATCATTTAAATAGTATGTTCGCAAACGCATTTTTACCTTTTAAGGTTCGTGGACATTTCGGCAGCAAATCAAACCATTTTTATGTTTAATTTTAATAGGTGTCTGTGTTTTTGTTTTGTTGGTATGTTTACTGTCATGTTAATTTTTATAATTTTTTTTAATTTTTTGTATAATTCTCTTTTAATGTTATATCCCTTAAATGCATGATTTTATTTTTAGACCGAGAAAAAATATATTTTGGAGCCATGAATATGCTGATTTAGGGAAAAAAAATAAAAAAAATAGTTTTTTTTATTTTCATAGCTATTTTTATTAAAAACCATTTGTTGCAGAACTACAACACTATGCACTCACTAGACAATAACTACATATGAAAATTTTTAAAACAATTTTTGGTTGTGGTAAGACAAAGAGCTACTCCACACTTCTCACACCTGTTTTGCGTGTATCCCTTGCATCCAGGCATTTTGCATCTGCTGCGAACACAATTACCAGGCCAGTGACCAACATTATCAGTCCTTATGTCCTTAGGAGGAATATGTTGAGCTGGTCCTCTCCTTTTTTTTGCTTGTATTTCCATTTCAACACTGTTGCTGGTACTTGGCCTTCCTCTTTTGTTGCAGAGTTCAAATGAGTTATTTACTTTGGCTAATACCTCAGCTAGTTCCAGTCTATAGTTACATAGGTTTAGAACTGATGAATTGGCTTCAGTTGTTTTTAAATTTTTATACACAAGCCAAGAATTTATTACCGTCATGTCCAATAAGTGGTAAAAGATACGAAGATACCACTTTCGGCTTCTCATTGCAATTCGGTACCTCCCAATAAAGCTATCCATTAGGTCCACTCCGCCCATATGGGCATTATATTCCTTTATTATATGTGGGCATGAAATTTTAATTCTAGTCTTCTTTGCCTTGTCAAATCTTTCTACTTGGCCCACAGGTTCAGCTCCAACATATGAAGATAGAAAAGTTACAACTTTATTGTCCTTCCAAGTAACTGCTGTCAAATCAATACCGTCAAATTCAGTCATCTGCTCTTCATAAGTTCCACGAGGAACAGATTTCTTCATCATTGTTTTTTTGTCCGGCAGTTTGCAGTTCACTAGCCTGTTAGATTGCACAGTACCTAGGCTATAGATTCCTTGTTTGGCAAGATAGGTAACTAAAGGTACAGAGGTGTAAAAATTATCAAAATAAATTATATGATTTATATGCCTTGGGACACCTCTAGCAAGCCGGACTACAATATTTCCCACTGGCCCAAAATCTGGTTCATCTGGAAGCCGTTCATTCTCTTGGCCAGTATATATTTCAAATTTATGAGCATAACCTTTCACGCTGCACATCACATATAATTTAAACCCCCACTTATGGGGCTTATTAGGTAAATACTGCTTCATGAAGTGTGCCACTTTTGTGGCACACATCTGTTCATCAATTGAGAGTTTTTGTTCCATAGGAACTAAAGCAAATTTCTCATTTAGATGGCTAATTATAGGCCTTATCTTATGGAGCCTATCATGTTGTGGGTGTTCCTTGGGTAAATGTTTCTCGTTATTGTTGAAATGTAGAAATCTACGAATAGTCTCAAATCGGTTGACAGTCATTATGTCCTTGATTGGTTGAAAACCTACAGTATTTGACCAGTATAGCCGTACATTGGGATATTTTATAACAGACATGTATATCAGTATCGCCATAAACTTTCTTAGCTCAGTTTCAGATAAATTTAATGGTTTAGTCACATTTTTTTGAACGGAATACAAATTAGACTCTTCCACAATCCTTTGAACTATTTCTGATGTAATAAAATGTGAAAAAATACTATAGGGAGTACCAGTAGTAGCCTCATCCTTCAGTTCAGGTGGGTATGTAGTGTCTCCATGAAAAGCTGTCTGGTCAGAATTCAAAACAATTTTTTTTACCTTCCATACGAGTCCTCTCATAGTTGCTCGGCGACTAGATTGACTTGTTGAGGGGAATGGAACCTGTGGCACTGCTGTATCATTTGCTGTAGCTTCATTTATCAATGGCGGGTCTCCTGCCATGAATGGATCATTATCGGGGTCATCATTTTCCTCTTCTAATGGACTCTCAAGATCGTGAAGCAAATCGTCTCCATTTTCATAAAAATTCTCATTACCTTCTGTATCCGAGTCCTCAAGATCATCTTCCGAAATCTCTCCATCATTTATTAGAGCTAAATACTCTTCTATTTGCTTTTGATTCAAGTATGACATCTGAAAACCAATAAAAGTGATAGTTAGTAACTAAACAGGGACATTTTGTAGTAAATGCATATTGTTGCAGATTTACAACAACAAAATAAACAAAATTTCCGAACACACCAAAAGTTTTTTTTATAACTTATAAATTGTACTGAAAAGAAGATGAATTATTACGTAAAATAACTAATTTTGTTTGAACGTACCTTCGAAAACCAAATAATTACACTGCAAAGCAAATACACAATTTTCATCCGCTCCAAAATTACGATCGGCTTTGATTTGTCAATGTCAATTTAAATTTGACAGTCGTGAAGAAAAAAAGTGTGTTGCCACTCGATTAAATATATCACCATGATAGTAATAATCCTGCAACAGCATGCATTGAACTCATACTAATAATTTTATGGTCGTTTGAATGGTATGTTGCAGTTTTACTACTTTATGCATTTAAGGGTTAATATAATTTGGTGTGAAAGTGTAACAGGTGGTTCGAGTTGACACTGCTGAAAGTGCAAATAAGGATGGGGAAATATTTATTACGCCAAGCTATTTTGTTCTCTAAGGTGGTTGAATTAAAACCGACTTCATCACTATTCGGAAATATTATTAGTAGAAAACTACACACTGATGAGGTATGTAGGGCTGAATTAAAATTTTTGAAATACATTAGATGTAAATATTTTTCTTCTACATTGAACAGTAGTAATGAACGGGAACCGTCTTCTTCAATAATCACCGGAAATGATAACATTAATGACCAATCAAAATAAAGGTCAATGTTTTTCTTCGATAATGGTAATATTTGGAAATACGATCGATAAATTACATATTGTCTGTGAGGACTGATAAATTATTTCGACAAAATTTTGTAGCATTTAAGTGTTAATTAACGGTGGAATAAAGTAAAATACAATTTTACAATGAGTTAGCATTATTGAAGCATACAGTGGAGGACGCGGAAAATGGAATTCATTTCGAATTTTTTTTCGTTTACCAACAACTCATTTATTTAATGTTTTGATTTTTAGATTCCTGTTAAAGAAATCGAAATACCAGTGCAATGGGGCCGCCTGTCAGCAAAATTATGGGGTACAGACCAACGCAGACCGATATTAGCTTTACATGGATGGCAAGATAATGCAGGCACCTGGGATCCAATTGCGCCTATGTTATGTAAAAACCGCTCCATATTAGCCCTTGATTTTCCGGGTCATGGACATTCAAGCTGGATCCCTCCAGGTAAGGAACTAATAATTACAATTCCAATATATCCAGAACAAAAATCAAAAGCGTGGTCATTATTTTTCGGTAAATATAAAAATAAATTTTAATTATTCAATTGAATTTTAAACAGTTTTTATAATATTTGGGACTTGTTATTACGACATTAACAATTTTCACACCCGTTTCTTCACAGGTATGCAGTACTATTCTTGGGAACTACCACGACTCATCATGTACCTGAAAAACTATTTTAAATGGGATAAGGTTTCATTATTGTGTCACTCTATGGGCTCTATAGCGGGTATGCGTTACGCGAGCGTGTGCCCTGACGATGTCGACATTTATATTGCAATAGACAGCCTTATTTACGACGACTACGATTTACATTTAGTGGTTGACAAATATCCAAAAATTTTGGAGAAGAGCCTGTTCGCACAAACACGCTTAGAAGAAGAACCACCGTCTTACACGTTAGAAGAAATAACAAAGCTATGGCACTTAGGAACAACAAAGTCAGTTGCGCTTGAAAGTGTACAGCATTTGTTGAAGAGAGGGGCAAAAGAATCAAAACGCTATCCAAATAAATACTATATCTCGCGAGATGCCAGATTGAAGTACACGTTGTTTAATCCTGAAAGCAAAAAATTTGTAGAGGCTCTGATTAAGAGACTGAAAGCTCCAACACTGTACATCAAAGCGATAGACTCGCCTTATGCGTCAGATGCTTTTTCTGTGGAAATGCGGGAAATAATCGAAACAAACAATGATAAATTCGAGTGTCACTTTATCCCTGGCACGCATCACGTACACCTCAACAGTCCAGAAACAGTGGCACCTTTAATACAATCTTTTCTAAAAAAATATAATGTACCAATTTAAAAATCTCCAAATGTGAATTTGTATGTAGACTTAACATATTTATTTGACGCCGAGTACATTATTCTTTTAGTAATAAAATGCGGGTATGCAGGTTAGTCAATTTCAATAGATTAAATTAGGAAAATCTACATGTTATATTTTTGTTAAATGTTAATTAATTTATTATTTATAAATTTTATTACAAGTAACTACTTCGTATGATAAACTACAAGAGAACGATTTTTGTTTTTACCTCGTATGGTTGATATATTTATTAATTATTTGACGTTACTCATAGCATACTAAGAAACATGCTTTGATATACAATTCCAAAATTCATTGAAGAGTAATTCGTTATATTTGCATATGGTCCTGGACAATATATGGTTTAAATAAGTCTTTTAAAAATAAGTTTTCATGTGCGGTCATGATCAGCTAAGATAGCCGCCTATCACGAGACACCGTCAACTAATTTATGATTGTTGTAGCATGTTGGTTTTAGGGTTTTAAGTACCTGGATGTGAAAATAAAATATTATTCTTTTCATTTACTTTTTTATTTTAAATAATGAATTTCTATTATTTATTTACACAATTCAGCACTCATATAGAATTCACAGCATTTTCTGAATCTAAACTTAAATTTGAGTTACTAGCGTTACAAATGTGAGCTCCTTTTCTTACCGGGAGGACCCTTATCAGGGTCTCCTGCCATGTTAGTCCTTCAGATATCTTGAGCATAATTTCAAAAACTGAAAACAAATTTTTAATGCAAATTATGTAATTTAAAAAAAAGTAACTTTCATTAAATTGTTGTTGCCGTGTTGAAGGCAATAAGTTTAATTCATCACAACCTTCCATATCCTTTTTCTTTTAATAGGGTTCTCCACAATAAACTTTATTCTACCATTCATCTCCATTTTCAATCACACCCTTGTTCACTCTGACAGCTAATCAAGCTTAACAAAAGTAAGTAACTATCCCACATTCAACAGCCTCAAGCTAGGATTTCCTCCTGTATTACAGGTGCTATAGATATACAAGTACAAGACAAGTACAATAAGTATTGTACATCCAGACCCTGAATAAGTTTCATGAAGGTACTGACACAAGAAGCTTACTTATAAAATGCTACTTATACTGGTGGTAGGACCTCTTGTGAGTCCGCATGGGTAGGTACCACCACCCCGCCTATTTCTGCCGTGAAGCAGTAATGCGTTTCGGTTTGAAGGGTGGGGTAGCCGTTGTAACTATACTGAGACCTTAGAACTTATATCACAAGGTGGGTGGCGCATTTACGTCGTAGATGTCTATGGGCTCCAGTAACACTTTACACCAGGTGGGCTGTAAGCTCGTCCACTTATCTAAGCAATAAAAAAAAATTGTTTTCCTATGTTCAATCAATTAAAACACCAAAAAGTGAGACATATGTGAGATAAAAGAAATTCAGTCTTAATTACCATGGTCTATTGTTAAAACCTTTCTCGTTTTCATGTTAATATATTTATCTAAAGGTAAACGGCCATGCCTTATTCCTTGTTCCACAGATATATTATGACAAAGACCCTGAAAATTAATTCGATGAATATATAATACAAACCCATTGAATTTTAAAATTAAACGAAATGTTTTTTATCAGAATTTACATACAATGGCTCCAAGCTAGTTCTTTTTTGTATTATGGGTATAACCAGTACCACCAGTTTCAGACCAAATATAATTAATAATTAAATAGGTATGTTAGACAAAAGTAGTGCTTCATGACATTGATTAATGATCCTAACTAATATAAACTCTACATTACTCTCTTTACTACTCTGGTTTTCCATCACTTGACTGGGTATCCATAAATAGATTCCCAGCATTAAAAAAAGGTCTGGTTTTCGATCCTCATGAATTCTTGTTATCTCTCTGAATCTTTGTTAAAACCATTTTGTGAACAGGGTTCCCAGCACACATTTAATTTTCACTCAAATATTGTACACGGGTCTTGTGGCATGGTTACCAGCCTTACCAGGTAACTAGATCAACAAGGCTATAAACTACTAACAGATATTTCGAATCAATATTCAAAAAATGACTGTACTAGGTCTTGATGATTAAAAATATATATTATATTTCAATTTCACACAAAGATTGTAAAAATATATTATGTAGTACCATAGATAGACTACTATACTATAAATATACTAGTCACTATTGTGAACATAAAATATACTTAAGAGCCATTTTCGATCCCTTATATAATATCTTCATTTTTTTCAAGTTTCGCAAGTTATAGATATAATGCAAACTACTTTTAAAGTTCAACTGACAATGAATACAAAAAAATAATCATTTACAATATACATATAGTTGTTTCTTTTAAATGTAAACTTTCACTTTACAAATACTATTATTAGTAGTTGAAGCATTAAAATTTATAATTTTGAAACAATCCAACACACATTACCTTATATTGATTATGATCAACTAACCCGCCTATTATGTAATAAGTATCATCATCAAAGCTCTCAATGATATTTTCAGATTCACTTGTCAAGTAAACCAGTTTTTCTTTTGGGAACACTTCAAGATAAGGTTGTTCATGAAATTCAATCTGAAAATATTAAATACCTCTTATCAGTGATTGATACAATCATGTGTCATACATTTCAGGTTGAACTGCAGTTGTTATTCTAATGGAAACAGCAGTTTTTTAATAATATAGACACCTTTAACCTCTTTACTTTAGGCAGGATATAATGTCTACCTGTAAACATATACATATAAGTTATTTTCAAACAATACAACAAATATATATTAAAGTGAGTAGATGAAACTTTAGTAGTTGTTGTTATTGTAGTCCTAGGGCACCCTGCTGATAGATAGGGCCCTTACAAGTTATCTCCTCTTCACTCTGTGTTGCCCTTCAGGTCAGGCTGCCAGTCCTCATCTCGCTATTAGTAGCAGTATATTTATGAACAATTTTCCATTAGAGCATTAAATGAAAAATTAATACTCATGTATACTAATGCACAAAATGAGTATTTCGATTTATACTATAAATAGTATATAAATATAAGTGCATGAAATATGAATGTTTGTCTATTTAGAAAAATCTAAAAATGCTGTTTTCGTATTATTTAGTTTCATATTAAGGACTAATGCACTTTTTCAAAATTTAGCATTTATTGTTTAAAAAGGACATTATTTAAATAAATACAAAAATAAATATTCTTACATCCCAGTTTTCATAGCCATTGTGTCTAGACATATCATTTCTAGATTTCTCACCAAAACTAGTTATGTGAAAATGCAGTGGTTGTTCTGACCGTCTGTTTATGGAATAACATCGCAGGATTTGTTTGATCACTTTAAACCTATCTTTTTCAATCATTAAATGACCGAAACTTAAATCAATAATTATACCACCACGTTTCTTATGTTTTTCTTTCATTTTTTTCAATGCTTTACGACTTGGTCCTATGTCAATATTAGCCGCCTGAGCTTTTCTTCTTCTTTCCTTTGCTCTCTTTTTTTCTCTAGCACGTTTTTCAGCTTTATGATTTTCCCATTTAACCTTTTTAAGCCACTTACGCATTTGGCTTTTTGTATAGGGTCTTGGCAGAATATTTCCTTCATCATCTTGCAATCCAGTGTCTATAGATATGTCAAAAAGAGTAATCTGAGGAAATAATTCCTCGAACTTTTCAGTTTTAGCAGATGAAGAATTTTCGACGTTTTTTTCATTTTCTTCAGTCATAATTACATGGTACTTACAATTATTTCAATTATGAACTAAATACCTAAATGGTAGTGAGAACGTGAATAGAGAACTACTCAAAACAGACCAGGAACTTCTTAATTTTAAAACACCACTGCAATTTATAATGCATTATTGTGAGTTTCGCGGTAGTTTAACAAATCATATTTATTCACTTATTATTATGTAGTTATTGGACAAATAATCATAGACCTAGTGCAAATAATACATTATTGTAGACACCACCTCGAATCTCGAATATATTAAGCATAGATTATACACTTAATATATATTAAGTGTATAATCTATGGACACCACGTTGTTGATATTTATTTGATTTTTGCTTGTGTTACTGACGTCAGTTACGTCTTACTGGTTTATTAAAGAGGCAAAAGGAACATAGCCCATAATTATGTTTTTAAATAAAAGTAAAACAATTATGAAATGATGCAGCCTCTCAATAAAATTGAGGGAATTTACTAAGCTTTCAGTGGACTTTTGGAGGAGAAGAAACATCGAAACCAATCCCAGTAATTTTCTTTCATCTTAATACAAATTAAGTGCATTTTCACAAATGCTAATAGGTTAACAAGCTACAGAAAAATCTATCGGCACAACTAATACTTATCGTGGCTTGTATCAGTTATGCTTATTAGCTTGAAGGTTGTTCTGTTAGCAAATTTTAGTTTTTTTTATGTGTATGGTATTTTAGGTATTTTAAGCACATAAAAAACTATTAACTTAAAATACTTAATGACGTTACACTATGTTTTCTATTTTATAATAATATTATGAACTAGCGACCCACCCTCACTTCGCTTCGAAAACATGAAATTTTATTATTGATAGCGACCCGCCCTCGCTTCGCTTCGGAAACATGAAATTTTATTATTGATAGCAGAGTCCCGCGATGTTACCCCCGGTTATTGTCATACCGCGGGTGACGCCGCGTGGCGAAGCTATTTTAAAAAAAAGTAGCCTAAGTTACTCCTTATATCATCAGCTATACCTACATCCAAGAACATATTTGTATTTTGTTTATCATACTTAAAGCATGTTTTAAATTTATAAATTCTTTGAACAAATTGTTGAATTTCGATTATAATTTTTTTGTCAAAACCGGCCTATAAACAAATAATGTCTGGAACAGATTAAATGTATATGTGATATAATTTATACACTAAACGTGTTTAGGGTGTCCTCACAGATTAGTCCGCTATCTTTACTGGTGGTAGAGTGTTTTGTGAACCTGCACGGTTGGGTAGGTACCACAATCCTTCCTATTTCTGCTGTAGAGTAGTCATATGTTCCGGCTTGAGGGATGGGATAGCCATCCTCCGTTGTGCGTTGTGATGTTTATACACTTTGGAAACGGCATTATACCAGGTGACCGTGAGGTCATTCACCACACATCTACAGAATAAAAATAAAAAACTTCGTATTTATTTGCATACTTTGTCCATTTCAATTTTAAATATAGCGAATTAAATTAAATTAAACTTTAAAGTTAAACTTTGTGAACGCGCCAAAAATAACGCACACCGCCCATCACCTTCTTCATCCAACTCATACCCTGGGCCAGGAAGTTCATGTACCTGGGTGTCACCCTGGATGCACATGACATGTGCGGAAATGAAATGTGCGGATCGAGTCGCGTGTAAAACGCTTTGTCTAGACACGCACCAAAATTACATTTAATTACACATCATCTTGAATTGACCTATTAACCCGGATGATAAGAAGAGGGCACACAACGAATGATAAAAATTTCTTTCCTTTATTCTAACACGGCACTCGTTAACGTAATGTCTTCAGTAAGTTATATCTTTTGTTTTCATAATTAGAATGAATCAAAATTAACAACACAAGCGAATCTAACTTGAATGAACATTTTCGGTCTAGTGTTAACCAAACATTAAGCCAAACTTAATAGTAAAGATCGTACATCTTGTATTGACATCAGAACATGAACATCAGCCAGTTTGAAAAAGAAGACGCTCAGTAAAAATACAACATTTTTATTGTATCGACTCATTATTCGAGGCAACAAAAACGGTAGCCGGTATCAATCAGGATCGCAATTATCATCAAATAATTTTTAAGCAAATAAAAAAAAAACATTTGCGTTGATTTAATTACGCGAAATTGTCGTGAACAGTTTTAATATCCACTTACTATGAAATTGTTTACCAAATTTCTATCGGAAAGCGATCGTCTAATGTTTGTGAATACTAATAATATTTGAATTACCCAAACGAAAGTTCAATACATATTTATCTTCGTAACGGGGATAATGAGGAAAAACGATATGTCTATAACAGTAATTCACAAAGTGAGCTTACATTTCGAGAAATTACTATTTATTAATTAAGTATATTACGGTCGGACACGAATCAAGTAATTATTCTATATTTATGTTAAAAGATTTTTGTAAGTGCACTAACTATTTTTATTTACACAGAGCAAATTTCAACTTTGGGGTGGGTGTTTTGAAGAGGAACCTTCGTCGGTGCTTCGACGTTTGAACGATTCTTTACCGGTGGACTTTAGATTATTTCGTGAAGATATACAAGGAAGTCGCGCGTGGGCAGAAGAATTATTTCAGAGCCACCATTTGTCGGCCAATGACAATCTTGCTATACAAAAAGGTCTTGACAGTGTAAGTATAAATCCTTATCATCATAATCTTTCAACCCCAAGGCACCCGCCACAGAAATAACACTGGACGGCTTCATCAAGTTACAATGTGTTCTTGTTGTAAGAACTCCACGCTACGCTAATCCTTTAATTATAACTAGTATGATCTCTTTTATTACAAAAAAAACATTTGAATGCCAGTCGCACCCTAGATTACTCGCCCATTTCCACGTCAACTTGTTCAATTATTTTTATGCAGTTCTCAAACCGCAATTCTAATTATGTTGCCTAATTAATAATGAATGACCAAGCCATCTTTGATGGTGATATCTGTACATTATCTTATTTTGTTGAATCAGATCATTTTTGAGAGCCTAATTCTATGTTTTATTAACAGAGTTTCATGCAAATAATTTCAGGACGGAAAAAGCTAAATGTTTTGGGCTTTATTCTTTTCCAGGTCGAAAAAGAAATAGAACAAGAACTAACAGAAAACGGCAAGCTTAAAGATGCTGAAGAAGACATACATTCTGTGATCGAATGCAGGTTATTCAAGCACAGTGGCGATGCAGCCTTTCGTCTACACACAGCACGTAGTCGTAATGACCAGTCTGCCACTGACACCCGCCTTTGGATGCTTGCATCCTTGCCAAAGCTGACATCTGCTATTGTAGAACTTATAACGGTAGGATAATGTCAATAACTTCGAGTCACCTACTGTTCAAGTTCGTGGTTGGGCAGTTCCCCCTAGTGTGATGACAATAAAACCTGCCGTCACCTGCCCCACGTTCCCCATGCCGAGTAGTGCCTCGATGTCGCTACTCAGGAGGAGTTTCGGGGGGGGGGGGGGGGAGATACATGGATGCGATGAAGGTCGGCTGATGTCTCATCAGTGAGATAGATACGGCACACTGATGTCTCGATGTGAGAGAGCGAGGAGGGGTTGAGTGGGACGCAGTGTAAAAGTGGGAATTCTGTAATTCCGTACATCTAGTAGATGAAAAGTTTTTAAGTATCAAGATACCCACCCAAATGATAATCAAAAATATTTTCACAGGTACTTGCCACTCGAGCTGAAAATGAGATAGATATTATATCTGCTGGCTATACTCATCTACAACGTGCTCAGCCAGTAAGATGGAGTCATTTTTTGTTGAGGTATGTTATTATAGTCTACAGTAGGTATAGTAACCGTTAATGGTGAGAAAAAAAACAAAATATCTTACTGGTATCGTATTGTACTACTGATGGTATGAAATCCTGTTTATTTCGACCGTGAAGTGGACATGCGCTCCGGTTTGAATGGTGGGACAGCCGTTAGATAATACAATTGAGATTTAGACCACAAATCTAAAGGGCAGTGGTGGCATTTACGTTCTGATAACTACAACCTCTAGTAAACACCATTGGTTCACCTAATTAAGCGAAAAAAAACCTAAAAAAGCAAATAATTCTCTCGAACAAATTAACAAATATAAATTATTTATCTCTCTCTCTCTATCTATCTATCTCTCTATTTAAAACTATTTTCGCCAGTCACGCCTGGGCTCTCCGCGATGACGTAACAAGACTTGAAGAGCAAAGAAGTAGACTCTCACGTTGTCCACTCGGCAGCGGTGCATTAGCAGGTTGCGCTCTAACCATTGACAGAAAAAGACTTGCGCTAAATCTTGGCTTTGACGATATAATGCCTAATTCCATGTTTGCGGTTGGTTCTCGGGATCACTTAGGTATAAAAACTTATTAAATCAACCATAATTATTTAAACTGACTCAAATATTATTAATTTTATTTTTTTATTTATTTTAGTGGAGTTCTTCAATTGGGCGTCATTATGTGCATTGCATCTTAGTCGTTTAGCAGAAGATCTTATCATTTATAGTTCTCAAGAATATGGGATTGTACGTTTCTCGGACCAATTCTCTACGGGATCAAGTCTGATGCCACAGAAAAGAAATCCAGACGGTCAGGAATTGATTAGAGGAGCAGCAGGCCTTTTCTTGGGCGAGGCTTTTGGTTTTAGTTGCGTTTTAAAAGGATTACCTAGCACGTACAACAAAGACTTACAGTCTGATAAAGAACTACTATTTCGAACCTACGACAGATTACTCGACTGCCTTAAAATTTCAGCCGGGTCCATTCGCACAATGAAAGTAAGTCACAAAATTTTATTTTATTATGAAAAATAAAAAATGCGTTGCTATATCCATCACGGTATCTCAATTTCGACAACAAGCACTAAGTAATGAAAATGTTTTGAGGAGCGCAAAAAAGTGTGCATGAAACGGAATATCATAAATATTTATTAATTTAAGCTTAGGAAAAGCTTTATGCTATAATAGGTACTTAACATTGCGCTGGAAGCCATCAATAAAATTATAAGATCCTATAAAGGGGGTATTTATAAAAATAGTCACTGTAAAATATAGAAATATAAAGTAATTACCAGTAGGTATTTTATTGGTATTCATTGCAGTATAGTTATTGTTAGAATACATTTAAAATCATCGCATGATTTCTACAATAAGATGAATGCTATTCGTTTTATTCTTTTGTATTAAAGCCAGTTTTTTAAATCTATAATTATTTATATTTATGGTCAGTACTCACGACAATTATTCACAAAAGGAGCCTCTTTTAACCTTTTTGCGTTATTCTAAATCTGTCCAAAAATATATTCTTAATTTTATAAATTTCAATAAAAAGAGAAAGGTAGATTTGTTCGAGATGGTCATGCTGGTTAACATTATACACTTTATTAATACGGCCTATTAACTATTTGATTTGATGGTGAAGGTTGGTACCCACACAGGGGACTCACAATATGCCATTACATGTGTAAATGCCGGTTGGCGTGCGCAGTATGCTAGTATAATATTCAGAGAATACTACTACCTCTCCATCATTGAATCCCTTATTCGTCATTAAGCCCATCTTCAATGACGAATCGTCGTGAAACCCATCAGCCATGGGCAAAGATTTGTTTGTGCTGCTTTAGACTATCGTGACATCACAAAGCCAGTGAAATAAGTTTCATATATCTTACACTTGAAATACAAATTTCATTCATTCACAACGCAAATTTTAGTGAACGTCTTCTGATATAGGTGAATATTGATAGAGCCTTGAACTCTTTAGAACCCGGAATGTTGGCTACAGATTTAGCTCATATGCTAGTCCGCCGAGGAGTGCCGTTTCGCAAAGCACACCATCTTGTCGGGACTGCGCTTTTACGAGCCACCAACCTTGGATTGGATCTACGAAACCTGCCTTACTCTGAATATATCGCTATATGGTATGGTATTTTAAAATTTTATAAGTTTTACTATAAACAATTAAAATTGTACCGTAAAACCACCCTATATTTAACATGGATATACCTTATAATGTATTCATTTTCACCTCAATTTATAAATTATCTCATTATAGAAAACACACATACAGGGTGTATCAGAACCATTCTGCAAAACCCTGGTGATTGTATTAGTGATTGCAGAATCGATAGTACAAAGAATCAAATTCGAAATTCATAATTTACTTATTAAGATTTTCACGGGGTAGGATTTCATGGGTTTCCGGCAGCGTTTTGCTAACATTACAAATACACAGAAAATTACTTCTTACTGGCACACTATCATGATGAGCCCAGGTTAAGCTGGAGCGTAAAACTAGCCTCTATAATAATGAAATATAAAACTCTTAGAAAGCTTTTATTCATTTTGGGCGGATATTAAAAAGCTATAACTTGTTTCTTTCCTGCAAAGAAAGACTAGGTATGGAACTGCTATGCTAGATATGAGAATGGACATTATAATTAAAAAAGTATAGTTTTCATGCGCACCAACATAAAAAATATATATTTCAATTTAATATATGTTCGAATTTGAATAAATATTTTATGTTAAATTCGCACGGGTATAAATTTTTTATTGATGTTTCAGTCCTGAATTTGGTACAGAAGAAGAACTAAAAGCGGTTTTTTCGTGGGAAGCAAGCGTAGAACAATACACCAGCTCCGGAGGAACTGCCAGAAAAGCTGTCATTAATCAGCTAGAAATTCTACACATTTGGTTACAAAAATACAATAAAGAATGCATTGTTTGAGAGCGCCTATCATGATACCTTAAACTTTTCATTTAAATCTATTCAATTGGAAATTAAAAAGCTTTGTACACGTAAATAAAATGTTGAGCCTAGTATAAAGAATATGTGCTTAATTATTTTTACTCAGCAATTAAGCAACGAAAGCTTAAGACCTACGCTTAATCCCTTTCGGGTAAGTTCCAGCTATTTTCAGTAATGAAAATTTGCATTTATATTACTTTAGTAATTTGTTATCCTAGTTTTCTATTTATTAGAAACAATATCGCTATGTTTTATCAGATATGCGAGAGTATAATTCAAAATAGAAAAATTGTGCATTACTCAAGTAAACTTAAAAACAAACAGTAAGTACATATTCGTTATAAATTAATAATTCTTATTAAAATAATAAATTAAAAATTAAAAAAATAATTTTCGAGTCGTCGTGGCCTAAAGGATAAGACGTCCGGTGCATTCGTATATAGCGATGCAACGGTGTTCGAATCCCGCAGGCGGGTACAAATTTTTCTAATGAAATACGTACTTAACAATTGTTCACGACTTCCACGGTGAAGGAATAACATCGTGTAATAAAAATCAAACCCGCACAATTATAATTTGCGTAATTACTGGTGGTAGGACCTCTTGTGAGTCCGCACGGGTAGGTACCACCGCCCCGCCTATTTATGCCGTGAAGCAGTAATGCATTTCGGTTTGAGGGGTGGGGCAGCCATTGTAACTACACTGAGACCTTAGAACTTATATCTCAAGGTGTGTGGCGCATTTACGTTGTAGATGTCTATGGGTTCCAGTAACCACTTAACACCAGGTGGGCTGTGAGCTCGTCCACACATCTAGGCAATAAAATAATAATAATAACTAAATAAAAAATAAATAATATCATCGAACAGAGGCTACCGTATTATAAGTACCAGCCGGACGCTGTACTCGAAAACGACCGTGCCAAGCTCTACTGGGAACGGCCCATCATTACGGACAGGACTATTCTTGCGAATAAGCCTGATATCGTGCTGATGGACCAGACGGAGTCTCGGGTATTTCTGGTGGATATCACCATCCCCTACGACGAGAACCTCGTGCGGGCCGAGGCAGATAAAAATACCAAATATTTGGACCTGACGCACGAGGTGACCGACATGTGGAGGGTGGTATCTACAGAAATAATCCCGGTAGTTGTGTCGGTGAATGGTTTGGTCCCTAAAAGCCTCTCAAAACATCTCGAGAGGCTTGGTCTCAACAAAAAGTCGGTGGTGGCCCAAATGCAAAAAGCAGTCTTGCTCGACAATGCCCGTATAGTTCGCCGGTTTCTCTCCCAATAGTCCCTAACGCTCCGGCCGATTGTTGCCCACCTCGCCGGAGTGTGTCCTGCCGTCTTCCCAGGCGAGGCAGTGTTTAATACACTATAATAAATCATAAATAATATTATAATACCACAAACAATCTTTAATAATAATAAATCAAAAATAATATTATAATGCCACAAACAATCTTTAAATAAACAAAGTGCAACAAATAGTAATAACACTTTTTTATTAATAATATCAAATTAGCGAAGGTGTGGCGGTGGCTCAGTTACTTATTGCAGAATCAATAAGTGTTTTATTACCTTTTTTTTTTAAGCTGTATAAATCCTAAATCTTATGTTTTCTGAAGTAATACGTGATGTGTATTTTGAAAAGTGTTTACGAGCGCTCATATTCCACTGAGTGTCAACAACGTATTTAGTTACATTATTGTCGTATAAGAATTGAACTACTGTAAGCGCTTGTTTATAAAATAGATAAAGCACTTAAGGACCTTTTTTGAAAAAGTCGAGTTTTTTGTTCTAAATAAATCGTTATTTATTACTAACCCACATAAAACCCACATAAAGCACGACCTTAAAACGAAAATTAAATGACTAACTTCTAACGACACCTTTGTTATAAGGGGCTATCAGAGCACACATAAATTTTAAGCTAATAATGATTTTTATTAGTGTACTTTTTGTATTATAGAACAACATTCCCACCCTTCAAAGTCCGACCATACGATTACTTCCCAGGAGGAATACTGGTAAACTGAACTTACAGCCCACCAAACATTAAGTGGTTCCCATAACTTCTACCTTTGAACGTTCCTTCATAAACAGGCAATTTTTTTTCCTTGCTTATTAAATTTGAGGACTATGATAATGGCCTTGAACGACTATTTATATAAAAAAGGATGAATTAGAATAAAAATATTGATAAAACTCACTGACGCAAGCAAGGCTGTCAAACGCCGAAGCCGTTGGAGATGCAGGGATTGCGGGTCAGAGCTGTCTCGCGCACCGTTCCGTGGGCGCCCCGCGAGGAAAAAATGCGACGATTCACCCCCCAACCAGCACGCCTCACCCGCCCACCATGTTTTCCCATACTTGCCTGTCGGCCTCGGTACACACTCAACAGACAGCAGCGATAGAACAACACGCTGAAAAACTCAGTCTAGATGATAAAAAGTGTTTAAAATATTATAATACTGTTGATCTTGACGGTCTTATTGGAAAATAATAAAAATTAGCTTGAAGTAATTTTCAGGTGAGTTTAGTTTAGGTAGCATCTTCGATTTCTAAATGATTATTATATCATTGTATACTTTTATTATCCAATTTTATAAACCAAAACATATTATCAATTTTTATTCGTTCATATATTTAGGGTAAATAATTTAGGTATATACTTCAGTGCTGTTTTTTTTTTCCTACTTATGCTGATAGCCTTGTGAGGCTATTTCAGCTTACCCTAGCTTGTGTAGGTGAGCTCACGGGGCTCAAACCGGAGAATTTCTAACACTGACCCTAGCAAAAGCAGTGCTTCTCAGAAACAACCACCGGATCGGAAACGCGACCCACTGAGAAGATCCGGCGAGAAACTCAGTGCGCTCTGTCTGTGGGTTAATTTATTCGTAACCCTTCGTTGCAAACGACAGGTTCGGTGAAGACGGTAGCCGGTACTTGAGGTACCTAAAACCACCGTTAATGGAATAATTGCTACTGAACCAGACGTACAATCGATTTAAACCCAACCGTTGCCCACAACACGAAGAACTTCAATTATTTTCTAGCAATTTGTCCACCATTCGTAAACACACTTCGATTTACATTCATGCCTTTCTGAAACAGTGATGCGTTCTGTCTTAAGCCAGTAAACTCATGTTTGAGAGGCCCATACATTTGACTCCATACAGAAGAGGGCCGTTCGGATTATCGATAATCCCATTCTCACGGATCATTTGGAACCTCTCAGTCCGCGGAGGGACTTCGCTTCTCTTTGTATTTTGTACCGCGTATTCTATGGCGAGTGCCCTGAGGAATTGTTTGAGATGATACCGTCATCTCGGTTTTACCATCGCACCGCCCGCCACTGGAGTAGAGTTCATCCATACTGCCTGGAGCCACTGCGTTTCCAGAGATCATTTTTGCTACGTACCATCCAGCTTTGGTATTAGCTCCTCTCCACGGTGTTTCCTGAGCGCTATGACATGTACATCTTCAAACTTGTGGAGAGTATTAAGCGGCAGGCAGCTGCTTGGCTCTGACCTTGATATTGCTGACGTACATGTACAACGGTAACCACCTACCATCAGGTGAGCCGTCTGCCTGCAAGGGCAATTAAAAAAGTGTTCAACGTTTAACGGAGCGCATATTTATTAAAATATCCACGTAATTACCATTTTTTGTGTATATTAGAAAAAACTATACGTACCTACCTAGAATTATGTAAGTTAGTCTACGAGAAAATTATATAAAATACTTCTGAAAGTTACCACTTCTACCGCCTGTCAATTATCAATTACGTTAATGGTATACGTACATAGAGTGACTGAGAAAGTCAAAGGACAGGACCTTGTGGAAAACATTAGAGGAAGCCTATGTCGAGAGACAAGCTGTTTCCTAGCATTAAAATATATATATATAATATTTAGATATAAACATTGTAAATGTAATATGTAAATTGTAAAACAGCAATAAAGGCTTATTATTATTATTATTATTATTATACGTACATATGTATGTATGTATCTACGGATGTATTTCTATTATCGGTTAGCCATTGTAATTCTTCTAATGAGTCTTCGATCTTATGTATCAGGGTGAGCGGTGGCATTCGCTTTAGAATGTCTATGTATTCCGTTAACCGCTTACATCAGATGAACCATGTGCTCGATTGCCGAGAAACTCATTTCTTGTGTGATCCTCTTAAAAGATGCGAACTTTTAAAAACATTTTTACAAAATGTTATTCCTGGCGCGAAGCAGCAATGCTAACAATTCAATTGAAACTAAGACCTCATGTCTCATGGTGGGCGGAAGCATTAAGGTATGTAGTGATATCTTTATTACGCTCCGGTCCCTTAAGTGAGCTGTAAGGTCGTTGACATATCTAAGCGATTAAACAAAACTAGTTTAAAAAAATCCATCCATTATATTTCGGACGACTTTGAATTGACTTCTACATGGAAATGATAATTAAAACATTTTACATTTTATGATTCCTTATTTTGACGATTCGTATTCTATCGGAGTGAAAAAATTGGGAGAAACTGTTTTTATTTATGTTTAATTTTATTTTTTCAGCAGTTAAGGAATGAAATACAAGAAAATGAAATCTGTGACATTATTGTTTTTTTTGTTTTTAATGGAAGCATCTACTTATAGTGTTGCTAACAGCGAAGCTAAAATCAAATTAAACAGAAAAGTATCGGAATCTTCCTACGGATCTGATGAACAGGTGAAAATTAAATTATAAAAAGTACAAAACCGTGCCAAGCTTCAATGTAGCTGTGGCAAAATTTAGGTACTAAATCTACCCGTTTGCACATCATAAGTATGCCAGAAACTGCCCACGAAGTGTAAACTCATCCGAAGCAACGATTACAAAATAAACACACAATAGCACATTTCTATTTAATCATACCTAGGCCAGTTCTTTCCCCTAAAATGTAATTTCAATTGAAACTTTTCTTTGTTAAAATTTACATCCTGTTTGTCGGCACAAATTCAAAGCAAGTAATCGGCCGCGCAAAACTAGGATTACTTTGATTAGATAACAATCCCTATTGCACAATACTTAATAATACGAGCTTCAGGCATAATTGGAGAGCCTCGAGAATTATGTAATTATTTTATATTTGTATGATTAAAAGAGATACCTATCCCTTTTTTACATTACCCACGATAAGTACAAAAATTAATCCGGTCTAAAAGTATTTCTAATATTTGCTGATAGACATAAAATTATATAGAAATTTCAATAAAAAACACCTTTATGCGTACTTTAAGTACACGAGATAATCGAGAAAGACTAACGTTCATATCACCTACGACCGCTGGTCTAGTGTTTAATCTGCCCCCTAAGCGATTTAATAGTTAAATTTTGGCTTAAGGATGGTATAATTTTTAATGGATTCATGTACCATGCCACTCTACACAGTCAACACGTGCGGCGATAAACCTCCCGGCAAAAACAGATGTTAGTTATTAAAGTCCATCTTCCAAAATCATTCATTTTCTTATTTAAATCTAAATAAATCGGACTGTAGATTTAAATGAGAAAATTAATCTACTGGTCTTTCCCTTTCAGACAACATTTACATATATAACAATGTTTGACTAAAAGCATATTAATCTATTTCTTTTGTTTTAGTACATTCGTCAAATACACTCACTGGTCAATGCGTACAGAGAAGATAACAGCTTATTGGGCGAAAATTTCATTATTGAAACAAAAGCTTTGATAGACACGAAATATAGAACATGGAAAAGAAATGCTGATCTCATCAACTCGCTACTGGCCTTGCCTAAAGACATGAATGACGCCGGCCGTTAGACCATCCATCGAGGTTCGAAGGCTCGCAGTCGGGAAACATTCGTCGGCTTTTTTTTTCATCTTATTTCTAATCATCCATGTAATATCTGAGCTATTTCTTTATCGAATTGAAACTAAGATTTGAGACGGTATGGTAAACTAATGGAAAATAAAAGGCTTTTTTCGGCATATATTTACTCTTTTAACACTATTTTTATCTTTTTTTTTTTTCATTTTAATACACCACTATATTACAAATTATGACAACATGACAATATTTACATGTATGATGATTTCAATAACAAGTAGATCAAAAGTAGATTGAATATTACAATACTTTCCATTTACTTGAAATGTATTACAGTTTCTCAATACAGAAAGAACAACTAGTCTTTATTTTCATTGTGTTAATTATATCACTAACAATTATTTTAGAGATTTTTTACTACATTCAGCAGTTTTACGAGTTTTTATTGTAATTAATAATGTGTAACGTACAAATAATTCTAACAGTAAGTTTTACAATTTTTAATTTAAACTATAAGATTAACTACATGACCGTAACATGTATACATAATGCAAAACATAGTATTTGACATTTACATATCGTAAAAACTTATTATAAGAAACAAAATGCCATTTTCAAAACGTTTACGAAAGACGCTTCGGTAATTAAAAATGTCCCAAAAAAATATTACTATTAAATTTAAACAATATTAAGTATACCAACATATTATTCGTTCACGAGATAATTTTCTTCAATAAATTTGAGTCATTGTTTTCTTATTTACCCTATTACGTAATCGTACGTAACAAAGAGCGGCGTGGTTAGAACTTGAGCGAGAAGCCGGGCGCTACGTTGAGCGAGCGCTGGTGCACGTGGAAGCCGAGCGCCTCGTCCGAGTCGGCGCGCGAGTACGCGGCGTAGGCGGCGCCCCCCGCCGGCGGCCGCGGGCTGTGCGTCGTGCGACGGTTGCCTTCCGACTTGGCCGGCCACGTTGGAAACATCGCCGGGTCGATCGCCACGGGTTGCTCCTGTTGAGAAAACGACGTCGCCATGTTACTGGTGGTAGGACCTCTTGAGAGTCCGCGCGGGTGGGTACCACCACCCTGCTTATATCTGTCGTGAAGCAGTAATGCGTTTCGGTTTCAAGGGTGGGGCAGCCGTTGGAACTATACTTAAGACCTTAGAACTTAATCTCAAGGTGGGTGGCGCATTTACGTTGTGGATGTCCATGGGCTCCAGTAACCACTTAACACCATGTGAGCTGTGAGCTCGTCCACCCATCTAAGCAATAAAAAAAAATGTTATCGTGGGTGTCGACTCGAAAACTATTTTCGATACTTTTTCATCGAGGCAGCCCAGCGCAGTGCGTACAAAGCGATATGTACCTAACATCAATTATGTCCATATTTACACACGATTACAGCCATTTCGTATGTTTAAACTTTGTACCGGTTTTTTTTAATTCATCTGTATGCTTTATTATAATTATTACTATTTTACTTTGTTCTACTTATATGTGATTTTGGTGGTGGAAACTTTGCATGTTTCTTTTGTACTGTTGATTTCCCAAATAAATAAATACCTTAAAGTAAGCGTGTTCTAGTGCGGCCTCCGCAGTCAGTCTTCTGGCGGGATTGTATGTTAAGAAACCTTGCAACAGCGACAGTCCTGTCTCCGATAGCAAGTCTTGTCCTATCCGCTGGCGCAGCCCGCCGGGCGGATGGTCAGCAAACGTCATCTTCTGGACGACGGACATCTCGCTGTATCCAGGCCATACTAAATCCGTCGGCGTCCCCAAGTCCTAACAATATTTATATCATTATTTATCGTGAGCATTGTATTATTTTAATTGTTTATTTCATTCATACACTCATCCATACTAATATAAATAGGAAAGTTCTGTTGATGTTTCTTTGTTCATGGTTTACCTTAAATTTAATTTTACATGCATTGTCTGTGGTACTGAAAAAACATAGGCTCTCCTCATCCAGAGAAAAGGTAGTATTCCAACGATAACGCAAACAATTTATTCACAATCAGGTGCAGAGCATATTGTTATCCTGTATGTGTGTGTAGTTCTCTTCCTCCCTAATTTCCACACAAAGCAGTTACAAATTTTTAAGTATTTATAAAAAAACCTTTTACATAATAGAAACTGTCCTATCTCAACTACGGGGACTACTATTTTTTCTGTAAATATGTGGAGGCACTCACATCGTTCCATGATCTCGGCAACTACTTAAGACCAGTTGTACTGCAAGCTCAACTACTCGTATACAGCAATACAGACAAACAAAAATAAACAAACCAATATCAGATTACACATAGTTTTACTCACCTTAAATATTCGATTCAGTTGATCTACTTCGCTTTTCCCCGGAAACAAAGGATTCATGCTTACGAATTCGGCAAATATACAGCCGACACTCCACACATCAATAGGCGTGGAATATTCTTTACAACACAAAAGCAGCTCTGGTGCTCTGTACCATAAAGTTACGACCACAGGAGTGTACTGACGGAGCGGCGATCCATACTCTCGAGCAAGGCCAAAATCTCCCACCTGTAATAAATTTCATACATTTGTTTCAAAATTGTTATTAAAATGCGGTCATCGTTCTCGTCGAACTCGTCGCTTGCGAGGAAGGGCTCGGCGAGTAAATTAACCCACAAACACAGCCCATTGAATTTCTCGCCGGATCTTCTCAGTGGGTCGCATTTTCGATCCGGTGGTAGATTCTGCGAAGCACGACTCTTACTAGAGTTTGTGTTAGCAACATCGTCATGTTTGAGCCCCGTGAGCTCACCTACTAGCCCAGCGACGCTGACATGGTCTCTAGACCATCAATTTAAGTAAGAAAAAAGAAAGTAATTAAAGATTACTTATATTCCCAATCTCGCGTCTTTTATTGTCATTATATTATTTCGTTTCAACATTTCGAATACTTAGCAGTTTTCGTGGTCCCTGACAAAAGTGAAAGTAATTTTAATTATGTTAACGACTCGCGAAATACCCAGAAAATACTAAAATGATTATTATCAATGAATGAATTTTTATTCTTACCTTCAATACACCCTTGTGTGACAAAAGAAGATTACTAGTTTTAAGATCACGGTGTAATATCCAATTATCATGCAAATGATGAACTGCTTTCAGTAGTTGGGTCATAAGGCATTTTACTTCTCCTAAAAAAATGAAAAAAATAAGCTGTACACAATTTCATCTCTATATAGATATTTTTGATAGTCATAATATATCCAAATTAGCATTACTTGAATAAATAGGAAAACCCCGTTTTTAGCCTACATAACAAAACGAACTGAAAAAACTGTGATATTATAGCTTCGGCTCCTATGGTGATTCTCCTATTATGGGGGTCTATTTGGAACACGAACAGCCACATGTTCCTGCAAACACGTTTATACCGTGGCTTCTGTTTTTTAGATGTATCACTTAATTATGTGGTGCTAGCCTATATTGAGAGCTCGCGTGGGTAGGTACCACTACTGTCTATTTTTGGCGTAAAATAGTTTATATAGAGTGGGGATTTCCTTATAGATAGTTTCAACCTCATCTCTAAGGAAATGTAATTTGTGAAGGGGCTTCCTAAAGACTTCTTTGTACTGTCTGAAAGAGAAAATGCTGCGTCGACTCCATATAGTGGATAAGGGTAAGAAAAGAAGAGAAGTCAGAGGAACGATGGCTGTGTTCACGTGATCAGTGATCTTGTTTAGCCATATAAAGGAACAAAATAATAATAAAAACTTATCGATGCTAAAAAACTGTGTAACAAAACAATTAAAAGATGATTTTCCTAGTCTTATCATTTTAAAACACCCTGTAAGTAGTCCTATGTAATTAAAATATTTAGATCAATCATGAACGGCTCTTTTAGTTAGAGTATCAACCAAGTATCATTCCAATCAACAGACGACCCCGCGTAATGAGTTTTTAATAATCTATTACCAGGTAGAAAGACTTGTTTCTTGGCGCGCATTGTTTCCATGAGACTCTTCAGGTCGTGCTCTACGTAGTCCATGACGATGAAGATCTTGTCCATGTTGGAGCCGACTACGATTTCTCGCACCGTGACGATATTCGGATGCTGACCCTGTAATAACACAATGGAATGTGTCTATCGTTAGTGAGAGTTCACGGGCGGGCCTCAATGGTATAATTGTTCGAAACTGTACAGTGAATCTGTAGTGGTTTCCTGAAAAATGATAAAAATCTGAAAATAAGTTACTTCACATGACTTTCAAGCTGTTCCAAAACCGAAAGTTACCTCTGAAGAGAAAGGAGGCAGTGATCAGTTGTACAATTTCAAATACTAGCCATTTTAATATAGATATATTTATAAAAGAAAACAACTGATCGGCAACCTATTTCCTGAACAGACACGGACATGGAAACAGTTTTTAATTAGTGACTGTGCAAAAATACAGTTAGTTGTAACTTATAGAAAAATTACAATCCAATTCATCAGTAACAATTTTATGTTGAAACTTGTGCCTGTACATACTAAAATAGTACAAAGTTCATTTTTGCACATTTCTAACATTTTTGTGAAACCTGTAATGTACAAAACGAATTGACAAAAAAATTCAACATTTCCACAAAGTTACTTACTTACTCAACTCAATAGAACACTTCAGTATTAGTAATTTCTCTAAAGTTAACATGTATCAAGCGACTTGTGAAGCAACATACTCAGACGTTTATCATAATAATTATAACAAAATTAACGTATTAAATATTAAATACATAATTTTTTGTAACTTAGATTGTACTACAAAACAGAGAAATATAAATATTATGGATATAATAGTATTAATAACGTATAAAATAAAATGTCATAAAGTTTATATAATGAACATGATTATCAAATAATTTAGCAAGAAAGGAATGACATCGCAAATATTTTTCAACGAACCTGAGAGTAATTCATTCTACAAACATAGCTCTGAAGTCGAGGTGAATACGGTATAAATAATAAAAAAAAAAATGTTCTTCTAAATCTTTTTAAAACTTCTTGTCCGACTTTGAAAACAGTACTAAGATGCCCTTTTCAGAAATTCTCCTTAACAAATTAAAATCGAAGAAGAAATTCAAATCAGGGTGCGTACTTGTTTAAAAATTTTAAAAAAATCTCTTGGTGATAAACTTATTTTTTATGTGACTGATGAAGATGTGATGATGAGACGTGAAGATCTCGCAAAGATCTTAATTTACAATCGCTTCACGAGAGCAACACAGAATTGTTCGTTAAAAATTCAATAGAGATTATGATGAAAAAACTTAATACGAAATTTCTTTAACCAATAGAATTAAAATATGTGTTGAAATACATTTCTCAATAAAAAGCAACACTAGTAAAGTAATTATTAAAAATGACTCTTTTATTTTTTACTTCACCATAACGACAAAAAATAAATGATTTTGGTACCTTCAATAGCTCTTGAATTTTATATACTTTTATATTTTTATAAAATTAAAAATATATTAAAACCTTATCTGTAATATGCACATATTAACGTGATTAAAAGCGATAAGATATTTTTTTGAAACATTTCGACGAATAAACCAAACCTCTTTCTTTTTAATTGAGAGTTCTTTCTGTCAGAAACATTTCAAAATATTTGTGTGGATTGTACATTCCTTTCAAACTATTGTTTCTAGAGTGAAATTCATAGTTTATTAAGGTGGGCATGCGAGCCATTGATCTTATACGTGGAACACCACACAATAGTATATAAATTTGTTTTTTTCTGTATGTACATATATACAGGATGTTCCGAAAGAATCACGAAAGTACAGATACAAGGTTGCTCTGTTTATTGAGAAATCATTTCCGAACCTCCTGGCAGTTCAGTGATTCTCAAAACGCGACCAAAATTACGTAACACAACCTTACATCTATACCCACCATTATTGACCTGGTATTACTTATTTATGAGACAACCTGAATATGTATATAAGAATTCGATCACTTAAACAATTAGTATTGTTCAATTGACCAATTCTTTTTGTTCAACTACAAAGGCAGTTTTATTACACAATTTTCTTCCACGATTTTTCACGCAAATCACGATATACACATATATATATAAATACATATGTGCTTTCGTAGTTTAGGTATTACACATTCCAAAATATTTGAACTTCGAATACGAACATCGAAAAAATACAGCTATTTTATTGGTGAACACAAAACAACTTGACCCTACTTAAATGAGAAAGTATGCCACAGGGAAGTCGTTGGTTCAGTAAGTTTACAATAAATCTACATAAACGGACATATGGGGGACAAAAAATTTATCAAACCTTAAATATTGTTTTTTTTTTGTATCAAAATATGTCATACTCTCAGCAGACGTGGGACATATATTAATTAAAAAATATACAAAATACATAATTTAAAACATATTTTGTTATAACATAAAAATATGACTGCCCTTCGTCAGTTTACATCTATAGGTTTATTATAAACTTAAGTTTATAAAACGCATACACACTGCCAAGTTTATAACTCCTAGAACACACAAGTCGAAAACATCATTGTGGACTTAATTATTATACAAAATTAAACGCCTTAATAAATCGATTTAATTATTGTGCCTAACTTGACCAAATACATCATTATTTAGACCGTTATAGTTCTGCAATGTCTAGAAACTATTAACATGATTTTCAAGCATAATTATGTTGGAGGATTGTATAAATAGATGAAAGGATATAAATAAAAAATGGATAACGAAATCCGTAGACCAGGCTGACTTAGGAAGGCTGCTGTAAACTTGGAGACACCAATAGTTAACGACTGTGGACTGATGATGATGATGGAGATATAAATAAACATCAGGTAAGCACGCGTCGAACTTTGCACAATAAAGCGTTTCGTAGCCAGGATGAACGTTGTTAAAACATTTAAAAAAAAAACCTTTTTAATTTACCATCCTTAAAGATTTCGTAAAAATCTCCACATGATACTCAAAAAGCCGTTTCGACTCATATTTACAACGCCTTAAAAGCGTATCCACTCGTATCGACTTAAAAAAAATTTGGGTTGAGGCGGTGTGAAAATTCTTAAGGTCATGGCTGTTTCATTACAGTCGAGACTTTTTAGTAGAAACATAATGAATCCGTTGAAATAGAATTATATTTTTTTTACATAGCCTGGTGAACGAGTTCTGGTAATTAGTTACCGGAACACCTAGACCTCAAAAGGTGAAGACTATGAGTAAAGTCAGTCTCAATTACATATTTTATATAACAGCTGCCCCACCCATCGAACTGAAAAATATGACTGCTGAAACGATTTATTTATTTAAAGATTTCAATTGTTTACTTGAGTAATCATCATAACTACAAAAATTGCTTTCACAAACTTTTTTTCCTAAGAAATAATTGATAAACGAAAATTAAAATAGTTTGGGAACGATTTTGCGAAGTACCTTGGGGGTTCCGTAGTACTTATGTAAATTCAATCATTGTTATTCAACAGCCATCGGTGAAAACTAAAAGAAATTTACTAATTTCAGCAAATAAAGTTTTTTTTGTCCTTGTTGACAGACAATCAGACGATCCGTAAGGACGTGTTTTTTAACTTTCTCGATAGCGTAAAAGATAAGTCAAATTTGTATGGAGTTGGAACGTTTGCCTACGTTTGCCGCTACTGTTCCGCTACTGTTGCCGCACTGTTCCAGCTGCATACAATATCAGGTAACTTTTACGCTATCGAGAACGGTAAAAAACTCGCACTAAGCACACTGATGGTGAATGGTTACCGACGCTTATAGACGCGAGTAATGCCAATCCAAGCCTCTGCCTACCCTGCCTAGCTAGGACCTAGTTTTATGAAGTCTTCGGACCGCAAGGTCTGTTATTTAAGAGATTATTCGTAATAAATGTAACTTTTTTATAAGTTTTTGACTAAAGCTAAACACTAATTACAAAGTGTGTTATAATTTGTGTCTAATTAAAATTAGGCTTTATACTATGATTACCACCAAGTTAGTCGTCTTTTTTCGCCTCAGAAGACGTTGAAGTTGCGTTTGAGTAATTGTTTTTTGAATAAATTTAAATTTTACGCTACATCCGGCCACCCAGTTTAATCAATCGACACTTAACCCAAATTATTAACAGCACGATTTTTTAAGTTTGTTCTAATTCATAGTTATACATACAGAATATTATACATACATACCGATCATTATACATATATACCGAACATTATACATACATACCGAACATTATACATACATACAGAAATTGTTCACACGCTCGCAATATTACATTTGAGTCGACTATTATCAAAGCCGGCAATGTGACTTTTGGACAATTATTGGTAAATCAGAAAAACGAATTATTGACTTTGTATTCCATTGGCAGTCACAAAACTCCTCTGATCGACATCTTAGATAAATAACAGGTTAAGTATTAACCTTTATTTAATGCAGGTTTTGAACTGTATTCTTTGAAGGAGACGATTATATTCAAATCAATCTGTATTGACATATCAATAACATTTTTGTCCAAATGCACAGATTGCCACCTTTGATAATAGACGACTCATTTAAAACGGGTCTGTGACGTGGGTGGGCTTCCGCCAATTTCCTGCTGAACTATAAGATTACCGCTTTACTAATGGCGCATTACCGTTGTAATGTCGCCAAAAGATGCAAACAACACAAGAACATAATACATCTAACGAGATCGTAAGCTAACGAGATATTGAGATCGAACCAAATTTTTTTTTCCTATAATAGAATACCCAGACTGACAGACCGATACCATACGGTTTAAACCCAGTAGATCTAAAATGAAAATTTGCAGAAAAATCATTCATTTCATGTTTTTTCATTTCATCTTAATAAAAAAATCCAAAAAAGTTCCAAAACAAAATACAAAGGGATCAAAGAGTGTACGAACTCACCGTCCTGAGTCAGAGGGTTCTAAGTGGTCAAAAGACCCGCTCAAACAGTTAAAATCTGAAAACCGATCCCCGGTTTCAGATATGAAGTCTTTTGAGAATGCGATTAAATCATTCCTGTGTATGAAGGAGCAAACAGGTATTAATAATAACTTGATTGGTTAATGGAGATTTACCACACAACACAAGATACTCCTAAAGGTTGTACTTTTAACTCGTAAATAACGTAATTAAACAAATATAAATCTCTAATTTAGTTAAAACAAGCCTGTTATTTGGTTATTACAGGAGTCAGACGCTCATTCCCGAAGCCTAAACAGGAACAGGCCTACCGTTTTAACCTAAGCGTATACTAATTTTTGTTACTTTACGTGCCATACAAAAAGATAGTTAATTTAAAATATTTCTATATATGTATTAAGTGTTATCCGATTAGAAATCACCGACAGCACCCATCTGTCTTCGTTTTCACGAACCGTTTCAACACATCCTGTATATTGAACCAAAAGTAGAATGCCGTCTAATGTCTGAAGGCAAAACATAGTTAAAACAGTTGTCTGTTGACAAGATTACAATCGCTTTTAATCGCGTTACCTTTTAAAAAAGTATCATTTGATATTAATCTGATGAAAAATCTACAAAAATCCTTTTTTTGTGTTGAAGACAGATAGTTCGTCGGCTACCATTAGAGTGTATTTTAATTTTAAAATAAATCTATTAGACGTTAAGTAGAAACCATACAACAGAATAGAAGAGCTTAAGTTAATGAAACATAACTAGTCGCAATCCTTTGAAAAAATTAACGATTTATATGATTAAAGATATGTATTAATTCTATTGCTAATCGAAATATTTATACGTAGTTCAAGTGTGCTGTCTGTAGCTATGCACATGCAAAATTCCTTGGCACACCTGGATCCTGAGATCCACGATCTAAGCGAAAGCAGTTAAGACATAAGACTGATGCTTATAAGTGTTAGTTAATTGGCAGAAATAACCACATTGACCTCTAAATTCAATGATAACATTCTTAAGATTAAAATCAACTACAGATATGGCTAATAATTGATGAAACATTGGCTATTTTACATTTACGGGTTTAATACAAACAACAACAAAACAAAATAACAATAGTGTCACCACCGAAATCGCTCTAGGTATAAGACCATGAAGGGCGTGGGGGAAAGCCATGAAACTAAATTATTTGTGGACAATTCCTAACAGTGTTATGAGATTTTTTTTTTACAAAATCTTATAGTAAGGTGGCCATGAATTCCAAAGAACAGTTAGTTAAAGCGAAGACATAAGTTACTAGCCCCGGCTGTTCATAAACAAGATTTTTTTTTGCTAATGTTGTACGGGCCGCCATGAAGTTTGATTAAAAAATCAAATCTCTTTTGTAAGCTATTTTCCTCTTTTAAGTTAACATGAAATATGAACTAAAAACAAACGCGAGAAACGTTTAAAATGTTAATTCGTTTGACAGCTCGACCGGTATTTAATTCGTTCTAGATACATTTATTTTTATGTTAGAACTTAATTGCTTTGGAAATAAAATTCCTAACTGTATAATACGATACGCTGTAACTATGGCAAGATATTTGAAATACTAACACTTTTCAGCACAGACCAATAAAAAAAAATATCTATATGTATATTATATATTATTATTATCATAGATTGTATTGCTTGTAACTTAACATAATAAAAATAATGAGTTAATATTTCTTTGTTGACAAATAATTCTCACTCTATATTTTTTTTGTAATGGAGTTCTCTCTGTTAACTCCATTACCAATAGATACCAAAACAGTTATTTTATGATGGCAGCTCTGACGAATTGCTTGAATTTATGAATAATACCTAAATAGGTAGGGTTCTTTAATAATAATTAAGCCATAATTAAAAGTTTTAAAAAAATGGATCAAGGAGACTGCAACACCAAGTTCTCTTTTATATTCAATATCGGCCACTGATGGTTGTTTCTTTAACAATCAACAACAATATTTCAGGAATTGAATTTGTGTCTTCAATACGCATACTGCAATATTTGACATCAATATCATTCCCTGATTTAGTCAATAAATTATTCACAGTAAATAAATCATTCACTGGACTACAATGACATCAAGTAGTACTTACTGCCTGTACTATATTTCATGATATTGTGCACTTCTCAGCATTTCTTTTAAAGTTGAAAATATATGACTATGAAGATCTTTATTTTTATATTTTTTCATTGTTTAACATGTAAAGAGAAACAAAGTGTACAATTTATAAAATAAAAGCAGTAAGAATGTCATGTAATAGGTACTTTATAGTCATTACAGAATTGTTTGTGATGTATTTGGTCAGTTATTATTAAACTATAGCGAATGCACACAGTCAAATTAGCAACATCTTTTCCCTAAGGCCTATACAACGTTATTTTTAGTATATTCGAAACCTGAGAGGTTGGCTGGTAAAACAGATTTTAATATGGTTAAACACTATGAGATTCACCTCAAAATCCTAAAAAAAATATCCAAGATGGACAATACATAGTTATTATACATAGAGTATTGACATGTATTGTAAACTTACACATCGCAGTAGTTGCCTTCAATCCAAAAATATTTTACATGATTCATCACAATAATAATATACCAGACCATTGACTAGTCCAAGGTGGTGTACTAGTACATAAAGGAAGTCGATAGTTTAATCAACTTTTATTAGTGTTAGGTTATGGCAAGTTTTAATTAATTGTGTGTGATGAGCTGTTACAGATAACTACAAGCGATTGTAGATTTTTGTTTTCTTTTTTATATTATTTTTGCTGGTTCGTATAATAAAATTCCGTATCGGTGTTCCGACTTTTGCATATACTAAAAATAATGTTGTATAGTAAACTTTACCTTCTTCTTGATGTTATTCTTCGAAGCAAACTGGGTTAACAATTTTTTTTGGCAAGTGATGTAACTATTGTGAATCAATAGTTTTCGATGTTCGTATTCTAAGTTTATTATTCCCTTGGAAATATTACTGTTGTTAAGCTCATGTTCATACATGGTAGAAGTAAGTTTTGGAGGGTTCATCCCCAGGAATAAATTCCTTATAAGATACATAGGCCCGCCCGTGTATCGAAGTTGTTAACCCTTGCAATCGGGTCACACCTCTAGCACAACCCTCTTGCAGGTAAGAGGTGCCGGGCCTGTAGGAATAAAATACANTATTATTCCCTTGGAAATATTACTGTTGTTAAGCTCATGTTCATACATGGTAGAAGTAAGTTTTGGAGGGTTCATCCCCAGGAATAAATTCCTTATAAGATACATAGGCCCGCCCGTGTATCGAAGTTGTTAACCCTTGCAATCGGGTCACACCTCTAGCACAACCCTCTTGCAGGTAAGAGGTGCCGGGCCTGTAGGAATAAAATACAAGCATTAATGTAGTGAAAACAGCACATGAGCCATCGAGTGCTTCACAGCTCGTGGCTCTCAAAAGAGGTACATACTTGCTTATCTATTATAATATATCTACAACAAACAATATACCTCCAACATTAGAGCAGTGATGCAGTATGATGGCTCAGGTGAGCTTAGTATTCATTAAATTGATATTCAGATCCTACCTTAAGTAATGTGTTGATCTCTCTTAGTGATGTAATTGGAAATCCTTCTTTTTCCTTTTCCATTTTAAGTCGTTTTAATGCTACAATTTCATCAGTTGTTTTATCACGTGCTCTATAAACAACTCCATATGTACCCTCTTCTATTCTGTTGAGACACTGAAACTCTTCAACTGATCGACAGCCCTAGAAAACATTTTCAATAACACATAAACATGGCTTCGTAACAAATGTTTAGTTGTTTGAAAACTCATTTTTTGGACAAAACTAATGATTTAGTTTCATTGGATCGAAATTAAATTGCATTAACATGGAATCAGGTATTCAATGCTCCATGGCAACTAACTTGAATACCTATTTAATAAACTGAAATTGAATGAAAATTTTCATTTACTTACATATTTATTGAACATAAAATCCTTGTAATATTTATGAACATTAGAGACTGCATTGTAAACCAATGGCCGATGTTGCTAGTCAATATTTCGAAAATAGGTTAACAATACATCTTGCATATAATTTAACAGAGCATACCATTATTTACATGTAACTATGACAAAAACAAGAGAATTACCTGCAAAGCAGGATAATATGGTGGCAAAGAGTTGATGACTTCTTCTCGCAGTCTGGACTTCTCTTCATTTTCTTTCGGTGTTTCTTCTTCAAGAGTCTTTGCTGCTTCTCCTAGAGGCGGCGGTGAAAATGAATGTGATCTACTTCTACTTTTTGACCTTGATTGTGACCTAAAAAAATTAATCACAAATCTTCAATGTGGAGAAAAGGTGTTGATTATTTTTTATTTCATTTTACTTTAACTCACCTTCTAGAACCATGTGATGAAGGACTCTTTTGGTTTATATCTGGTATGGGTGATTTTGATTGAGACTTAATTCTGACTTTATCACAAAGTTTTGAATTTTCTATCTCCTTGTCTGATTTATCATTATCATCGTGCTCCTCCTCTGTTTTGGATTCAGCTCCAGAATCAGAATCAGTACTTGAACTTTCATCAGCAGTATCCGTATTTGTATGTTCACCTTAAAGCAAAAGAATTAAACATAAACCAGCGCAAATTTACCCCACTTTAAGAGGTTTGAATTTGAAACAATTAAAAAAAAAACAAATTATCACAATTACCATCTTCTGGTTCTGAATGGGAATCACTCTTTATTTCGATGTCACTAGCATCAGAGACAGTCACAACAGAATCTCCATACGAAGGTGACTGTTCCGATTTACTTTTCTTGAAAGATTTCTTGTCCTCTGGTGAAATTGAGCGTTTTTTACCGCGGCGACGCCGTTCCTCGCGTCTTGCTTCTAACTCACTTCGGAATTCGTGTTTTCTTTTTTCTTTCTCTCGTTCTGAAATAATTGAATTGAAGTAAGCCTTTAAAAATCACATGGACATTGATAGATTTTGGACAGAAACTTACCTGCTTCAATCATTCGCTTTCTTCGTTCTTGCTGTAATTTGTCGAGAGAAGAATGATGCTCTGATTTTGTTTCCTTATCCATATACTCTGAACTTTTCTTTGACTCTTGACTTTGCAATTCTTTTGATATACGTTTACTAAGTAGCCTTGTTCTTAAATCCTCTAGTTCTTTATCACCAGAAGTTTTATCTCGGTTTTCTTTTTCATTATTATGGTTACTATGGCTTTCGTCTGCTAATTGTCTTAATCTAGATTCTATTCTCTCAGGATCAGCACGTTTACGTTCTATCTCTGTATATTTATAAGCTCTTTCTCTATTTCCCGTGTACAATTCTCTTTGGACCTCCTTGTCTTTGAATGCATCTTTTTCTCTAAATGTTTCCCTTGTCCTGGTGGTTTCTCTAAAGTTGGGGTTTTCTCTATACATTTCTCTATCCCTATAATGTTCCCTTTCTTTGTAAGGTTCTTTGTCTCTATATGCTTCCCTTTCACGATATGGATCTTTTTCTCTAATTTCTTTCTCACGGTACATATCCTTAGGCTCCCGATAAATTTCTTTCTCTCTGTAGATTTCCTTATCTCTATACAACTCTTTTTCTCTATATGTTTCTTTGTCTCTAAACATTTCTTTCTCTCTATAAATATCTTTTTCCCTGTAGTATTGTTTTTCTCTATAGTAATCTTTGGCCATTTCTTCTCGATCAGAAGTTTTTATAAGTTCTCTTTTAGATTTTTCAGACTTATCACGGTCCCTGTTAAAAAAGGTTTATATTGATCTATAACATTCCCAATGTCAGTAGGATGACCAACCTTAAAGCATAATATTAGATGAATTTAATTGTTTCAAATAACTATCAAACACCAACAAAGTGAGAAATAATTTATCATTTCTTCATTAAGATAATAAATATAATAATAAAAACAATCACCATAAATCTTGGCAATGCAAATCTTTACCTATCTGAGTGATATAGATAAATTGTTTTTTTNAACATTCCCAATGTCAGTAGGATGACCAACCTTAAAGCATAATATTAGATGAATTTAATTGTTTCAAATAACTATCAAACACCAACAAAGTGAGAAATAATTTATCATTTCTTCATTAAGATAATAAATATAATAATAAAAACAATCACCATAAATCTTGGCAATGCAAATCTTTACCTATCTGAGTGATATAGATAAATTGTTTTTTTTTCCTGTACCAAATTTGATAATTGCTATTATTTCTTTTCTGTTATCATTAAGAGTAAATTACTATTCTAACCTATTTGTCATTAATAATATATGAAAAGCTTTGTTATTACATTAATCACTATAAACAAATAAACAAATGGTTAAATAATAATAATAAATCTAGGTTGTGCATCAAGAAAACAACACATTCATGTTCTTAGCTGTTACCTGAAGAGATGCTTCTTTTCTTTTCTAGATGTGTCTTTGTATTTATCTTTTGCAGATCTCTTGTGGCGCTTGTCCCTGTGTGTGGTTCTAATCACTGCTTGAGGAGGCTTGATAATCAGTGCATCTGGGTTATCTCTGTCTTCGTCAGATAAACTAAAACAACATTTAATATGCTATAAAATGGAATTTTATGTGATTTCAATCTAGATTTAAAATGGAATTAATGTCAATTTTAAATGAATATGAATAGTTTGTAAAATAAAATTTACTTACATTTTAGCATGACGGTCATGTTGGATAACTCAGCTCAGAAAGCATACAAGTAAAATGATTTTAATGTATAGTAAATCTATCAAGCAATTCGTTTTAATAAATTAGTTATTTGCTGTGCGTTTGCTAAATTTAGATGTTTATTTAAATTCCTCACATCTTTTATAATGACTTAGGTGATTTTAATTTTACTTCAATGTTTGGCTAAATGCTGATACTGCTTAACCTAAATAAGTAATTTAAAGCGAAACAGTAAATCTAGGAAAATGTGGTTTTCAAACGAAAAGTTTGAGTGTTTTTGTTATTAACTTAACATTAAAATACGCTGAAATGGTAACAAAGAAAAGGGGAGTGCTAATGAGTTTTCAAGAAACACGCCATTACAACGAAGGTTGTGCTGTGAGATAATCTTAGTTTAACTGGCCTAATAACACGTTTATATGCTAAAAAAGCGAGAATATATGCCGTTTGGATTAAGTGAACATTATTCTTACCTGAAATCCATTTCGTCGTGTATAGGACTCCGTGCTAATTCTCCATCTTCACTTTGATCGTCTTCATAATTACTCATGATTTTTAGTATTTATAGTATAATTTACAAACAAACCAGAAAAAAAGTAAAAAAATTATAAGGATAAAGAATTCAAATAGAAGTAATATTATTTGTTCATTTACTAAGTAATGGCATTAGGCGCAACAATTTCCTTGATAGATGTTGTTTAACGTCCATGAGTGGCCATTTTGATTTTTGATCCGTTTTTTATTATTTTGTTTAGGGCTAAAGGAAACTAGACGTTTTAGTCAAATTTCTATTTCTAAAATTAAATGTTCTGTAAATATTAAAAAATTTCAGAGGCGCTAATGTCGAAATGTTATTTATTTTTAAAATAGCTTTACTATGGTTGACAATCATTCTGGATATGTTTCACAGTTCGAGTTTATGACATTTTGGTAATAAATTTTACAAAAAATTCCGTAGGTATCAAATCACTTTTTGTCTAAAAGACACGGATTCGCCCTATCCTATTAGAAGAACATAAAGTATAAACATATCCTAGAATAAATGAATTTAATAATACCGTACTGTTTTAGATACCTTTTTTTTTGGTCAGGAGGAAAACGCCGGACTTCCGCCGCGGCGCCGTCCACTGGGGATGAAGGGCGGGGCATGTCAGAGTCGACCTCACTAAAACCTCCTGTCGCTCAACAACCAACGTCCAAACCTCGCATGGGACAGAACTCATGAAAAGGCAAAGGGGGAAAGTGAAGCGTTTAGTGCGGAGCACATCTCTCCCATCACCCTCCCCTTCGGGACGCCAAACCGACGAACGTCGGCGCCACGACCACCAGCCCTCTCGGTCCGCAGGCTATCCGAAGCCCGCCTAGATGGCACCGGTTAGAGTGAGCTATCTACCCCGCTGGACCAGAACCAGCGTGGGACAAGGATAGCCGGCCTTCCATCACCCAGATGCTCTTGCGTAAAACGCGTGCAGAGCAGCTTGCACGTCGTCTTCTTAAGCCCCCCTCGCCAGTCCCTAGACCGACATGTGAGGGGGACCCGAAGCACTTAGAGGGCCAGGGCTTGGGCGAGATCCGCCTGCCTGGCCCCCGCTCGACGGCGCCGGCGGGATTGTGCGTCTCACACGCGTCCCGCTGCCTCCCTTTAGATACCTATACTGAATGATATTTAAACTATTGCATATGGCAACAGTTCAAACTTACCAATTTTTATGGCCGGATACGAAATAGCAATTTTTGCTGGGATTTATTAATACAAAGCTCAAGTATCTTACGTTGAACAAAGAACCTCTGAAATTCTTTGTGCTCTGTATCGCCTAAAGAATTTCTTACAATCAGCGACTAAGACTATGCTAGTACAAACCTTGATCTTCCCTATGATTGATTACGGTGATGTGTGTTATTTTGACCTGAATGCAGACCTTCTTAATAAACTTGGTCGTCTTCTTATTATCTGCATTCGATTAATTTTTAATCTTCGTAAATATGATTATATATCTTCACTCCAGCCATGAGCGGGCTCTACGTTCTCTCCATAATAGCCTATTAATTCTTTGTCCCACACATAGTTCTAGTTATGTTCATAACTCTTTCGTCGTGCAGTTCGCACTTCCTCTCGAGAGACTATTACTAACCGGTGCGAGTTCAAGTTAAGGGTTCGGCGAATGCTGTTGGAAAAGTTAGCGTTATCGTCATGAACTTATTAAGATGAAGTTATTTGTTAAGGGAATTTATAAATATATTCCTTTTAATACTGTATAAACTCTTAAATCTATGTATGTATGTATATATGTGTGTGTGTGTGTGTGTGTATGTATATAAATGTATATGTGATTGTGTGTATATATATATACTTTTTGTGTATGTATTTGTAACTTAATATAAATTTCATTGCACCTACCACTATTTACTCTGTACTATTTTTGGTTGACTGGTAAAGAATGCCTTAGGCATTAAGTCCGCCAATGTGAATTTTACACGAAGTGTTATAAATAAATAATACAAGCTTTCAATAGAAAAAATGCATTAAAATACTTAAACTTGTATCTATTCTGAAAATATATCAGTTCTTGCCATAGGAATTTAAAATTTATTTCAATATTTACTTTTGAAATATCAGTAAGAAACATATTTCAAGCCAGCTATCAACAATTAATCGAGCGAATAAACCACAAAGCAAAGATATTGTTTTGTTAGAAAGTTGACCAAAACTCATTAACCTTACTGTTAAATATATTTAAATAACAGAAAAGTGGTTATGGTCAATTTAACTTGTTGTTGACTTGTTTGTTATATTATTAATTGTTCAATTTTATTATTACTTAGTAACTGTTCAAAATTAAATTATGTCGGTAGACTCTTTATCGCCACAATGCATCATAGTCGTCAATCATTAGCCATAATACTAATTTCACGACGTAGATGTTTTACAGTTACCACAATGCGTTGCGGATTGTTTTTCACTTAATGAGCGTTTTTGATCTTTGAAATGAGTACCTTTATTTGGTGTTAAAGATAATAGCCAATAATAATATAATCACTTCGAGTTAAAATATTTATAATAACTTATAAAAATTCCAGATGAAATGAAATCACCTCAGTTAGTCACTAGAATAAAACCTCTTTACAGCAGTTCCATGAGACATCTAGATGAAGACGGTTATTTCAGCTTTTTTAAATACTAGCTTATGACAACTTTCTATCATATATGTTCCGCATGTGACTATCCTATTATGGATTAGAATATAACTGGACTTATTGGCTAGATATAAGTCCACTGAAAAATCTCAGTAAATGACCACCATTTTACTGAGATTATATTTCATCCCATATGATTTTATCTCATTTCATTTAAATTCATCCCAGTTGGTTGATGTCTCAAATTAATCATCTTCATTTCATTTCACTCCATATTATCATTTTTCATATAAAAAGAATAGAAATTAAAATAAGACATGACCTAAAAGTCTTAGCTACCAGATCATAAAATCTCTTAAAAAAAAATTGTATAGATATTACACTTTTCAATTGGCAAATAAAGGGTCACAAATCACAATGAATGTTACAGTTCATAATATTTATGAAATTATCAGAACATTCAGAACCAAAGGACAATCAAAATATATAGTTCTATAAATTTTGGGTGTATTATTCATGTGCTTTTTATTCAACAATCAAATTAGTGCTTCTGATGTATATTGAATAAAAATAAAATGATGGTGCTTTACCTTCCTTAAATCAGTATAATGTGTTAATAAAATTAATAAATAGAATTTGCACTTGAAGAATAACAATGGTACGGTTTGAAATTTATTTTCGTTTTCATCGATTAAGTATATAAAATAATTTTATAAGTAGTAAAATTAATATTGGTCAAAATGAGAATTACCTAAACTTTAATTCTTAGATAAAATTTAAACAGCAAGAACAAAGTAGTAACTGAGATCATTAGAAGTACCCTTATAAACATATTTAATGTTTCTTCGTAGTTGTTTGAAACTTATTTAATGAATTCTAAATTATTTACAGAATAGTAAAATTTTAAATACTTTAGCTAATGCAATTGATCCTAAAGAAGAAATTATGAAAAGAGCTGAAACTGGAAAAGTATTACTCAATGAACTTTCAAAGTGTACACAAAATTGTCTCAACCGATTTGCTGGAAGATCTGAATTGGCTACTGAAGATGATCTCAGGTAAACAAATTCCAATAAGTTATTAGGTTTGGACAGTCCATACTGCTTTCATGTTCCTGTTATATTAAACTTGTTAAGAATTTATATTGAACTGTAATCATTATAGAATAATACAGCTGTGTGAAAAATGGGAAGCCATATTAAGACATGGAATAAGAACAAATTTGTCGAACTCAACCATACAAAGCTTGGTGACTGCAGGTTTAAATTTTACATTCAATATTGTAAATATAGGTATGTGTGAGATGTTACTGTTATATCTTAAATTATGTAAAACAAAATATTGAGAATTTACTGAAACTTTAAAATTGTAGGCAACTCATTATGGAGCTATACATGTTTGCATTTGACAAAACATGAAAAAGAAAGATTTAAAATATTGTCAAACATAAACACACCCCTTGGATATTTTAGAGCATTCTTAAGGGCTTCCTTAAATGAAAGATCATTTGAAAGGTAAATATAGTATAATTGGTCATTAGCAAAATGATTGTTTGCATTTCATGGGATCAAGTATTTTGATTGTCTACTATCCCATAATCTTTAAAAAATTCTTATAATGCTTCTTTAGTCCTTGGTTCTGTAGGCAGGTGCAGATTTGCAAAATTTTAAGTAGTGTTGTGTTCAAGAGCAATTAATATAAAGGTATACAAACAGCATCTGATTTGTGAAAACTATGCTGTGCCTGTACCTTTTCAACACGATTTTGTCTATTAAAGCAATAAAATTTAAATTTATTGACGAAAGAGTGTGGAAACAATTTTACAAAATGCTCATAGTTTTCATTTTGAGTAAATGTTTTGGTTGTATTATAATATATATTAAAATTTAGATATCTGCAAAGCTGGGTGGCGCATGGCTTATTAATGGAATATTATGAAGAAGGGGCTCTTGTGAGAGATTCTGAAGCTTCCTTGAAACTTCCTAATATTGCATCTGGTAATATTAATACTTTGTTAAAAAATGATGTTATCATGTTTATAATACAATGTTTCTGGTCATATTTCAGGCTTATCATCCATTCTATTTGCGTTATCAATTGACAGACCTGAGTTGAATGAATCACAACAGTCAAGTCAAGTAGATAAAGTAGAGCATGTTATACCACTACCGACACCAGTCAAGTCCTCTGGGAACTTAAAACGGAAACCATTACGTCAAGTTATATCATTTGATAAAAATGAACGGAAGACTCAGAACATTGATCATAGTAAAGAGATACACTCAATCAACAGCAAAGATGATGCAATGTGGAACAGTGCACCGGCAACTTGCCTTAATTCTCCTGATCCTAAAATTGTGCCTCAAATATCATCAACAAGTGAACCTGCAAGCTCAGATTTCAAAAGTGGTTTCAGACATTTCTTTCCTGATAGTGTGAAAGGTATAGAAAGTCCTTCACAAATTTTAACAAAACTTTCTGAATGTGCCAAAGAAATATTTTCATCTTCAAACAGTATAGAAACAAACAATACTGCTAAAGATGATGCGTCAGAATTGAGTGTTAACAATTTAAAAATATATGAAAGTGACAGTGAGGAAGTAGCTGGTAGTATTGATGGAAGTACATCGTGCTTGGAACTTTGCTTCACTGAAGATGAAAGTGCACCAGACGATAAATCATTACTTTCCTTGTTGGAAAATAAAGATAAACAAATTTTGATGTTACAAATGAAATGTAGCCAGTTAGAAGTAGCAAGCAAAGATAAATTTCGAAAACTTGAAAAAGTAATAATAGATCTCACCAAGTAAGTAAAGTTTTTTATTATTATTATTATTGCCCTTGTAGGCAGACGAGCATACGGCTCACCTGATGGTGAGTGGTTACTGTTGCCCATCGACTTCAGCAATTCCAGGGGCCTACAAAGTGGTTGAAAGTCATTATATTTAAACACTTTTTTTCATAACAACTAATATTCTCATTGAATAACAATGATCTAGTCTAGGTTTTGACTGTTATATTTTTTTGTACATCACATAAATATATATCCGTTGCTTATCTATGCAAAAAATTGTTCAACTTTTCATAGAACAATATGATACAGCACTCAGGTTATGTGTTGAGTAGTGATTCCAGTGCCAAGAAACTAAGTCAAACTTAATACCTTTGCTTTTTTCCTAAGCTATGTGTGGTTCACCCTCTTCTACAAAATCCCAAATCGATTAGTTGATATATGTTCATATATTTAAAAAAGTCTACAGAAACATGTCTTGAAACAAGGCTTGTGGAGAGTACTTAACGGTAAGCAGCAGCTTGGCTCTGTCCCTGGCATTGCTGAAGTCCATGGGCGACGGTAACCACTCACCATCAGGTGGTCGTATGCTCGTCTGCCTACAAGGGCAATAAAATATAATAAAAATAATACATTTGTGTAATAATGCTCAATAATATCATAAAGTTATGCATATTTTACTGGTGCTAGGACCTCTTGTAAGTCCGCGCGGGTAGGTACCACCACCCTGCCTATTTCTGCCGAGAAGCAGTAATTCGTTTCGGTTTAAAGGGCGGGGCAACCGTTGTAACTATACTTGAGACCTTAGAACTTATATCTCAAGGTGGGTGGCGCATTTACGTTGTAGATGTCTATGGGCTCCAGTAACCAAGGTGGGCTGTGAGCTCGTCCACCCATTTAAGCAATAAAAAAATGAATATATTCGTGGCGTAAGCATCATAAAAGGCGGTCGAGCGATTCACTAGACTATGAGCAGCATCATTCTTTGAGTATTATACAAACGTATTGCGATCGCCAACCAACAATTACTGGTAGTAGGGCGTGTTGTAAAGCCACATGGGTATGTACCATCACCCTCCCCGCTTCCGCCGCGACCAGTCAAGCTTCCCACTTCGAAGGGTGGGACAGCCGTCATACAGTACAATTAAAAATCAGACTTCCATCTATCAAAGTCGGTAAGTTCATGTGCATGAACTTTAGTAATCATTTCCACACCGGTTATGCCTTGAGCCTGTTATCTAAGCAACTCAAAATTAAGAAAAATCAAACAATTTGCTTAAATCCAAAGAGTTTGGTTAAATCCAAAAAATTAACGACACACGTATAATGTTGAATTTAAGAGAAAACGACACGATAAAGGAGCAGTTACGACATTACATGTCCGCTGTGGATATGGGCAAAGCTCTAAGGAATAATAATGTTCGGGAGGAAGCAAATAATGACAACACTGATGAAATAAACCAGTATGAAAGAAAACTTGTTCAGGTATAGTTATACAATGCTAATTAATTACATTGAAAATGTGTTAATTTTTTTTACCTATTGTGATACCTATTTTGCCTATGCTGATAGCCTTGAGAGGCTGTTTCAGCTTCACCCTAACGTGTAGGTGAGCTCACGGGGCTCAAACCGGAGTGTTGCTAACACTGGCCCTAGCAAAAGCCGTGCTTCGCAGAATCTACCACCGGATCGGAAACGCGACCCACTGAGAAGATCCGGCGAGAATCTCAATGGGCTGTGTCTATGGGTTGAAAAGCCTACATACCAATACCTACATACATATTTTTTTGCTTTTAATTATTAAATTTGTTACAGGTAGCCCAGATGCATGCAGAGCTGATGGAGTTTAACCAGCATCTGGTGCAGAGGCTACAAGAATTGGAAAGCACATGTGCCCTCGAACTATTAGATTACCCTGAGTCTAATGTTAAGGCTCATATTCCCAGTGCATTTTTAGTTGGAAAGAGAACACACTCCTTTCATGTTTATCAAGTAAGATTTTCATACATCATACAATCCTTAATGAATAGATTAATTGGGATATCATTAATATTAAACAAAAAAATATATAAAATACTTTCATTCTATATTTAACGGTTAAATTGCAGATTTTTCTAAAAGTTGGCAATGAAGAATGGAGCGTCTACCATAGATATGCGAAGTTCCACGAACTTCATACGCAGTTAAAAAAATGTCATCCCGATATAGCAACATACAAATTTCCACCTAAAAAAACCTTAAGAAAACGGGTAAGCCTATGCAAATTACTTAACATGATATTTATGACAGAACATGCTTACTGTTGAAAAAACAAAATATTTTTTAGTAAAAAACACCCTGAATGAAGAAGTCTTCATCTAGTTTTATTGGTAGGGTGTTTTGGTAGGTTACTTAGTCGAAGTACTCTTGTCGCCTGATCGTGATTATTTTGAAAAATGTCCTACCCACTTGAGCAGCAAGCAGCATCAGGGCGCACCGGTATATTTTAGTAGCTGCACAGAATTAACATTAATTGTACTTGGAATTAAGAATTTTATACAAAATTTAAATGCAGAATTTATTAAGTTGCTATATTTGGTGCAATACCTGCTATACTTTTATATTTTCTAGAATTTCTGTAAATTAAACGGTTGTCTAGAAGAGATCGCATTTAGCGATAAGACCGCCTATTGTACAAATGAATTCACCGTGGAAGTCAATCGTGAACATTTGTTGAGTATTGTAGTAAAGTATTGGTGGTAGGACCTCTTGTGAGTCCGCACGGGTAGGTGCCACCGCCCCGCCTATTTCTGCCGTGAAGCAGTAATGCGTTTCGGTTTGAAGGGTGGGGCAGCCGTTGTGACTATACTGAGACCTTAGAACTATATCTCAAGGTGTGTGGCGCATTTACGTTGTAGATGTCTATGGGCTCCAGTAACCACTTAACATCAGGTGGGCTGCGAGCTCGTCCACATATCTAAGCAATAAAAAAAAAAAANAGTAGGTGTCTGTGTGTGCGTGCGCAGCGGAGTGCGTGTGAATCGGTGACCATTTTATTTCCACGAAATTGGAATAACTAATTTCACAAATAATCAATGTTAACGCACATATAAATAATATTTGGTGTATGCATAGCGTTTATACTATTAAAGTCTAATTGGGGTGTTTGAGGGTGTGCGTTAAATATGTTACATGTTGTATTTAACGGATATTGCAGATTTTTCTAAAAGTTGGCAATGAAGAATGGAGCGTCTACCATAGATATGCGAAGTTCCACGAACTTCATACGCAGTTAAAAAAATGTCATCCCGATATAGCAACATACAAATTTCCACCTAAAAAAACCTTAAGAAAACGGGTAAGCCTATGCAAATTACTTAACATGATATTTATGACAGAACATGCTTACTGTTGAAAAAACAAAATATTTTTTTAGTAAAAAACACCCTGAATGAAGAAGTCTTCATCTAGATTTATTGGTAGGGTGTTTTGGTAGGCTACTTAGTCGGAGTATTTTTGTCGCCTGATCGTGATTATTTTGCAAAATGTCCTACCCACTTGAGCAGCAAGCAGCTTCAGGGCACTCCAGTATCTTTTAGTAACTGCACAAAATTAACATTAATGTTCTTGGAATTAAGAACTTTATACAAATTTAAAATTAAGAATTTATTAAGTTGGGGAGGTTCGAAATATCGCTACTTCACTAAACCCGATACTTTCTTTTTATATTTTTTTTATAGCTTAGAAGGTTCACAGCCCACCTGGTGTTAAGTGGTTACTGGAGATAGACATCTACAACGTAAATGCGCCACTCACCTTGAGATATAAGTTCTAAGGTCTCAGTATAGTTACAACGGCTGCCCCGCCCTTCAAACCGAAACACATTACAGCTTCACGGCAGAAATAGGCAGGTTGGTGGTACCCACCCGTGCGGACTCGCAAGAGGTCCTACCACCAGTACTTTATCAATAATTGATATGAAGATAAAGTGTGGACTGTTAATGTAATTTGGAACGTATCTTTATTTCGACAGGACGCCCATCTAGTCGAGCAGCGCCGCCTAGCGCTCCAGGCGTACCTGCGGCACGTCCTCCTCGTGCTGCCCGAGCTCAGGGAGTGCACCAGCCGGCCGCAGCTCGTCACGCTACTGCCTTTCTTTGGGTACGTGGCTGTGGTGGACGTCGCGCGCGCTCTGTACTTACGTGTGTCGTGCTACTGTGCTTGTTTTTCTGAAAATGGGCCTTCGATCGTACGGCCCACCCCGTGGTTATTTGTAATGGGAAATATATTTTATAATAGATATATATATAATTTGGCCTAAAGGATAAGACCAGTGCTTTCGTGTTGAGCAATGCACCGGTGTTCGAATCCCAGGCGGGTACCAATGTTTCTAATGAAATACGTACTCAGCAAATGTTCACGATTGATTTCCACGGTAATTATTGGTGGTAGGACCTCTTGTGAGCCCGCGCGGATAGGTACCACCACCCTGCCTATTTCTGCCGTGAAGCAGTAACGCGTTTCGGTTTGAAGAGTGGGGCAGCCGTTGTAACTATACTGAGACCATAGAACTTATATCTCAAGGTAGGTGGCGCATTTACGTTGTAGATGTCTATGGGCTGCTGTAAGCACTTAACCCCAGGTGGGCTGTGAGGTTGTCCACCCACCTAAGCAATAATATATATATAAAAAAAAGTAACCAATCAAAACAAGTGATTATTTATTTATTTCAGCACCTCCTCGACTTCCAAAGAAAATGGTGTTCACGACGTCCTCGATCGACAACACTCAAGTGACTCTGCCTCATCATACAATGTACTTTGATATGCGTATGTCTTGTATGAATATTTCGAAAGATAAGAAAACTTTTTTTTTTCTATACAATATGGATCTGTCAACGGTCTCTTGACTAAATCCATTCCACGGTAGCAACGCTAGAACACTGTAGATGTATTGTTATGTAAGTGTAAGTAAACAGTAAATGTACTAAATACAATAACCTTTTTAAAAACATTTAACATAATTTCTATGTATTTAATATCCAGTATTTTAAAATTAATATATTGTAATACTAACTCAATATTAGGAAATCGAAGATTCAATATAAAGTATGTCCCATTGAGGTTCAAACTGTTTGTAAAAAGTCCTCAGAGATAAAGTAATATCTCAGTACGCTAGTGCTCCAAAGTCATCTTGAATCTATACTACAATATAATAAGTACAGTTAAAATTTATTGTTTTTGTTTTGCATATTGAATATCAATCAAATCACTGTGCGTAACTGCACATCATAATGTAACGTAGCATCTTACTTTCTAACTAAACAATTTTTGTTTAATCTTCAACCGATTACGAAAAAATATATTTATGATTATGAGAACGAGAAATTACATTGTTAATTAAGTATTATTGAATAATGTACAATTGTGATCGTGTGCAATATGAATAATTAATGAACATAATAATTTTATTTTATATAGAATGCGTTGAAATACTTTGAAATAACGCCTACCGCTTTATGATCAATTCCTTTCATGGAATATATATTTTTTTATTCTCAATGCATCAATATTTGTCGTATTTTCATCGGTTTTCACGAGTCGTAGACATAATTAATTATACTTTTACGGTTTAATCTCGTGTCTTTTACTGTCATTATATTATTCCCAATGTTTCGAGTGCTTTACATTTTTCGTGAATATTTTGGAGACATCTCCAAAACAATCCAACAATCCGGACCTAGAGTGAAGATAATNTTTTTTTATTCTCAATGCATCAATATTTGTCGTATTTTCATCGGTTTTCACGAGTCGTAGACATAATTAATTATACTTTTACGGTTTAATCTCGTGTCTTTTACTGTCATTATATTATTCCCAATGTTTCGAGTGCTTTACATTTTTCGTGAATATTTTGGAGACATCTCCAAAACAATCCAACAATCCGGACCTAGAGTGAAGATAATCACCATTTTAAAATGAATGTCATGATAAAAGGTTGAAGTACGTAATGTTTTCTTCAGTTGTATTTTATTTATTTATTGTATGATATGTAATTAGTCTGTGATATAACTAACAAAAAACTAAAGAGGCGTGTATGTATAGATTACATTAAATGTAATGGAATCAAATTTTAGCAGCTAAAATAATACATAGTCTTTACAAGTGGTTAATGTTAAAGGACACATCACTAATTCATAAAATTGCTGATGAATTAAAATTCATATTTTATTCTAATACACAAAAGTACATCACAGAGTTGAGAAGATACTTGAATTATATCAATTTTAGTACATGATCAACTCATACATACATTGCGGCCATTATATTTATTTTTCGATATATAGTGGTGTTTTGTAAATCTAGTATTAATAATACACAATAATATGTATTATATAATAAATTTTCATTTTAAATATTCGTTCATCACGAAGAGATAATTTTTAATTATTGAGTAATAATAATAATATGTTAAAGTTTTACATTTCTACAAAGACTATGCATGTATTTCAATAATTTGATGAAATAGTTATTTCATGATATAATATATATTATTTGAAATAAACAATTATTCTTATACTTATCGGATTTTCTTTTTATCAGCATAAATGACGTATTGTAGACGAACACCCGGCGTAGCTACCATATGTAAACCGGTAAAGGGATTAGAACAACGGCTATCAATTATTCAAACTAGAACGCATACCTTTCCGTAAAATGTAGCTTGGTCACACATCATTAGAAGAATTTGTACCCGCCTGGGATCCGAATGCATCGCTCAACACGAATGCACCAGTCGTCTTATCCTTTAGGCCACGGCGACTTCGTACCTAACAAATGTTCATGATTGACTTTCACGGTGAAGGAATAACATCGTGTAATAAAAATCAAACTCGCAAAATTATATATTTGCGTAATTACGGGTGGTAGGACCTCTTGTGAGTCCGCACGGGTAGGTACCACCACCCTGCCTATTTCTGCCGTGAAGCAGTACCTAATGAGTTTCGGTTTGAAGGGCAGGGCAGCCGTTGTAACTATAGTGAGACCTTAAAACTCATATCTCAAGGTGGGTGGCGGCATTTACGTTATTGATGTCTGTCTCAGTTAACCACTTAACACCCGGTGAACTGTGAGCTCGTCCACACTTCTATGAAATAAATAAATAAAACACCTGCCTTACGGGTCCTATCAGTTGATAATAATTAATTGAAGCAGAAAAATAATAATTTTTTTTTACAAAACAGAAAACAGGCTTCAACAAACGAAATGTGAATATCGTCAATATAGTCGTCGATTAAAATATGTGAGCGATCGGAGGTTTATAGTCGGTTCGACTCCGACATGTCCCGCCGCCATCCCCAGTGGAGGGCGGAAAGCACTAGATTTCCTCACGACAAAAAAAAAACTTTGGAGTTGGAACAGCTTCCTTTCGTTTTCCGCTAGGGGCGCTGTTCCAGCTTCATTCAAATTTGAGTTAACTTTTACGCGACTGAGAAAACTCGCACTAAGCACACTGATTATTGTACTAACGGTCCTTCCCGATTGGGAGTATCTTTAAAGACCTTTGGCATTATATTAATCTGCCATTATGGACGTACTTGTTCTTGTTTCGTACATATATGGGCCATTGAACGGTGATAAAAACTATCCCACAATAATTTCTAATTTATCATTACCGCAGTCTGAAAATTTTATATTAAGTTTCGGAGAATATGGATGGTATGGTGAAACTGGCTTTCAATTCTTTGAGGTTATTTGCACTCAGTAGTCTTATCCATATTAAGCAAATCGTGTAGTGCCAGAACCAGAACCAGTGAGGTGTAAATTCGTCGGCCTACGATATTAATAAAACATTTCTGGAAACAAATCTTAATAATTATCAATATTTATATTGTTCAAAAATACCTAACCACAGACGATTTGTCAACTGTTGTAATTTTATGTTTTAACGATGCTCAGAACAATTTCCACTCAGCGGTTATCCACATAGTTATCTTTGAAGATAACTTTAATTTATATCACTAAATGCACATTAACAGATTTAATGCCTCAAGCACTGTCCCTACCGAGCGTCGAGGTAGGAGAAGTCAGTAGCCGCATTTGTTAATAAGCGGAAAGTAAAAATGAATAAATAGTATCTCAAGTCACTAAACCACGCCTCTATATAAATAACTCACTTATCGTAATTAATTACTTAACGCAGGCTGCAACTCCAGAACATGCAGTGTTGTTTTAAGGAAACAATGAGATAGTTCAAAATGGTCGCAATTTACTTACGAATTGATAAAATTCAATAAAAGTACTTCATGGCAAATTAAATTCATAATTTTATTTTATAATAAATAAAAATCAAGAAAACACTCTTCCTCGAGAATTTTCCATATATTAAATACATCATACAAAAGATGTCATTACAAACTAAATCACTTGGTGCAAAGGCAAGCCTGTCGGTTTGGGGTTTGCCCGGCCACGGACCGAGCGCCGGCTCCGAGCGACAACTATGCAACAGGCGTGTACAAACCGAGGATAGCCTCTTTTACTAATCATTAACAAAACAACTAGACTTACAGATAACAAAGATCCGCTTTCCTCGTGGAATGCATCTTTGTAGACGTCTCCAATTTATTAATGGAAAATATAAGTGTATTTGATCATCTTTATAAAATAATGTATATAGGAGTATGTAAAAAAAAAGCGTATAACACTTAGTGTAACACAAAAGTGAAAAGAGATAATTTTCGTTAAGAAATATAATAAATAAAACAATATAAAACCAAATATCTAAACCTAAAGTGAAATAATTTACTACATCTTATCTAAACGACATAGTATTTATTGCAACACATCAAGGAGCTTTGGAACCATTAAGTAATACGGAACTTAAAATAAATTTCAGCTGGTAAACAATAATCTCGAACAATAAATCTAAAACGTTGTGATTTATCTTTGGTTTTTGGACGTTAGCACTGCGATAGTTCCATAACTCCTCAGAAGACGCAGGCGCCACAACAGAGCGGATAGTTTATGACATTGAAGCTTACAGAGGACCGCGTTCCAGGCTGACTACTCCATAAGTACTTACGTAAGTTACAGATCTACGAAGCTGATGAGACTTTTTTTTTTCTAAATAGAAACGCGACTTTCGTATTCCGACATACAACGGACTTTAGATTATTTAAAGCGTCAAGAAATTATTTGACAGCTCACATTACATTAATATTATTCGCGTTATAAATGTTGCTTAGCGACTAACATTTAGGTCTTAGAACGAAAACGCAATAGATATTACATTTTAGCTAAAACATCACAGGTTCTAAGCATTAGTGAGGGTGACGTGCAAAAACGTTTAAGCAAAGTGCTATGGTCCTTGAAAACTCAAATAACTTCTATCGTAATTTGACAACTATTACATTTTATATCGGAGCTAGTTTTTTTTTTTTTTTTTTAGTTAAAGAGATTTTCATATTCTATGAATGAATACAAAAATCACTCACTAAAATCGTATCGCATTACCATGACGCCGACCGTGCCTAGCAGCAGAGAACTTGCTTGTTGCAGCAAGTCGCGTAGGCACTCCCGCTGTCACTCCTACCGGGGATGAAGTGAACTTGCTTAATGTTTGTCAGAGCACTCGCGTTAGCACCCATAGCACTTTAAAATAATCGTTTAAAAGGTTAGTTTTCATATCTATTTAAATGCTCACATAATCGGCATATCAACGCTTATCACAATATATAAAAATATATATTAAAGAAGCTTAAACTACAACTACACATCGAAGATGCACACCATAATGCATTTGCCACCACACCTGGAAATAATAATGTGGCCATATTTTTTTTTGTATTTTTTATTTCTTTATTTGTGCGGCAGCACATGCTAGTCTGCAGAGTAATTCACAGCTAATAATTCTTACATTTAACGACATATTGCATCTCTGAAATTATCATTAAAACACTCACAGGAAGAAACTACAATTTATTTCTGCTGACATTTTCTGGTAACTGGCTCGGCATATCTTTGTACTGAACAATTTTCATACCTCCCGCCCAGTTTCTTTCCGTGAGCAAAATATATTCACTAATCTTTACAATTTAATTTAGAATAAAATGCACGAAGCATTAAGTTCAGAAACAAAATTTAATACTTTTTGTCATTTCATAAAATATTCTACATTCACTTTAAAATTAGCGACAAGACAATCGAAGCTTCAAATCTGCTGCCCTGGTTAAATGTTATAATAATACATTTAGCATAAAAACTACAATCGTCGGAATTCATATGAAACCTGACCTATAATTTGCAAGAAGCTTTTTTATAATTGTATTAAATCCATGTGCACATAGAGACGTTAAGATTAGATAGCTCAAAAGATTTAAGCCTAGGAGACCTATACTTTTTTTTTCTTTTTTTTCGGTTTACTTTTAGGCTTCTCTTAACACAATAGTAATATTATAATGGATATATTTCAAGATTGAATTTCGTCGTTCTTCGTAGGTACATCTATGAACTTTCATTAAATTCTCTACGACGTGACTGCAAATTGCTTCAACTTTCATCTGTAAAAAAAAACATAAATGTAAGATTTCGTTTTCAAAATGATGTTTGTATTATTTTTAAAGGCGCAATTGTAATATCTATGCATTGAGCGTGGATCACACAAAGGTGTCTAAGTAATTAAATACTGTGTACTTTTGTTAATCCAATAATAAGACAATACTGCTGGTATTAGTTAAATATCAGTAAACCGTTAAATATATTTCTTGTAGCGCAACAATAATCATGCATGATTATATACATTAGGAAATTTATAGAGGGTAAGTGTATAAATGAAAATATACAATATTTTCGCCCTTTCCATTCCAGTTTATTTCCATACTAGCTTTTGCCCGCGACTCCGTCCGCGTGGAATAGTTACTTTGGTATAACGCTAAATTTTACCCCCCCTTCATTTACGTAGAAATTGAAAATATTTTTGAATTATAGAATGTTAAGGAGCAATTTAAACGTTCTTTATTGGTGCTCCGCTTGTATTGGTCTTAGGGTGATGTTATCTTATAGCCTTCCTATGTTATGTATGTTAGCTTATAGCCTTTCTCGATAAATGAGTTGTCTAACACTGAAAGAATTTTTCAAATCGGACCAGTAGTTCCTGAGATTAGTGCGTTCAAACAAACAAACTCTTCAGCTTTATAATATTAGTATAGATTTGGAATCAGTTAAATATGTATCAAGGTCGTCATAAACCATGTGAACTCAGAAAATTGTGACAAATTTATTTTTAAAATATTATACATCAAAGTATTTATTGAACGGATGGAAGTGGTGCAAAGTTACCTCTAGCGCCGACGATGATAGACTTCCGCTTGATGTCCTGCGCGGCGGCGGCGGGTCGCAGCACGCCCGCGCCCGCGCCGCCCGCCAGGTGCCCGCCGCCCGCGCGTATTGGCTTCGCTGTTATCGATATCACACATTTATTGTCTTACCTTAGGTTATAATTATACTAGCTGTACCGATCCGCTTTGCTGGGCATTTAAAATAACATTATTATTTCTCATCCCTACAAAGATTTTCATTATTAACGCCCCCGCAACTGGTGTAGGGAGTCCAACAGTCATATAAATATTAGCCTATCCATTAAGTCATGTATTTTCTACATTAATACCAAGTTCCAAGTCAATCGGATGCATGGTTCAGTAGTTATAAGGAAACATCCGTAAAAACTACTGTAGATTTATATATTAGTATAGACAGCGAATGTTAAATTTGTCAGAGCGTCATGCTCTTTCTGACCGAGTCACAGAGTTTATCTGTGTATAAACTCTAACAAATTCAGGATATTTAAAATAAACTCGCGCGCTTTTTCTTTTCCCTACCTATGCTGATAGCCTTGAAAGGCTATATCAGCTTCTCCTTGACGTGTAGGTGAGCTCACGGGGCTCAAGCCGAGTGTTACTAACATTGGCCCTGGCAAGAGCAGGGCTTGGCAGAATCTACCACGGGTTCGGAAACGCGACCCACTGAGAAGATCCGGCGTGAAACTCAGTAGGCTGTGTCTATGGGTCCTTTGCGCGCGAAACCGTGTTGCCGCCATGCACCACGTAATAGTAACATAATTTTATAAATAATCCATAAATTGTTGAAGGCGGTCCGTACTTAATTTTCGCTATGTAGTCAATGAATAACGAAATTTCACATTACCGATTTGGGCCTGTGGACCGCGGCGAGCGAGATTTTTAGCGCGCACGGCTTCCTTGATTCTGTCCACTTCGAACTGGTATCGTTTGCGATCGCGCATTGCACCGTCTTTTGCTTCCTGTTAACAAATAAACAAAATTGTATCCAGCCCGACAACCCACTCTTTGTTTGTTTCGTTACATTTACATTGACATGTTAATGTTTTTATTTTTTATTTATTGCTTAGATGGGTGGACGAGCTCACAGCCCACCAGGTATTATTGTTACTGGAGCCCATAGACATCTACAACGTAAATACGCCACCCGTCTTAAGATAAGTTCTAAGGTCTCAAGTATAGTTACACCGGCTGCCCCACCCTTCAAGCCGAAACGCATTACTGCTTCACGGCAGATATAGGCAGGGTAGTGGTACCCACCCGTGCGGACTCACAAGAGGTCCTATCAGTGAATGTATAAGTATTTATGTCTTCTTTAAATTTTAGTAATTGTGAGTCGTACCTTGAGCGCTGTCTCGAGTGCCTTGACACGTTCCATGGTGGCTCGGAGTCGTTTCTCCAGCTTGGGCACTTCGCATCGCAGGTCGGCATTGTCACGCACGAGCTGCTTGTGGACTTTCGTCAGTTGCTCCAGGTTATTCTCCAAGAACGAGATCTTTTGTTTTTGTGCAAGGGAACCGCCTTCCTCCTCGGCGCCCTCTTCAGAATTGTTCGATTTCTTTATCCTCGCCTGTTATACATAAAAATGTATTGTTTTACATTACGTTATTATATGCAAAAAAATGATACGATTTATCAATTTAATTGTAAGGAAAAATATACCTGCAGGTCTTGAACAAAGAGTTTACGCAGGTTGTGCAGGGTCTGTAGTTCCTTAGCCACGGTGTCTTCCAAGCCCTTGAGATCAGCGCGAGCCTGTTCACGCCGCTCCACGCTTTGACTGTTCAAATAAAGAATCGGTCAAACACAAATACAAATGAACAATGACTGTACATCACTGAGAATAATCGCACATTTACCTGTACAACAGTCCGAGCTACTCATGTCCTTCACGCACCCATCCATATACATCAGCTCGCCGCTCGTAGGCCGTGTACGTCACAAATGCCAACCCCCGGCAGAATGAATATGAATGGGATACGTGCGGAATAAAATGACAAATCAAAATTAAAAAGCAGAAGGCGTTACAAGATCTCGAACTACAACTACACTGTACTTACACATAGACCATGAAACGTGTACCATTGACACAATCTGCTCAACAAAACATTAATCGAGAGCAGAGAGGAAGTCATCGGCGCGGAATGTTTTACAGGTATTATGCCGATTTTGTTACAACTAAATTAAATTTTTAGAACTAAGGAAACACTAAAATTTTGCGTGCACTTTTAATTTTGATTAACTATAATCTTTATAATTTAAGTGCACGAACTCTGAGAGACGACAATCACTCTTCGGCATGTAGAGTGCATATAGACTAAAGGACGTGGCACGGACTCCAGGATTTCTTATTATGACATTGATGGCAAACAAATACAAATGGTGGGTTATACTAGGAGGTGATTTACATGAATTACTTATAAAACTGCATATAAGCAAACAAAAATGCATGTGAGACCATATTTGCGATAAATGCATTCAGCGGAATGTTGCTTTGCATGTTTATTTAATACTGCGAGTTTTAATTACTGAATGGTTCCATGTCGCTTAACCTTTCTAAATATACACTATCAACATCTACTCAATAACAAGTTCATTATCCAATATTTAACTATGTAACATAGCTGGAACAGGTAACCTTTAAAAAATACGAAATGTTTAATATTTTCTCCATAGATAAAATAGAAGATATTTTAGTCATGTCCCTATAAAAAATATATTGATAAAAATATAAACTCACTGCACTCTGTACGGGCAAACTGTATTTACAACCCTCTATTTACATGTTTACTACATTTAACATTACATTTGCACTAACTTTTTTTTTTTATTGTAATTTGTGCTGGCATTCTAAACAGTGAGCCTTATATTTTACCACTATTAAACACTTTAATCATCATTTCACTAATGAAATATATTTTCTCTCTTCCTATTTACAAATAACCTAAATATTATGTACGAAATGAATTGGCAGTGAAAACTAAACTTAAAAATCACGAAAACCGATGTTAAATCGATAAGATCTAGTACGAATATTATGAATAACTTATACGAAACTCCATTTAGAGTTAGCATGCTTTCCCTAAGCTAATTCGAAAATAAATACATTTGACTAGTTCATGATTTATGATTAACTCTTAAAGCGAAGCATTCAAATTAAATGCATACATAAAGATTGCTTAAGATTTTCTAAATTGGACATACTGTCAACTTATATACTTCATGTTAAATTGGTTTTAAATTATATCAAAGTTAGCAGTATCATCTCAGTAGCAGTCGATTATTATTCAAATAATTACGTTACTCATGCACCTAACTTGCATTAAAGTTAAAAGGCACTAAAAGTTGCATAATAATATGGGAAGATCTTCATAGATGAATATATGAGAGCATCCCATAAAATGAGAAGGAAGCTTAAACCAAAACAACGATTTGTGGATAGCGATGGGTGATCAGGATCATCGTGACGGATATGAGCAGATGGAGTTGCAGAGGATGGATATTACAGGAATGACGGGGACCGGGAGATTTGGGAATTGCCGAGAGCGACTTTTCCTTTTTGGCCAAAGTTTTCTCAAAATCGAAGCCGAAAGGGTATCCCATTCCTAATTTATCTCTTTTAGGGGAGATCACGTATTCACGGTAATATTCGGCGTCATCTTTGATAAGTAAATGCTGGTTGGCGACCTCCTTCTCGGCCTTGTCTAGGGTCCGTCGAGGCGAGTGCGACACTAACATGAGTTCCTTCAGTTTGGCGGACTTGTCGGCCTCCTCGCGCTTCAGCTTCTCGTAGTCGTCCTGTAGCTGCTGCCGCGCCAGGGTTAGCTCCTGGTACGTGCTGTCGAAAATAATAAAGTATTTAGAAAATTAATCCGTGCTAGTAATTCAATGCGAAAATGAGTGTATTTATTTGTTTTGTTACAAGTCTAATTATTCAACCGATCATTTTCAGACTATCGAAATTTCTTCACGAATACCTATTGTTGAAAATACAGATAAAGATGAAAGNTGGTAAAAGCATGAAGGAAAGTTTTTTTGATATTTTTATTTTCATGTTCTTTTTATTACTTTAAGATCATATTATAAATTGATATCAGAAAACCAACCGTATAACGTTGACTTAAATCTATATCTACTACGATATTATATCAGCGTAACGTTTCAAATCTCAAATATCATGAATCGAGAAAATCTACTAGCATCCATCAATATATACATTCAGAAAATATATAGATTCAATATCCGATATTGATCCTCGATATATAGATACGATTCGATACGCGGCAAAACCGATATTACCCACTCCTAAAGCTAAGTGTTACTGCTATATTTGTCTATTTTCATAACCCACAATCTAGGTGTTTCTAGGTAGGATCGTAGGACACTTTAGATGCCAAATATATATCTTTAGCTATGCGGTAGGCAGCGGCTTGGCTCTGCCCCTAGCATTGTTGAAGTCCATGGGCGACGGTAACCACTCACCATCAGGTGGGCCATGTGTTCGTCTGCCTACAGGGGCAATAAAAAAAAAAACAGCTATTTGTATCTACAGTGAATTATTAATGTGCGATGTAAATATAGGTAAGGAGGTAGCACTGACTCCTTGAGGTCCTGGTGTTGTCGCTGCAGCGCGGCGAGCTCGTCCCGCAGCGCAGACAGCTGCGTGGAGTGCGCGGCGCGGAGCTGCTCCAGCTGGGCCTCCAGCGCGCCGCGGACCTGCGAGTCCTCCGCCGCCGCCAGCTGTACGCGCTCGGCCGCCTGACACGGAAGAACACATTAGTACTATTCAAATAAAATTGGTTAGAGACGTTTTTCTACATACTTCATAAACAATAACTAAATTGTTGAATTTACAAAAAAGAGATGGGTTTTTGGTACAAGGTAAAACAAAATCAAAATATAACCATAGTTAAACACCATCAAGTATTATGTAACAAAAATGTACGGTATTTTCTGTACATAATCATACAGAATGGGAAACTTAGTAATATCTTAATATAAAAATGAATTGCTGTTCGTTAATCTCGCTAAAACTCGAGAACGGCTAGAATGATTTGACTAATTTTGGTCTTGAATTATTTGTGGAAGTCCAAAGAAGGTTTAAAAGGTAAATAAAAATGAGAATGCTCTGAATTAAATAAAAATAACAATTTTGTTTTCCCTTTCATGTGTCCCCCGTCGGATTCCTTTTGTTTGTTTTAAGTTTATTTTATAAAAAAGTTTAGGTCTTTTATTTATCGATTGAGGCACTACGAAGTCTGCCAGGTCAGCTAGTAAATTGTTGATTTTACAACAAAGAGATGGGTTTTTGGTACAAGGTAAATCAAAATCAAATTATAAGCATAGTTAAACACCATCAAGTATTATGTGACAAAAATGTATGGTCTTTTCTGTACAAAATCATACAGAATGGAAAACTTAGTAATATATTAATATAAATAGGTCAGTAACTTCAGCGAGACGTACAGCGCGAGTAAAATTGTAAAGTGTGAATATGCCACTGTCTAAAGCTAACAAATGTGAATAATTTTCTCATGCTACCTAGACTCATTGCACGTTCCATATACGTAGTTTTAATACACACTGAGGACTAGTATGGCTCGATACACTCTCTTTGCTTAATGTTAATAAAAATAAAAAAAAGTTTATAAATGTGTAATGCTTTGGTAAAATTATTAATTTTCGAAGTATTTTTACTACAAAGTATTCGTGAGAAAAAAATTGTAATATACAGAATATGTATGTAGATGTACCTGTAGGCGAGCACACTCTTCACGTAAAGCGTCAGCAGCTTCCTCGAGTTGTCGTTTCTTATTTTCGGCCTCACGCATCGACTCTGCTAGCGATGCACAACGGGCTTCGTGTTGGGAGATCAAAAGGCGACATTCACCAAGTGTTCGCTCATATTCTTCAATCTATACCAAAATATTTATTAAGTGCCTGATTATCCAGAAGCTATACAATTACATCATTGGATATACTAAAGAAATACCTTCTGATTAGCATCGATGTTAGCAGATTCAAGTGAATGGCATCGCTGTACAATATTTTTGACTTCACTTTTCATTTTGCTGATGTGGAGACGAGCCACTGTAAACTCCTCTTCCAGTTTCCCGACAGTGTCTACATTGAGTTTGAAGTCGAGCTCAGATCCTCCGACGGCAGCTCCTATCTCGGCGAGATCTCGAAGTAAATTTGTCAATAATTCTGCGATGCGTTTTCGTTGATGTGCAGATAAATCACGAAGTTGTTGCAGCTCCGCCGTAGCACTAGTCAGGGCGCTCTAAATACATAAAAAAAACTTCTACTTCATCTCACACTTTTTTTAAAAAGATAAGGATATATTTTGTTTTTTTGAATTTCATATTTCATTATTACCAATATAATATTATATTGTATACAGATTCTATAAAGATCATGTTTGCGTAAGTTTATAAAACTGCAGTTGCAGGTATTATAGTTTTTTTTTATGTACTAAAAAATTACATCTATAAATTATTTTTAATTATTTTAAGATATTACATTTAAGTAAAATTGTAGTACATCTTACTTCGATATTTAACAATAATACTCAATAAGTTTTAAACAAGTCTTGTGTTGTCAAATGTGAGGCAATATCTTAACAATAATACAATGATTACGTTTCACAATTGAGTAAACATAAGACAATACGTCACCTGTTTGGATTGCAAGTCTTCAGACAGCTGATCGCACTCGCGGCTCTTGCTGTCTACCTCCTGCGACTTCTGGTCGTAATTAACGGCGAGCTCTTCAAGAGCTTGTAGAACTTCTTTGACTTCTTCTTTAGCAGCTTCATTTTCTTGTTGGATTCTATTCATGTCTCCTTGTAACGCCTCATAATCGCGCCTGTTGCATGTTATTAATGTCAAATAATTAATAACAATTTTTAATACTATTATACATTTAGTAAATTCTATGATTACTGAACAGCACATATTATATTAAATAGAAAAGAAATCACCATTATTTCAATTTCTAAGACTAATTATTTCCTAGGATAATTTAGGTTAGCACACGCTAAACTCAAGAGTTCATTGTCGTCCTCAAACTACAGTGGTTATTTATAGACATGATTACTCATATAGAACTACTTAAGAATATAGTCTAAATGCAAACTATTTTACATATCTCATGCGTCTTAACTGCCTTAAAACAGTCACGAATTTTACACAAAATATATTTTAATAATCCACTTCCTCATCAATGAACAACTTAAATTACATATAGTCATGCAACCCTAGTCAAACACTTTTGAAATAATTATATTTCTCAATTTCGAATTTAACCAGTGTATTTTTTTTTTTCTTGCTCTGGGTGGGGACGAGCTCACGGCCCACCTGGTGTTAAGTGGTTACCGAAGCCCATAGACATTAATGCCGCGACCTACCTTGAAACATGAGTTGTAAGATCTCAATTTTAACAGTACAACGGTTGCCCCACCCTCTTCAAACCAAAACGCAATACTGCTTCACAGCAGAAATAGGCAGGGCGGTGGTACCTACGCGTGCGGTCTGACAAGACGTCCTACCACCAGTAATTACGCAAATTATAATTTTGCGGGTTTGATTTTTATTACACGATGTTATTCCTTCCATGGAAGTCAATCGTGAACATTAGTTAAAAAATAAGTATTTCATTCATATTTCACTGGAAAAATTGATGCCTGTCAGAGCGATTTGAACACCGGTGCATCGCTACATACGAATGCACCGGGTGTCTTATCCTTTAGGCCATGACGACTTCAAACTTTTTTATTCTAAAAAACATTTGGTAGTATAATTGGTAACAATTGAACTTGTATCAATTCCGATTCTCCCTCTGAACGTGAGTAATGAAGTGTCAAAATGAAGTTTAAATTATCTCACCTTGTACAGGCAATTAATTCTTCTTGTTCCATCATCTGTTCCTTAAGTTTCTCAACAAGCTGAGAATGTTGGTTGATCTCTTCATCTTTGTCATCCAGCTGTTGGTAGAGAGCTTCTAACTTAGCCTGCATTGCGGCGTCTTCGACAACACTGGCGACAGCCACTGGTACAGGCTATGAAAATTATAATTAAATTTATAAAAAAAGATGAATTATATAAACATTATTCTAAAACAGAAAAAGATTGCGATGGTATACTTACAGGTGCTGGTGGTTTTTCTTCAATAAATGATGTTACTGGAGTAACAGCTTCAATCTCCTGCAGATTTACTTGCTCTTCTAGTCTGACAGTCTCACCAGAACGCCAGCGATTCAGTTCAGCTTCTAGTTTTTCAACCTATGTTTTAGGTATAAAAAAAATATAATTAGTAATGAGAAAACAAAGTACAACTGTCTGGAAGGTTACCATTGAATCAGTGTGATAATATTATTACTTTCATACAGTACACTCATAGACTGACAACCTCATAACTCATGTTTTCAATTGGTTATTGTCAATAATAGATATTAGTTTTGTCTAATAGCTAAATAGCATCTTCATTATATTCATCATGCATAATACTAGATGCTGCTGACTGCTTTATGAGGCTTATGAAACATTATTGTTTATAGCATGAATTTATTACCTTGCCCTTCAGCCTAGCCACTTTCTCCTTTTCTCTTTCATAGCGACGTTTCCATTCCTCAGCTGTCAATTCCTCATTGACACATACAACATTCTTGACTGTCTTAGCTCTGTATTGAAAGTTAATTAACAATGGTATTAAACTTTGATTGAAAAACTATTGTACATTGCACACAAACATTAAGGACATACCTTTTACCAAAATCAAGTGTACTTTTAGTTTCGCTTTCATTAAATGAAGCAGGTGAGCAGCAAATTACAATTGTGGTTCTTGCATTACCACCAAGTGACTCTTGTAAAATTCGAGTTAGTTTGGAATCTCTGTATGGAATATGAGATTTATTTCCATCAGCTAATGCTGAAATTACATTACCCAATGCCGAAAGTGATTTATTAATATTTTTAGCTTCATCCAGGACAGTGCCTTCAGCACCAGTTTTTGATACCTAGAGAAAATAAAAATGTATACTTAAAATTATATTCTTTTATTTCAAACCATTGTAATTAAAAGTGGCATTGGCAATAGTTATTTCACTTTAAACTTCATTGTGTAGTATATAAAACCTATATATATATATATTTACATACCTTTTCAGAACCAGCCAAGTCCACAAGATAGAGCTTTCCTGAGAGTTTCTTTTGATTTTCCAAATTTTCTTGTTTGACATTTATAAGGAAGACAGAGTGAGATCGTGATGAATGTTCATTCATGTCTGTCAAGCAAAGAAAACTTATATTAGGCTTTTATTTTCCAAAGCAGATTAAGTAGTCTTAAATACTATAAAACAAAACAACAAAATACAACAAAATTAACAACATGTAATAGCACATACTTGTGACTGCAATATGTCTATTTGATTTGCCTTCCTCAATAACTTCAAAAACTTCTTCAGGGCTTGATACAAAACGTTCTGTAGCACCTTTTACAAATGGGACTCTATTTTTGTCTTCATGGACACTGAGATTTACTTTTGACACTGTAACATAAAAATAATTAGAGAATCTGGGTCCTAAAGTTGAAAATGAATTTCATGATTATAAATATTACCATCGAGCAAGTCTCTGATCTTGTCCATATAGATTTCAAAATATGACACTTTAATATGAAATTCCAAGTTCTCTTCCATGGCGTAAATGTGATTGAATATGTCATTGACAATCCTTGGTATAATACCCTGTTTTCCTGGATCTCCTGCATTATTTAAATTAATATTTAAAATATGTTTATTGATATTTATATTAAGTAATTCAAAACATTTCAATTAAAATTGTTCACATACCTATGACACCTTCCATGGTATGTGTTTTCCCAGAACTTGTTTGACCATAGGCAAATATAGTTCCATTGTAGCCTGCCAGAACATCTGATACAATGCTTTTGGCAGCTTCATTGTAGACTTTTTCTTGGGTTGCATTGGGTTTGAATACTTTGTCAAATAAGTATACTTTACCCTAAAATTGTTATTTTAATTTTAGTTTTTTTTTCATAGTCAAACTTTTTAAATAATTTTAGAAGCTAAAATTTATCATTTAGGTGTATCAATTTGTGTAATAAATATTGCGTTCTGAATGATAAGGCAATCTCAAAATAAAATCTTCGGTTTTATATATTTTTTAAAACTAAAATAATGTTGTTTTCATTATTTTTGCATTTTGTGTTATTGATAAATTAATGTGCTGAAAATTTATATGCTTACAGACTTGAAGTTAGTGTAAAAGATGGGAATTTTATTTCTAAACAAAAAAAAATGCACATAAAAGTTAAGTAATTAGGGGTCGTAACATAAACAAATCACAAAACTTGAATTAGTATTATTTGAAGAATACCTACTCAGGTCAAGGTCGAAGAAGTATTTGTATTGATTTTCGACAAAACAAAGACTGCGATTCCTATTTGCCCATTATTCGGTCAAATTCCTGAATTTTATGAGATCTTAATCATAATCATCGAAGCGGAATGGAAAAGAAAGGCCATTTCGTAGCAGGTGAACAACTCGCTGTATTAGTCATCATGATCTAATTTAAGGCGATGATACGGGAACCCAGTGTAGGTTGTTGAATTAATTTACACTTACCCCTATAGAAATGCAATTATCATCAGGTCCAGATGGAAATTTCACGATAAATTTTGAACCAGCTTTTTCTTCAGAGTCATTCAGTGGTCGAAATCGGCATACCACTCTGATACTGTCTTCAGCAGCAATCTCGCGATCGGCTGCCATTTTTTTAACAAAAAAATTCTTATCACTAATCACCTTCTAAATAATTAAAAAATAAAACGATTGCGGAACATAAAACCGTGCATGAAGGACTACAAAGTTAAATTTTGTCACTGAAAAATCTTCATGACAGCAATACCAAAATGTCGGCCATGTTCTTCAACGAGAAAGGACCGAAATGTTCCTCATTGGTCGGACAGCAAGACAGTTGACGACCAACGTGTAGTGTAACCAACCAACATAACAAAAAAAATCGATCCTGACTAAAACCACCTTTTGGAATTTTGGCCAGTAGGTATTTCAGAACTATAAATTTAACACGATAATGAAAGTTGAATAATACTTTTAATACGAGATTACGCTCTGTTGTACATTAACGACTGTGTCGCTCTGGCATGCTTCATCTTTATACATAGCGAGCGAACGAATTAGAACGAATAATGACGAACGTTCCATCCATCCATCATATTTCTGATAAATTGTAGTCTAGTGAACATAAACCTACTAAATGCAATAATTATATTTACATGAGTGCACGAGCTGACGCAAAACGCACCTAGGGTTAAATAGTTACGAGTGCCCTTAAAAATGACAACGTGAAGGCTGCCACCCGCCTTGAGACTTGTATAAATAATCCACAATTTTAGAGTATAACAGATAGAACCCACTTCAAAACGAAATCAATTACTGCTTCAAGGCAGAAATAGTCAAGGTAGTGCTATGTAGCTCATCGGTCGCAGGTAATTACGCAAATTATATTTTAGGTTGGTGGGTTAATTTATTCGTCAAGCACTTCGTCGCAAGCGACGGGTTTGACGAGAGCGATGAGCCGTGGATGTTTAAGTAATCGGGGTTAAAGTATGAGATTGCCGTATTGTAGTAGATACGGTACCTACATCGAATTGCGATAGAGCTTTCATGGTTTGAATTTTTTGTGGAAAACTTTTTAAATGGTATCTATGAGGTTCTACTTTTATCGACTTTCAGTTGGTTTTTTTTATTCAGCTTAGACAAGAAAGATGGATGCGGAACTAAGGCTGCTTGTACACCGGAGCAGAGAAACAGAGAAATATTAACCAAGAAAATTTCAAAAATCTCCGCACCTCTTTAGTGGACAGGGAGTTGCGAACATAGATATAATTATACACTTAAGTTGCGAACTATATAGTTTAAAAATTCATATAAAACTGGTAAGCGGAGCGGGATAGAGGAACGAGGCCGTGGAGAGGGGAAGCAAGTGTGGGCGCGGGTGCAGGGCGCTGAGGGCGCGCTCGCAGTGTGACCTCATAGATTATACATTTAAGGAACGTAGAGCTAGCATATTCTAGTGTGGACTGTAAAACTAGAAACATTTATTTAGAAACATTTTAGAATTAACTTTTAAGCTATGATTGAGTATCGAAATGTATGAGGTAGGTATGTCAGCTGTCAAATCTGTTTGAAATCTTTATGTGTACAAGCATGTTAAAATGAAACAAAATTATTGGACTTGTTTCTTGGATTCTTCCAGTCCCGTCATTAAATTGGTACTCAATATCAAATTGACTATCTAACATATTGCTTGTTCCACTGTTTTTGATCAGCATGTTCATTTTATTCTAACTTATTTAGTTTGCATGGCGTACGAGCATACACCCCATCTGACGGCAATTAATCACCGTCACTTATGAGCGTCAGTAGCCTAGGTCACTTTCGAGCTACGGCTATGACTTTATTGTTAAAGACTCGATTTATAAAATTGATGACTATCTTTGGATCGTTGATGTGGTGCGCCCGGTCCTCGTGGACTGGGTAAACCACGACCAGCCATATCTCACCTTCCAGCTGATGCTGGTGCTAACTAGCAATAGGTATTTCGGCGAGTATCCACATAGAGCCATCCGAAGGAGATCACAATGGAGTGCCGACATTGACTTTGCGATGAAGACAAGAAAGAGCACATGCTCGCGGCGTGCCCGCCTGCGAAGAGCAGCATTGTGACCTCATCGCGTGTATAAGACNGTAAACCACGACCAGCCATATCTCACCTTCCAGCTGATGCTGGTGCTAACTAGCAATAGGTATTTCGGCGAGTATCCACATAGAGCCATCCGAAGGAGATCACAATGGAGTGCCGACATTGACTTTGCGATGAAGACAAGAAAGAGCACATGCTCGCGGCGTGCCCGCCTGCGAAGAGCAGCATTGTGACCTCATCGCGTGTATAAGACCGGACTCTAAGAGGTGATTTCCTCGGATGAGGCCGTGTGACGTGCTACCGGTACTTTTACGCACCACACCATTTTGGCGAGTGCCCAGTTGCTGATGTTGCACATCTAGATCTATGTAATGTTGACCGCGGTATACTTTAATGTTAAGTCTGCAGACTGAGGCCGTTTTCCAATTACAGCACAAGAGCGCATTATGCGGCATAATGCTCAACTAAGCTTCAGCATAATTCGGCATTGTGCGTCACTGAGTCGCATTATGCTCTGTAATTGGAAAACTACTTAAGTAATGTTTAATTACAGAGCATAATGCGACTCAGTGACGCACAATGCCGAATTATGTCGTCGCATTATGCTCTGTAATTGGAAAACTACTTAAGTAATGTTTAATTACAGAGCATAATGCGACTCAGTGACGCACAATGCCGAATTATGCTGAAGCTTAGTTGAGCATTATGCCGCATAATGCGCTCTTGTGCTGTAATTGGAAAACGGCCTGAGCTTGCAGAGCTAGAATCGATTCAAAGAGTCGAAGGACATCCCGAACTCTATTGATGAGCATAGACAATACTCAATACAGATTTAATTAAAGAGCTATTAGGATTAGCGAATAGCGAGCGAGTGTCCGAAATAGAATATGTTGTGCCTTCCTATTGAAAATAAAATGCTTTCGATAGTTTAAAAAAGTTAATAGGGTTTGTTTACCAATGTATTTACGAACACATTTAAGACTGGTAAGTTGGAAGTGTTTTTTTATGTTACAAACTTTAATGTTGAAACAATACAATCTTAATATTAGTCTTTAATAACTGGTTTTCTTATTTTGCGTAAATATTAAAGTTTTATACTAATTTCCGTTAGAGCAGTAACAAATTATTATCTAACACATAATTTTTATGTTGCTTTATAATCCAGCTCTCTATAAAAGGGGAATTTCACTATCAAAATATTTAGGTCACTACAAAAAGTAAGTAATGGGTCACTTGTTTACAAAGCTATCGTAGTAGAACATATTAAAGAGGGGATCGTAGTAGAACATATTAAAGAGGGGGTCTCAGTTACATACCGTCTGAAATCTGGAAGGTTGCTACCTTTCAGATTACCATAGTTATCAACTTCAAGTTTGATAGCTACTTCTATGCTATCCATTTATGTATGATAGACCAGATGTGCACTGCAGTTGCAACCACATTCAATTTTAATTCAGAAATAATGAAACATGTTGCACTTTCTTTGGATAAAGAGTTACTTGTATATGCAGTATCCTAAAATTTCCTATGAATTCATACAATTGAAAAGTTGGGGTGATTCTAGGATACCTAGAGCAGCTTCCTGAGATTTAAATATCATTAGCAAACTTGGATCATTCAAAATGATTTATAAGCAAAGCATTAGTTCACACTTTGGCCATTTCAAAATCTACTGGTTGCTACCAAACAGGTCATAGATAATGTATGATAATGCAAAATAATGATGATATGCATTTGATAGTGAAAATAATGAGAGTATGAAGAGTGTAGCAATAATTGGTATTAGGAGATCAGTATGTTACCAAATGCTTTCCAAAACTTTTAATCCTGTGGGCAGTGATTAATTGACACTTGATCATAACACTAGTCAAACTAGAGTTATGGTGAGCGTCACATGTCAATACTCACATTGAACTCTGAAGTGTTTGCATTAGAGTCAGGTTCAGTTGAAGTAACTCATTCTCATGTTAGGCCTTCATTATACTTATCACTTCAATCTGAAAAGTTTCGTTTTATTCTGAACTGATTTTGGCCAGTAGATTCTGCTTGCCAACTGAGAGGACTTCTCCCTAACATTGGAGTATATTACAACATACCCTGAGTCTACACAAAGCTATGCAGCTGCATCATTAGCAGGAATGGAGTGCATATGAAGAGTCCTACACTCACTCACACTCATTGGGTGGACACAGATTGAAGAAGGGATCATTTTCCGCATATAACCGCATTGATCATATCATAGCACTGTCAAAGCATTAGGGTTAATTGGAAAGTTCGGGTACTTGTATTAGTCCGTTATTGATTTTGGATAAAAAATTCTTATGCAATCAGGTGAGCTGCATCTCGGCCCTTTAAGAAATGGGTGGCTTTATTCTTGGCCCGCGCTGAAGTCGTGATCTCGGCTATTTATTGATTTTACGGCTGGTCTAGGGAATGTATAGGAGATATGCCCTGTCGTGACAAGCGTGTCCGGGCTCATGTGTGATAAGGACACTGATGCTTCAAGCTCTGAAGCCCGTGCTGTAGTTCTTAGTACTGTTTTAGTAGTTAGCTGTGTAGTTGTAGTTGTGTCGATTGTCAATGTGATTGACACACATTACGGACTGTGGAGACGATACGCGATACGCTCTAACCTTGTGGAGTGGGTGAATCGTAATAAAGAGTCCAGCTGAGGCAGGAGCGAATTAAGCGCGTACCTTAAACGTTTGTGGTTTTACGCATAAGACTACTGGGCGGAGCCAGTGTCTACTGCGACAATCGGTCAAATCCAATGTAGCTAGATGTAGCCAGGTACTATTTTTTAAGTAGGTACCGTTCCGTATTCATGATCGATGATATCTGTGATAATAAAATAATATCGTACTTGTAGGTACCACATCTTGCACATTTCTGTCGCAAATAGCAGCACTATATAATACATAGTACATAAAAACAATCGATATTTCAACCCCATGTCTGAAGGTGGGGTGAAATTAGCATTTTGATGTTTATCAAGTCGGTGGGATATATCTTGGAATTAGTTTTCGGTTAAACATAGATATTCTAAGTTTTTTTTTCACTATTAAGTAATGACCCGCGGTCAGGGTCATCCGTGGTTATCGCACCATCTCTTTTGAGGCGGCGTGTGTACTGGCTGGGACGCCGCCTTGGGTCCTGGAGGCGGAGGCGTTCGCCGCTGACTATCAGTGGAGGGCTAACTTGCGTGCCTGGGGCGTGGCGCGTCCCAGCCCCAGTGTGGTCAGAGCGCGGAGGGTCCAATCTCGGCGGTCCGTGCTGGAGTCATCCAGGCGGATGGCCGATCCTTCGGCTGATCGTAGGACCGTCGAGGCGATTCTTTTTTTTTTTTATTGCTTAGATGGATGGACGAGCTCACAGCCCACCTGGTTTTAAGTGGTTACTGGAACCCATAGACATCTACTACGTAAATGCGCCACCCACCTCGAGATATAAGTTCTAAGATCTCAGTATAGTTACAACGGCTACCCCACCCTTCGAACCGAAACGCATTACTGCTTCACGGCGGAAATAGGCGGGGTGGTGGTACCTACCCGTGCGGACTCCCAAGAGGTCCTACCACCAGTGATTACGCAAATTATAATTTGGCGGGTTTGATTTTTATTACACGATGTTATTCTTTCACCGTGGAAGTCAATCGTGAACATTTGTTGAGTACTTATTTCTTTAGAAAAATTGGTACCCGCCTGCGGGATTCGAATACCAGTGCATCGCTACATACGAATGCACCGGACGTCTTATCCTTTAGGCCACAACGACTTCGCCCGGTTCTTGTGAATTGGGTGAATCGTGACAGAGGACGCCTCACTTTCCGGCTCACGCAGGTGCTAACTGGGCATGGTTGCTTCGGTGAGTTCCTGCACCGGATCAGAGCCGAGCCAACGGCAGAGTGCCACCATTGTGGTTGCGACTTGGACACGGCAGAACATACGGTTCGAGTCCGACATGCCCCGCCCTCCATCCCCAGTGAAGGGCGGAAGTCCGGCGATTTCCTCCTGACAAAAAAATAATAATTAAGTAATGACTATTTATAAAGCGTATCTATGAAAGATCAAGCACGCTATGAAGCAATTGGTTGAAAGGAAAAATAGCCGAGAGCTAATGCTTGTTTACCCATTTAAAAAAAACTAGATAATGATAGTAAAACGTATGTATACATTACAAAGCTTGTTTAAATTTCGAAAACCCTTATTTAAAAAAGAAAAACATACTAGTTTATGGTTATACGTTTACATGACGTACAGAATTGTAGACATTAAAAGTCTGGATGGCGTCGCGACTGTTTGCGCACAGGGAACGGTCATTGACCCGTTCGATCCACCCTCTACCGTTACTGACGATATATGGATACCTGTGCAATGTAGGGCGTTGTAGACTCCTGTTGGAATATACCGTTTTCTAAGTATGGAATTGAAAAGATTCGTTTTATCTTTAGTTTACAGCGTTATAAAACTAACAGAAGGTTGTACATTATAAATGTTCACACAAGAAATAATGATGTATCGTTTTGGTGCATTTGTCTATCTTTTGAATGCTTCCCTATATTTTTATTCATCCGAGCACCTAACACCGATTTCAACACATTTTTTAAAAAAATCCATTGCCTTTGACGCTTTTTGAGTACAAGACCTGATGACGATGATGTGGTTGATTAATGGTCGCTGATATCCATGAATCACAGCAATCCCAGGACCACAGCTAAGCCGTTGCGACGTGTTCTTATTTATTTCAATCGTAAAAAAAAAATTGTGGTATATATAATGAAACTATGTGTAAGTAAGATGAATATGGTATTAGTCTATTTGAATGTAAGCAGTAGTTGATATTGGTATTAACAACCACAGTCTTTTTTGGTATGTTTCTCTTCATGCAGAGATCGATCAAAGCAAAAAAGCTATAGATTGCGACATTTGTTTTCGTTTAAATAAATAATTATCTATGAGTATCATAACGTCGCAAACGATGGCAGTCTGTGATAAATGAAAAACTTTTTTCTCGACTACATGCATCATAACTTAAGGCCTCGTTCACATTTTACTTAATTATTAATGCGTGTTTAAAATGCTTATATAAAAATGCATCTATAAAATGGAAATCTTTCAATAGCTGCCGTTATCTGTGGATACTAATAATATTATTAGGTATCCCTGCTATGCCGAAAAGAGTCAATAAGTATTTTATATATTTGAGTAACAACAATTTCAAAGTTAAAATAGAAATGAAATATTTGATGAGGCGTCACGTTATTTTTTAGTCGTTTTTTTTGTTCAAGAACAGTAGTCAATTAAAGAAATAATTACACAATGTGAATGAATCATAACTCTAATAGCACTTATTTCGAAGAATTTACTTAACATTAAAAATCGATTTAGTTCAAGTTCTGCAGTAACAAAAAGAAAAGAAATATTTTTTATTTCGGCAAACCCTTCGTACTTATCACGTAAGTTCGCACTCAATAACCATGTCGGCTGGTTTGCGCCAATGTGTCATACGGGAGCGTAGACCCCGCGCGTTATCTTTTGTTAAATTGTCTTACATTGGACACAGTGCAAACACATCAAAGGAAAAACAAAATTGTTATTTTTATTTAATTCCGAGCATTTTTTCATATTTAGCTACCTTTTAAACCTTCTCTGGACTTCTACAAATAATTCAAGACCAAAATTAGTCAAATCGGTCCAGCCGTTCTCGAGTTTTAGCGAGACTAAGGAACAGCAATTCATTTTTATAGATAGAAGATAGATAATAAGCTCTACCATAATAAACATTTAATAAAATCGAGAATTATTTGTTCATGGCTATAGATGGCTATAGATTATTTGTTCATGGCTGATCAAAACGATATGACAAATAATGATTAATTTGTATCAAAACAAGGAGCTATACCTGAATACTTTCATAATATTAACTTGAATCATCTTTATAATATACTCACGGTCGACGACTAATGACGTAATTGCGCCACACTCAGAATTCTGTAGTACATATCGAGTATGTTTGGCGAGGTGTTAATTAAAGATGGCATATCAGTGCAGCAACCATTGCTTTACCTTAACCTTATTCGAGTCAGTTTTCGTTTTTGTATATGCACACAGACGGCGCCTTCCACTCCATGCTATAATGACATTGTCGTTGCCAATATAACGAAATAAGATTGACAGAATCTCAACGGTACTGCAATGAAAGAATGGATATGATTTTGACGAACACCGCTAACTTATTAGACAATATTAACAAAAAAATGCATTAACAATTTCGGTTTGATATATTGTTTGTGTGCACGGTATTTTAACCTTGTTTCCATGTGACCATTTCGGCCGCAAATAACGACCTTTTTAGAGTAGTAGATAAGACAAAATAAATGTAATTTAGGTTTTGGTTCAAGTTTCGAAGTGGAAACGGCATACTGAGGATTCCAGTAACCCCCTAACCGAATCCATGATTATTTTACGGCCGAAATAAGTGAAACGGTAATACCAATTCCTAGTGGAGGACATTACATGTTTGATGTATCCTTATATTCAAAACACTGACCTAAATCGTTGTTTAAATATCTATGTAGGTCTTCATTGGCAGTCAATAATTTCATAGAATAGTACTCGGGCATTTAAGTTTTGATTCAATGTCGAACGTTCCGAGAAGAACCGGTGACGGCGCGCGTTGTATCACCGCTGACGAAGTTATTTTCTGTTCATTAGTCACTCGTGTATCCGGCGCGGGAGTAAGTCGCGCGCTTTGCACTCCTTAATTTCGAAACAGATATATCGCAGATGTCTATTTACAAACTTAATGGCACAGATAAGGGTATCTTTATCTCGTCATTGTTCTCATTAAACGTATAAGTGCTTGTGAGAAACGTCTTAATTAATACAGCAAGATCCGTGAACTCTTTTATTTGAGTATAGTATTGTATGTGGTTATTTGATTTTAATATCCTTATGAATTCTAACAACAAATGATTTGTCTTTAAGTATGTGAATCATTACGTCGTTTTGTGTTGTTTCGAGAAAATTGGAGTCAAACCACGACTATAGGTAAATATGCACATCTCATATTTGATTTCGGTTACCTATATGGATAGTTTACTCTCGCAGTGTGTATGCGTCATGGTCACCTCAATCAATGATAACTGCTTAACGTCAGGTGGTACTTTAACTCTGATCATCGGTCTGGTCGTGATCTCCAATAAAAATGTGGGAGTTGGAATTTAAAACACAAAACTTAATAAGCCAAAGTTTAATCATACTTATAACGAGATAAAATAAAAATATTTCGAAATTAAAAGCACTATCAGTAATCAAGCTATAGTTTCGAACTGTTAAAATATATTATTCATTGTACCTAGAAATTGATTCTTATAAATATTCAATTGCATATTGTTATAAGTTTCATACTCAGTACCATTGTTATTGATCTATTTAAGTAGTGCGAACATCTATAGTTGCGCAGAAAAAAAGTTGTCGGTAAGAAAATACTATTAAGAATTGCATTTGATTTTGGTTAAGCGTACAAATGCATGTTAGAATAACTCCTAATCGTATCTGTTCCTGGTTTGTTATTACAACATTGGCTTGACATATGTAGACTGCGGCTGCTTTCACGGTAAAAGAAATTTGTCATTCTCAGATTGAGCCCGTGATCTCACCCATCTGTCCGTGCGTAGCTGGAATAGTCCCCTAGGCTACCAGTCAATAGGCAGGGAAAAATAAAAAACTGAAAACACTTGTCAGCAAATATAAATTTATGCAGTAATTTCATGTTCAGTTTCATTCTTCATTGTGGTAATTAATTCGTTCATTGGTGTATTTTAATTTGTTGTGTTACAGCATAGTATGTTTGGCCGTAGTGGATTTAGTATGCCACATAATGGAAAGCATGTGGGCGGCACATTTTCTTGTCTGGTCCGCCCACAGGGCCACCATCTGGTCGATCAATAAGATCTTGAATGAATGTTAAAAAAAAAAAAACGTCTCGAAACCTACTCCTCTTTAACTTTGTCATACAAGAGTTTACAAGACATACATAATACCTTAATAAACTTTATTTCTTTTTTTTTTTAAATAATTCCTAAGGTATACTTTTTTATTTATTTTATAAGAAAACGGTAAACTTTCATTACAGAATTAGATCTGAAAAAGAAAACAAAAAATGTACATAAAACGAACGAGTTTATTGCTGGCAAGCGTGTGGGCGAGCCTGTTGGTCGTGTGTTTTACGCAACACGCAGAGCAGCTGCTTGCCCAGAATCCTTGCTCGAGTAAAACGACCTGTAGCGAATGCGCTCGGACTCCCAGCTGTGCGTGGTGCTTCGCCACCGACTTCAATGGACCTCGATGTTTTAATCCCGCAATGGAAGGCGGTACCGGTGGTTGCGATGAAGCCTACATTTTCAATCCCGACAATCAGCTGTTTGTCGACCCTGCATATAACAGAGACTTGAGTAGAGGTAAATATTGAAGACACATATATTACGATAATGATAACGTTTATTTGGATTCTTATTAAATATTTACTTGTCTTCAGCAAAGGGTCGCATGGGAATGGCAACAGGCTCGGCAACTTACGAAGAGTCAATGAGCTCTAAGGGAAGTTCATTTGCTGGCAGCGGGAGTGCCGCTGGTGCAGCTGGTGCTGGCGGGAATCTCGTACAAATGAAGCCCCAGAGAGTGAAGCTACAGATGAGAATGAGTATGTCTTCTTCTTTTTCTTGTCCTTGTCCTATATGTGGTCAGTGTAGCTTGTCCACTTTTCCATTCAAGCCTATATATAAGTACGTCATCTCTGCACTGACATCTTCCTCTCCAAGATGTCCAAGTTTTTTAGGACAATCCCTTTTCATGAAAATGAGTATGAACTATGTAAAAATATTAGGTAGGCGGTAAGCAGCGGCTTGGCTTTGCCTCTGACATTGCTGAAGTTCATGGGCGACGGTAACCACTCATCATCAGGTGGGCCGTATGCTCGTCTGCCTACAAGGGCAATAAAAAAAAAATAAAAAAAAGTTATGATCACTAAAACAAGATATAGTTAAGTACATTTTGCTTTTTTTTTAGATCAAATGCAAAAGCTTACGTTTGCCTATTCCCGGGCTCAAGATTATCCCGTCGATCTGTACTATCTTATGGATCTCAGTAGGTCCATGAAGAACGACAAAGAGAAGCTCAGTGCTTTGGGCAGTCTGCTCTCGGCGACGATGAGGAACATGACATCCAATTTTAGGATCGGCTTCGGATCGTTCGTAGACAAACTCGTTATGCCGTATGTTTCAACGGTGCCTAAGAAGTAAGTTTGAATTTCGTTTCCCCACAATCGCTGTCCTTTGACTGCCACGTAGGTCACTGGTGCCGTAAATGGCACACTGAAGTAATCATGTCGATTCCTGTTACTAAGTCGCCGGTTTTATTTATTTATTTTTTATTGCTTAAGTGGATGGACGAGCTCACAGCCCACCTGATGTTAAGTGGTTACTGGAGCCCATAGACATCTACAACGTAAACACGCCACCCACCTTGAGATATAAGTTCTAAGGTCTCAGTATGGTTACAACGGCTATCCCACCCTTCGAACCGAAACGCATTACTGCTTCACGGCGGAAATAGGCGGAGTGGTGGTACCTACCCGTGCGGACTCCCAAGAGGTCCTACCACCAGTGATTACGCAAATTATAATTTTGCGGGTTTGATTTTTATTACACGATGTTATTATTCCTTCACCGTGGAAGTCAATATGGAATAATTAGCAGACTCTGGGAAAACGATTCGGAAGATACTGACAACGACTCTTCTTTTTCTCCACCTTATCCCACTAGGTGGGGTCGGCACAGCTAATTTTTTTCTTCTATTCTCTTCTATCAGCCGTCATCTCAACACTCACACACTCCATCCATGTCTTCATCGGTCGACCTCTTCCCCCTCTATCTTGCACTACCATTACCATACATCTCCTAGTCACATGCATATTCTCTCTACGCATCACATGTCCATACCACGGTAACCGTCCGCTCTTTAATTTGTTGACAGATACTGACAATGAATCTGTTTTTAAAAGACCTAAAAGACTAAAACACACATTAGCAAATAAAAGAAGCCGCTTAGTAACAGAAATCCACATAATTACTTCATTGCGCCATTTACGGTACCAGGTACCAGTGACCTGCATAGCAGTCAGTGTGTTAAAGATGGATCGATTATTGAATTTTCAATTTTCAGTCTCATCTCTCCGTGTGATAACTGCGCCGCGCCTTACGGCTTCCGCAATCAAATGTCGCTCAGTAAGGATACTGACTTCTTTGAAGTAAGTGAATATGATTTAAATACTGTTTTTACTTGTTTAATAAACAGCACGGATGATGGAAAAAAACAATTTTTGAGATTCTATCTAGGGATGAGGTTTTGTAATCTGAACTAGCCTTACTTAGCTTTCATATGGTTTTAGACATTTCCAATTAAATTTTGAAGTTCTCTGCTTATCACATAAGTTCTAAAGTTATAAATAAGTATTTATTGATGGTGCACATAAGATGCTATGTCTTTTGTTTCTGTCAAATCGTTTTAATCAATATGTTGCTCTTCTGTAAAATTGGCTTATACTTTAGCCCGTGTGTTTTTTAAATGTGTAATTTTCGCACTTATTAAATCAAGAATAGTTCAATTTTCAAAATTCTATTCGGAACATATGAATTTCATGTTTTCTTCACTTGTAATATCAGCTAATGCACATAATTTTATTTAATCTATGTAATCAAACATATACTGTTTGGTTCTATTACGTATTAAGACAGTGCCATAAGTTTGTATTAAAATGATATAATTGTGATTTTTGGGCTTAGTATGATATGCCGATGATTGACGATTTACGAATGACTTCGCTATTTAATAGTAAAAATACAATAAATATGATTTTTTAATTGATAATTTAAGAAATGGTATTGTGGGGAGGCTTAAACGACGAAAGGAAAGATCTTCCACCGAGCGGGTGATATTGCTCGGTAGACCGACGGTCCAAATGTTGTTCTTCGGAACTTGTATATATGCAAGCTTATCTTGAAAATGTCGTAAGCGAGATTCAGGCATCTGTCAAATATCTTTTTAATGGATTTTATGACCTGGTAACTAAGACCTTTAGGTCAAGTCTTATTTTAATTTTAATGACGTAACTTTTTTATATGAAAATGATATTATGAAATGAAATGAAGTTGATTATTATGAAACATGGCCTGAAGTGAAATGAAAACGAAATGAAATGACATGAGATGAGATGATATGGGATGAAGTATAATCTCAGTAAAATGGTGGTCATTTACTGAAACTTTTTCAGTGGACTTTTTAGAAGATCCCGAGAAGTTACGTTCAGTGGCTTTGTTTCATTTTCCCACATTTGTGCACTTTCACAGATACTAAACAGTTAATAAACCACCGTTATTACACATTTAAATCTGAAGAAACACTAACTAGACAAAATAAAACAAATAACACAACTTCACTCCTCGCGTTCCCGCCAAAAAGTCCCTGTCAAATATCTTGCGTTTTATGATGGCTACCCGCCACAGTATTTCTATTCTCTTTCATTTCTAACCCGCAACAATTTTTTATTTATTTTTTATTTTTTAAATATAACGTCACTGTTTACATCCTTTATTAGAAAGCAGTCGCACAAGCGGACGTTTCTGGTAACCTAGACGCGCCCGAAGGAGGGTTCGACGCGATCATGCAGGCGGTCGTGTGCCGCCAACAGATCGGCTGGAGGGACCAGGCCCGTCGGCTGCTCGTCTTCTCGACCGACGCCGGCTTCCATTACGCCGGGGACGGAAAGGTAATGTTTTAAATAAATACTCCCAACTTAAATGAATATTTAAAAAAACCCTAATATTAAAAAAAAAAGAGAAACAAGACATGCCCGCTGAGTTTCTTGCCAGTTCTTCTCAGGACGGAGGCTAGTTTTTGTGAATTGGCGGTAGTTCTTTTTGACGTTCAACAAGTATGTACTTTCATTTATGTTGAATAAATTTTTTTTTTTGATTTGATTTGATTTGATTAAATAAGTCTGATGTTTGATTAATAAATTATTCGCTGGTAGCCTAAGCCCTCATTAGCACGGGCGTTTTAAAAGCGTGGCGTCAAAACTCGGCGTTGGCGCTTTTATTATGACGTAATCTGTAACGCCCCCAACGCTTAGCGCTCAAAATGCAACACTGCGCAATAAAAAAGCGTCGCGTTTTAAAAGCTCTGACGTATGAACACATACTAGGAAATGCATCTGTTCTATTTGAACGCTTTTTTAATGCGCGCTAAAAAAACTCCCGTACGAATGAGGCCTAAAGGGCTATTCCAGCTAAGCCCGCACGGGTAGGTGAGCTCACCGGCTTAACCTAAGACAATTTGCGAACACTAGCCCTAGCAAGAGGAGTGCTTCACAGAAGCTACTAATAAGCTCTTAGTGAAGATCTTCGCTCACAACAGCTAATCCCTTCGAAGACGTTCGCGTCGTTTTTTTGTAACTCAATTATTTAGATATAATAAAATGGAAAATATTTGATTGATATATCCAAAGATTAACATATTTTATTAATAAAGGTTATAAACAGACCTGAGCGTCATATGTTTGAGGATATATTCCTTTAGCATTGCTGACGCAAGCAATGGTGACCATACATTAAGAATAAGGTGGAGCTTGAGCTCGTTTAAATTAGACATGAGAAAATATGTGACGTGAAATTTCCACGGTCAATGCTAAAAATTAAATATATGACTGAGGTCACGAGTAAAATTTTGAATATAAACTAGGTTAGTTTGAAAGTAGTTGGATTAAGTCAAATCGATTAATTGTTTAGAATAAAACCTTTTGAAGAAAAAAGAAAGAAAAAAGCCTTAGGTTTTTAATAAATTATGAATCAATCATTCATAATTCATCAAATATTTATTTGAATAAATTGAGCAAAGCTTTTTTCTAAACAATTAATGGATTTAAACTCATTCTAATTTTACTTTTGCGCTCACATTCGACGGACGTCAATGATTGACGTCACAATTGGATTCCATGTTCAGGAAAAATGTGTAACGCAGTCTACTTAACACAGGAAATTACGTTACCAATTAAAAAAAAACATCAGCACGAAATTAATTTAATGTTATTATTATTTACATGGTTTATTGTTTATTTTTCAGCTCGGCGGTATAGTGCAGCCTAATGACGGCCAATGTCACATGGAAAACAATGCTTACACTCACTCGACCCTTCAAGATTACCCCAGTATTTCACAGATCAACCTGAAAGTATGTTCCGTTTTTGCGATTAAATACTTTTAGATGAAATACTTAATTGAAAAAGATATGTGAGTGGCACAATACTCAAATTGATTTTTGAGACAACAATTGAAAGGAATTCACAATAATTTAAATAAACAGGAATATCGAATAAAGTATTTGAATTAAATGTAATACATATTTATAAATATACTAGCTGACCCGGCAGACTTCGTAGTGCCTCAATCGATAAATAAAAGACCTAAACTTTTGTATAAAATAAACTTAAAACAAACAAAAGGAATCCGTCCGACGGGGGACACATCAAAGGAAAAACAAAATTGTTATTTTTATTTAATTTCGAACATTTTCATATTTATGTTCCTTTTAAACCTTCTCTGGTCTTTTACCAATAATTCAAGACCAAAATTAGCCAAATCGGTCCAGCCGTTCTCGAGTTTTAGCGAGACTAACGAACAGCAATTCATTTTTATTTATAAATATATTAATATATTTAGAGACTATTTAAATCTGGTGGCAGAAGAAACTGTCAATTAAGAAAAATTGCCCTCTGAATTAAATGAATGAAAAAAACATTTTGAGATCATTACAGATGTTAGCCGCACATACAGAAAACAATATGTTTTTCGTTAAACATTGATGTTAAATTCAGTGAAATGTGGAATTTTAATTGTAAAAATATTTTCAGGTGAAAAAAAATGCTATAAACGTGATATTCGCGGTAACAGCCGAACAGATCAGCGTGTACGAAGAGTTGAGCAAACACATCGAGGGGTCCAGCAGCGGCATCCTCAGTGAGGACTCCGACAACGTTGTCGATCTCGTACGGGAGCAATACAATGTGAGTACACTGCTTTAAGTTTTTTTGGGAACATCTAGTATACGAAATTGAAAGATGGCATAAATAGTACCTGCTTATTAATCAAGCTTGAAAATCTGAAATTAAGTTCAATTGAATATTCGATTTCATGCCTCAAGATATACGGCGGCGTTCACGTTATGATGCCCATCGACTCCTGATCTCACATAACATCATTTAAGCAGTAAGCTCGCATGGAAGGAAAAATTAAATTATTTTATTCAAAAATAAAATAAATTCCTGGACGTGTTATTAACGTTATGACTTTATATTGTTGTACAGAAAATTACGTCAACCGTTGAAATGAAGGACTCATCGAGTGACGCCGTTCAAATTGTGTATTACTCATCGTGTCTCGGCGGCAAGGATCTCGTTCAAACAAATAAATGTGACGGACTCAAGGTACATAATAACATGTTTCATTTAATATATTCAAATTCTAAATTAATTATTTTTAATTGATTGTCCTGTTACATACTGATTTAATGTCAAAGTAAACGCTATAATTGGTTCCAAAAAGTCATAGTCCTCAGAAAATAGACGAACTTACTTACTTTACTGGCGGTAGGACGTCTTGTGAGTCCGCCCGGGTAGGTACCACCACCCTGTTTAGTACTGTCGTGAAGCAGTAATGCGTTTCGGTTTGAAGGGCGGGGCAGCCGTTGTGCTGTTAAAAGTGAAACCTTTAGAACATATGTCTCAAGTTGGGTAGCGGCATTTACGTTGTAGATGTCTATGGGCTCCGGTAACCACTTAACGCCAGTTGGACCGTGAGCTCGTCCACCCATCTATGTAATAAATAAAAAATAATAATAACCGTGGCATTGGATTGGATTAACCTAAAAGAAGTACATTAATAGAATATATTATATAATAGAATATAGTTATAATTATAACCGATTAAATTGAATAGAGACTGGGAGCGTACGTCTCCTTCACCATGTGCCATCTAGTAAACCATAAAATTGTTTTGTTAAAACGCTAAAATGTTTCCGTATTAAATACATGTTAATAACAATTGAGAAATGAATAAAGATAATGAACATTTATAAAATTCCGTAAAGCAGTTGAATACGCTATTGATGATGATTTCGATTTGAAACATAAATTTAAAATCGTAAGTAAATATGTTGTTTTACAAGAAAGTGTGTGTATTATTCTCCACAGGTCGGAGACATGGTGGAGTTCACAGCCGAGATTACATTGAAGGAATGTCCTAAAGATCGGAACAAATGGAAACAATTATTCGAAATATCCCCTGTGGGTATATCGGACAGTCTGCAGGTGGAGTTGGAGTTGCTGTGCGATTGCCCTTGTGAACGGCCGGGACATTTCGTAAGTCACAATCTTTATCCGTAAAATTTTATTTTCCTTTTTGATTATTTTTTTCCTCCTGTATGTTTTGGGCCTGGGTATTAATCTTGTTGTCTTGATGTCTGTATGAGAGACGTCATAGCGAATACGCCAAAAGATGTAGAGAATAAATACATTATTTATTAATTATGCTCTAAATCCCGTATACTACTGAATTCTGTTTATTAAAATTTTCTAGACGTTGTCATGAATGGAGGTAAAATGATTTTTGTTTGAAGATCATTACATATATGACCTTTTGGCAGCGGCTTGGTTCTGCCCCTGGCATTGCTGAAGTCCATGGGCGACGGTAACCACTCACCATCAGGTGGGTCCTATGCTAGTCTGCTTACAAGGGCAATAAAAAAAACCTGGTAATACAAATTAAAGTTTTGCTATTGAATTAAAATCGTAAACGCGTTCGATGTCGGCGCCAGGCGTACAACGCGAGTCCGCTGGTGTGCAGCGGCGAGGGCGTGTCGGCGTGCGGCGTGTGCCTGTGCAGCCCGGGCCGCTTCGGGAAGAGCTGCGAGTGCTCCGCGCAGGGCGGCGTGTCCGTCGAGCAGGAGCGCGGCTGCCGCCCCACCAACGCCACCTCCAGCCCGCTCTGCTCCAACCGCGGGACCTGCATCTGTGGCGTCTGCGAGTGCAACAAGATGGAAGACCCCACTAAGGTACTCTTGGCTTTGGACGACGATTCTCATTACAACAACGACGAACAAACGAACTCTGGTTGCGAGGATATTGGATTTGAAAAGGCGGCACATCACGAAAACCCTCTTGTCGTGATCGCCGGGAATTACATACTCGATCCTCTGGATCGAATGGTAAACAGTCAACGTCGCCCATAACACGTCATTACGGATCCCCCCGATCCATTAACGGTGCGTTTATGTACCTAACCCGTCGCTTGCGATCAAGGGCTCTACGAGTAAATTAACCCACAGACACAGCCCACTGAGTTTCTCGCCGAAACTTCTCAGTGTAGTGTTAGCAACGTCGTCAGGTTAGCGCCCTATGCGCTCACCTACTTGTTAGGTTATGGAAATATAGCCTCTCAAGACTTATCAGCCTAGGTAAGAAAAAAAAAAGAGGTTAAAAAGAAAATTTGTTTGTTAAGGTAATATCGGGCCCGTTCTGCGAGTGCGACAACTTCACGTGCGACCGCTACAAGGGTCAGCTGTGCTCGGGCCACGGCACGTGCGTGTGCGGCAAGTGCAGCTGCGAGCCGGACTACGGCGGGCCCGCCTGCCAGTGCCTCAAGGACACCAAAGTGTGCATGTCGCCAGGTGGGCTCACACTCTCAGACACAGCCCACTGAGTTTCTCGCCGGATCTTCTCAGTGGGTCCGTTTCCGATCCGGTGGTAGATTCTGCGAAGCACGGCTCTTGCTAGGGTTCGTGTTAGCAACGTCATCAGGTTTGAGCCCCGTGAGCTCACCTACAAACGTTAGGGTTACGCTGAAATAGCCTTGAGAGGCTCTCAGCTTAGGTAGGAAAAAAAAAAAAGTGGGCTGACTCTTACCCCACCCGATAACCCGTCAAAATCATATTCATATGTAATGTGAGCGACATCTAGTGAAATCATGATGCCTAATTTACCTACTTTACTGATGGTAGGACATCTTGTGAGTTTACTGTGAGCTCGTCCACCCATCTGGATGCGGGAATCTTTCCACGGAAGTGCTTTTGGAAGTGATTTAGTTCTTCGAGACCGCTGAAGCCTTATTTGGGTGCGAATAGTTAACCGCCGTCCGACATTCGGCGTTGACTGTTTTATGGTGGAAAGGTCGAATTCCAACTCAACCCTCCTCTTTTGTCATCCGGACTTGGGACCGGCATTGGCAGAGTTAAATCTAGCTCTAAAAAAGGATTCCCTCGCCTTTCCTCAAGACTTGTATTGTGTTGTGTTGCGTGTATTAAAAACATTAGTAGTATCTTGATGTTAGTACCACACCCTGTATAAAAAGTTGTTCGTAATAGGGAGTATTAAAGTTTAGAATTGGTTTGATTATAGAGAACAACAAGATTTGTAGCGGCAACGGCAAATGTGTGTGCGGCCAGTGCGTGTGCAACGTGGACGACGACAAACACTATTCGGGAATGTACTGCGAGAAATGTCCAGTGAGTATATATTTTATTGTATACATGTCTAGAATAATTCAGTATAAATATAAGTTTTAACACTAGGCAGCGGCTTGGCTCCGCTCCTGGCTTTTCTGACGTCCATGGGCGACGGTAACCACTCAACATCCGGTGGGCCGTATGATCGACTGCCCATAAGGGCCATCAAAAAAAAAAATCGACCACCCAGTCTGTCTGTCTACCTAGGAAATAAACTCACTTTGTAAAAAACCTTCTCCTTCGTACTTTTCACTACAAACTAAAATATGTAGTTCGCTCTCGGCTGTCAAAAATAAGTTTTTTATTTTACTCGAGAGCATATTTGTAAGGGAAGCTTCTTGCGTAGATTCAGCGAAGCATTGCTCTTATCAGTAGGGGCTAGTGTTAGAAAATTCTCTTAGGTTGGGCCCCTGAATTCACGTACCTGTCCGTGAGTAATTGGGTTGGATTGGCTGCCTGCGACTTAGGAAAAAAACTCGAAATAAATTATATTTCTTTTTTAAAGTCAACTCATAAGCTTCTGAAGACAATTTGTTTTCCTTTCTTGAATACTGTGATTCGACAGAGGAACATTTAACAAGATTTTTGAGAAAAAAATTATCACAGACAATGTCCAGTGACACGTCCGTCTCGATCAATATGTAGTAGAGGCACTCTTTGGCTTGGTCCATTACAGGTTTAACAAGGTGTTTGGATGGGATTACAATCTATTACGATAGATAACTCTATGGATAACTCGGACTGGTGATGAAAAAAATAATTGTTCATTAAATCTAGTCAAGATTTATAGTGTGAAAGTCGAATGAACCAAAGGAAATATAAAACCCAAAACGCGTTAATATAGTGTACAATTTTTTTTTTTTATGACATATCAGGAAAATTTGTAAAATTAAAATCAATAATTCACCAGTTTATTGTAATATGAACAACTCTGAAAACATTGGTGTTTTAAAATTCGATTCGTAGCAATTATGTTGATTGAGATTAATTACCGCACAAGCATCCGTCGTAATACAAACAGTATTATAGTATATATAGTTATATAAATATCCCATGGGGCTAACTCTCAGACACAGCCCACTGAGTTTCTCGCCGGATCTTCTCAGTGGGTCGCGTTTCCGATCCGGTGGTAGATTCTGCGAAGCACGGCTCTTGCTAGGGTTCGTGTTAGCAACATCGTCAGGTTGAGCCCCGTGAGCTCACCTACTAAAGTTAGGGTTACGCTGACATAACCTCTTAGGCTACCAGCGAATAGGTAGGGAAAAAAATCCGTTGTCTAACATTAAATGTATTCCATAAAAACAGACTTGCCCCGGCCACTGCGGAGACTTCAAAGACTGCGTCCTCTGCGAGGTGCACAAGCGCGGTCCCAAGTACAACCCCGACACGGACGGCTGCGGCAACTGCGCGCTCCTGCCGATCATAGAGGAAGGCAGAATCGAAGGTAACATTAACATCTTGCATTCTCTCTATCTATGTTATTAAAAACAACAATTATTATAATTACTGGTGGTCGGACCTCTTGTGAGTCCGCACGGGTAGATATCACCACCCTGCCTATTTCGGCCGTGAAGGCTGTGAGCTCGTCCAACCATCTAGGCAAAAAAAAACAATCTAAATCAAAAGACCTAAAACAGTAATTCATTGCAATTTTAAATTGAATTACTTATGTAGGTACATAAAGTTTTCAGTATTTTTTCAAGTCACCTCAACTGATTTTAACAAAACGTCAAATTTAACAAAATGTCAATTACATTTTACAAAATGGTAGCGCCTTAGTTCCGATTTTGGCCGCATGTCATACTATACTTTTTTTTCTTGTAAATGACATAATTATGATGATGTTAATTTCCGCAGCCAACGAAACTCTCAACGAGCACTTGTGCAGTTTCTATGACGACGAGGACTGTTTGTACGTGTACGTCTATTCTTACCAAGACACTCGGAAAGTGGTCATCAGGGCGCAGAAGGAACGAGAATGCCCTAAAAAGGTGTGTACATTTCATTTTTAGAAGAAAAAACACCTAAAAATATTTATATAAATAACTAGGTGACCCGGCAGACTTCGTAGTGCCTCAATCGATAAATAAAAGACCTAAATTTTTATATAAAATAAACTTAAAATAAACAAAAGGAATCCGTGCGATGGGGACAAATCAAAGGAAAAACAAAATTGTTATTTTTATTTAATTCCTACCATTTTCATATTTATCTACCTTTTAAACCTTCTCTGGTCTTTTACCAATAATTCAAGACCAAAATTAGCCAAATCGATCCAGCCGCTCTCGAGTTTTAGCGAGACTAACGAACAGCAATTCATTTTTAGATAATGTATTTCTTCTGTCCCTCGGTTTAAAATAGTTTTAAGGAAGCAACTCTCCTTAACTCTTCGTGGAAAAGATCATTTTGAATTGACAAAAAAATAGTAGTAAGAGTGTTAATTTTTTTTATTTTCTTAGGTACCAATCTTGGGTATAGTCCTGGGCGTGATCGCCGCCATAGTGCTGGTCGGGCTGGCGCTGTTGATGCTGTGGAAGATGGCCACCACCATACACGACCGACGCGAGTTCGCACGCTTCGAAAAGGAACGTATGATGGCCAAATGGGATACGGTAAGCAACTTTTTACTGGCGTATAGTGGCTAGCGGGACTTTTTGACGGGAATGCGAGGAGTGAAGTTCTGTGATTTGTTTTATTTTGACTATTTAGTGTTTCTTCAGGTTTAAATGTGTAATAACGGTGGCTTATTAACTATTTAATATCTGTGAAAGTGCACAAATTTGGGAAAATTAAACAAAGTCGCTGGACGTAACTTCTCGGAATCCTCCAAAAAGTCCACTGAAAAAATTTCAGTAAATGAATTTCATCCCATATCATCTCATTTCATTTCATTTCATCCCAGTTGATTAATGTCTCAAATTAATCATCTTCATTTCATTTCACTCCATATTATCATTTTTCATAAAAATAAGAATATAAATTAAAATAAGACATGACTTAAAGATCTTAGTTACCAGGTCATAAAATCCTTTAAAAAAAGTGGCTAGCTGTAAACCGGTACCATAGACACGTAGCTTGAATGTCGCCGCCCTCTTTGAGATCAATAATTAATCTTAAGTCTCAAGTTTAGCGTCTGTGTAACGGTTGATCTGCGCGTCAGACCGGAACGTCACTAGACTACAATAATTATACCAATCCGCGTGGGCACAAATAAATATTTCTAGTTACATATTATTTTCTCATATATGATAATTTAATTTTGATTCTTAAAATAAACGTTGTTTTGTAATAAATATGTGGTGTTATTTTTTTTCAGGGCGAGAATCCGATTTACAAGCAAGCGACGTCGACGTTCAAGAATCCAACTTACGCCGGAAAATAAAAGTGTGCCTTCGTAAACTGTTTTTTGTATTTTATGTACTAATACAAAATGATAGGATGTAAATGTTCAATTACGATCTTTATTCCGAGCGCCATACATTTCTAGTATTTTTATAGTGACGTATAGCTGAAGCTTTTAGATGCTGGCGAACATCAAGAGTTGCCTTAAAAGTGTGCCTTTAAAGAAATGTCGTTTTTATATTTAATATGTGCCTTACTGTCTATTCGTTTCCTGTAGGAAAAACTATTGCTTTCATGACTAATGTATTGTATATTCGTTAATATACAGAATATAAGGTAAATATTCCAGAAATAATAATAATAAAAATTGGTTATCTTAACCTAAACTGAATAATATTTTGCTATGATATAAGTATGAAGCAAACGTCCCGTATCACACGAGGTCACTGACCCCGTGCGTCGTCTTATTTTGTACTGTTAAGTTCCGTGAAATAATAAAACGTAAAATATTAAATCGATAATTATTTTAATGCTATCAACAATACTGTTAGTGTTCGTTTTTTTTTTCGGGAAAATTTACTTTACACGTGACTTGTTCAAATGAAAAGAAAATCTAGTCTTAAAGCTACTTTATACATATACAGTATACTGTACTGTAAACGTTTTTTTAAATATTGACGTAAACCTCAACAATCTTTGAGGCATGAAAGCGACTATAATTGTACTTATTTTTATTTAATTATTATATACAATTTTTTTCTACTGTGCTTTTGCTTTTGCTGTAGTAATTAATTTGTCGCCAAGAGAGGTTTTTATCTCATTACATTTTAATAAACGCTTCTATACTTCGATGTCTGTGTGTGTGTGTTGTATGAAATTAGTGATTAGTCTGCACAAAATTAATTTATATATCATTAAAGTTTGTTACAAAACAAAAAGAAATCCTTAAAATGGAAAATTTAAATATTTNTACTGTGCTTTTGCTTTTGCTGTAGTAATTAATTTGTCGCCAAGAGAGGTTTTTATCTCATTACATTTTAATAAACGCTTCTATACTTCGATGTCTGTGTGTGTGTGTTGTATGAAATTAGTGATTAGTCTGCACAAAATTAATTTATATATCATTAAAGTTTGTTACAAAACAAAAAGAAATCCTTAAAATGGAAAATATTAAATATTTGTTATGTTTTAATTTTCTCAGCGGGTAAACTTTGTATTTTTGCTTCATCACTGCCAGTAGAAGTAGTGATTGTGAAATAAATAAACAGCAAGATTTTGATTATATTTTATATTGCCTGCGAATCTTTCATGATCTTATTACGGTCGTCTCTGCATACAGATGTGGTGAATTAAAATAATGTGTAGTGCCATTATATATCGATGATTGTATATGAAAAAGAATTAACAATTTTATTATTGTTTGAAACATTTTGCTGTAAAATAAAGGTACTTACTTATAAGGTTGCTGAATATTATTTATTTAAAAATATAATTTTTCGACATACGAGCCAACAGCCTGGTTCCACTGCTTGCATGCACTTGATATTTTATTTTTATATAATGAGATAACTAGTTATTATATTATTTATTACATACATAAAGGAAGACAGAAATATAAAATAAAATATGAGTCAGTGTTTGGACATATAAATGAAGCGTTGGCTCAAATGTCGATAAGTTTGACCAGGATCATTTTTGATATGTTTTAAAAATGTGCTTGAAGAATGCTGCAATTTCCTGCGAGTGATCTATATTTCTTTGTATATAATTTAATTCCGGTCTAATATATTATTATATTTTTTATTATAATGTCTCAGATAGTTAATAAATTTAACACAAAAGTATGTTTTTATTTATTATCATTGCTACGTGAACATGGAAATCAGCCATTGCAACTATAGTGAGACCTCCGGACTCATATGTCGAGGTGGGTAGCGGCATTTACATTTCAAATGTCTACGGGCTCCGGTTATCACTTAGCACCAGGTGGGCTGTGAGCTCGTCCACCCATCTATGCAATAAAAAATATATAATAAAACATGATTTTCCGCATAACTTACTTTATTTTGCGATGAAATCACCGCCACAAACGCTATAGAAAAAAATAAAAATGTTTTGTAACAGGCAGGTATTTTTATTTCACTATAGAAATAAATTTACAAATAAAAATATCAAGAGTCCAAAAAATACTCAAATTACCACATATCATTACAATAGCTTTTAATCGCAGCTTCGCTCTTTTTAATAAGGGAACTTATCCTATGTCCTTTTATGTACTCCTGATGATGTGTTTCGTGATGTGATAATCGCACAAGTAGTTAAAAAGTGAAAACCTAACAAACAAATTCACTTTTTCAATTAATAATAATATTAGCATGGATAAGATACCTACTAGAGCCCGCAGCTCATCTGGATCTGTTATCGGAGTCCATAGACACCATAACTAAACTCCGCCAATCTTGAGACAAGGTTTCGAGAACTTTGGTAATCAGATATGAACGGATAGGGAAATGATATCTTAGTTCCATGAGGCTGAAGTCGTATACCCGTATCTACTGATTATAACAAACTTAACATTAAGCTCCTTAGATCTAATTAACATCAGGCGACCCAATTAAAATAATTATAATTAAGATCCTCTGATTGCGGTGAGTCGTTTTATTTCCTTTAATACCCGAGTTAAACATGATCCTTGACGCAGTATTTCAACCGCCTCGCACTATTAGCTGGGGAATCATATTTATTCAGTTTGTATGAATCTTCAGATATTAAAACCACAGAGTTCCTAAAGCGTAGTTTTAGAGGTTTTTGCCGTTTCTAATTAATAAAAGAGTATTTACAGAGTAGACGCGTTCCATTTAAGATTTCGGAAGAGCTAAATAGCTCTGTGTAAAGCTGATAATCTTACTTTCCTTGCCTATCAACTGGGAATATTTTTTCGTAAGGTCTAATATTTATGTTCTTTTTAAGTAGGCAATGGCAGGTAGGTGTTAGCAATGGCATGTAGGTAGGTTATCAACGTCAACGCAAATAAAATATAGGTACTTTTAGGGTGATCATCGTAAACCTCTTTTGATTTCTTGTCATATAGAATCAGACTCCAAGTACGGTAACCGTTCTTGTCGAACCCGTCGATTGCAAGCAAGTTAACTCTGAGACAGCTCACTAAGTTTCTCGCCGGTCCTAGGCGTAGATTATGCGAAGTACTGCTCTTGCTAGGACTAGTGTTATAGTCTAGTCGACAAGTTAAAAATGGTGTTAATTCGACATACTACTGCTAAAATTATGTGGTTTAGCTCATTCGATTCGGAATAATGTCTAGACCATTGTGCTAAAAAATTGAATTAGCACATAAAAAATTCCAAAAGTTATTAACAATTAAACACCTTAAAAAAATAGCGTTTCGTTTATTGCTTATTGTCCGTAAACTATAAATATTTTCGAAATTTGAAAAAAAGATCCTTAAAGAGGAGGAAATTTAGTAAAAAAACAGTTCCAATTCCCGGAACTGTAGCTCCATTATTTATAATTTTAATTTAACGCTGAAAATAGCCCGCCGCGCGCCATTGTTAGGTTGCGCGTACGGCCTCGAAAGCGAGTACGTCACTTAAAAAATTTTTTTTCAAGTACTTAAAGTTAATTGAAAAATCTAAAAAAATTATTGCATAATCTAAACACTTTAAAAAATTTATTCCCGTTGGAATTTTTTATAAAAACATATTTTTCAATATTCTAGACGATTGTTAATTAAGAATTTTTTTTCCAATTTCCATCATCCTTCTAAACTAAAAAAAATGTTTAAATAATTANAACCTTTTTTATTTTCTTTTTGTGTGTTAGTGTGTGCTTAGTTATATCCGTGAGTGAACCATGCGCTGGTACTATGTTACTTATTTCTTTTGACAAAACTGAACTATTATTAAAACTGGCTAAATCGGGAGTTGCATTAAGATTTTTGCATTACATTAAGATGGTATTCATGGACTGCACTATAATTATGTAAAAAAACAACTTTTTTATTGCAAAAAACAGTAGGTACTCATCCCCATGGGTAGACGTAGGCGTATCACATTTTGAATTAAATTGTGTGTTTAATATTTGTGAATGTCTGAAATATGTACTTATATCAGAATTCAAAGTGAAATTCACGCTGTTTTCAAAATTTTTTTCGTCAGCGATTTCTGATGCCACCTGTACCTGCAGATTTAGTTATGTTTAAGACCTTGAGCTTAAATAATTTCTTCGTTGAGTCTGACAGGAGGCAGCTAGCACACTGCCATGTTAAAAAATCATATCCAAATACCTATGTTATTATTAATAATCTTATAAATAATTATTTATTATTTTTGACATTACTATTTATTATATATTAATTATTTATTATAATTTAGTATAATCATTAAGTCCTGGTACAGAAGTGTTGAAAAATCTGAAATTCGAACATTTCGAGCATTAATGAGAAAATGAAAGAAACTTTTTATGACTACATATCCGATTCTTGATTTTCGCTATAGTTATTTAAATATGATTTTTGTTATCTTAAGAATCAAAATCCGAAATAAGGTGTCACTGGGTGACCCTAGTAATCTACAAAGTTTCAGTGTCAGGAATTTGAGGGTGATTTACTTCTTCTACACAAGAAATCTTAGCGCATAAACAGCGACAAGAATATTATAATGCCGGCTAATAACTATGCGATATCTTGCAAAATAATAAAAATAATATTATTCGTTTCTCGTTTGGTTTTTATCCATTTTGATTATAAACAAAAGAGAATTAAGGCCACTAATCAATATGTAGAAGTAAACCCAGATGAACCTAGCTTGATAATTACAGTCACGTTCATCAGGTGTATAATGATCATATTTTATGGTATAATTGCAAATTTGGCACCAAAAAAAAATTTTGATCTACTAATGCTCTAATATAATTTCTGTTCATGCTTATTACGAAATGTAACGGGCTCTGTGTATGTATGATACTATGAACGCTACCTATCATTACAGTTGAAACATTTATTCATTCTTACAAAATGAGTGACCTTCAAGGGACAAATTAGTTCGTGTTTTATACATCAAACAAAATCTTTTTTAGTTAAAAATTTATCAATGTCAATGTATTGACCGCGATACCGCAATAATTACTAGTACTACTATTAATAAGTGGGTTACACGACACACACCTTACAATAAGTAAATATTTTGAAATTTGAATCCGAGTCGGCAACGTCACGTTAAGCGAAATTTCGAGCTGGCTGGCGCGGCGACGCCAAATCATCGGTATAGTAAAAGCCAATATACAGCGCTGCGTATACACACCCTCTGGCGGCACCACTCGGCACTGCGATATGCTTTTTCAAACGTTTCTGAGGCAATTTGGTGACCATCTCAAAAATTGATATAGTAACCATAACTCCATCTACAGTTGATTGGTGTTAAAAATATTGAGAAACAAAGTGGCGACCGCATATTGGTCGCCAAATGTCGGTGGTCGCCACTTTAAATGTATTTTTGTGTTCATTGGATGCCAAAAGTGTTACAGGACATATATATATATATATATATATATATATATAGTTATAACTCTGCCATTGGTGATGTATATAGGCTCTCACTTAACACCAAGTGTGCCGTGAGCTCGTCCAAAAAAACAACAGCCGAGCTCTTCCCAATATTGTTTACACAAACTGGATTGAAAAAAAAAGCCCACAAGCTGTTCTTCATGCTTTCACTTTTTATTTCTAGACTAGATTCAGTCATCAAGGGATCCTATAATGTAGATGGCTGGTCAGGTGTGAGATGCTTTGCAGCTTTGTTGCTCACTTTGAAGCTTTGTTACAACTTTGATATGGATAGTTTGAATCGGAGGCCGATGGCGACTCACCTGAGCTGATAAAGCGTGATGTCACCGCGCAGGCGGCGCCGACGCGTCCTCCCGCCGCCGCTGCCGTCGTCGTCAGTCGTCCGCGGCGCGCAAACGCGAGCGCCGTTTTTGCGATTGTGTGTGCAAGGTCGCGCAACACTGTCTCGAGCCTCGACAGTGACTCGGCGTGAGTGTCGTGCATGGTGCTGAAGGCGCGACCGTACAGCATGAGCGAGGCCGAGGGCGGCGAGGAAGGCTCCGGCCGGCGCTGGCCCGTGGGCATCTTGCGTCGCAGCGGGGCCCGGGCCGCCCGCCGCGTGCTGCACGTCAAGTACCGGAGCGTGCCGCCCTCGCCCCCCGCGCCGCCCGACATCGACGACACCGTCTCCTGTTTCTGCAGGTGTGTCACTCCTCCACCGGGCCTCGTCTCCCGCGTCTCGTCGCTCGTCTGGAAACGGTATTCACACGTTTGTATCCTTAGTGCGCACCGGTCGCATCGAGCTCGTGCCGACTCGAGCCGCTGAGCTGTTCCGTACAGAACTTAGTTTTATAACGTGAACAGGATCCGGCGGAGCGTGTCCGCATCGCGCCGCCGGCCATGTTTCTTTCTTATATAAGTGATTAATGTTGTCGGTCGATAATAAGCGGTCACACCGGTTTTGTAGTAGTTGTTGTTGTTGTTGTTTCCGTGTTGTTGACGTATTTCGGGCCCGATAACTGCGACCCACTTGCTGTTCGAGCGCACAGAGCACACGGAGCTCGCTTATCGTGCTTATCGTACGTTATCGCTACACCTGTGTGACGTCAAGGCAAAAAACCTCGCCGCGCGTGTGCTTCGCTCCTGAATACAGGTTTATAAGAACGATAGTTTCCATAATGGTTTCAGTATCGGTATCAGTCATTTCGAATGTTATCAAAATGCACCTGGTAAATTGTCCTGCTCCACATTTACCAGGATAATTTGGGTGCAGGTGCGTAAATATTATGTCGTTCTGATGTTATTGGTCAGCCTTGCGCTCGAAAACCGTGACACTGGCATGTTGTATAGGACTGAAACGGGGAGTGTGCGTAGCTAGCTAGCAGTGATTGCTCCCACTTGACTCCGGCGCACTCCGCACTAATTGTGGCGACGCACACACACCCAACACTCGTGTGTACGGCGGACGGCTCCTACGCAACCAGCACGCCATGCGCCACTCACTGTGTCCTCGAGGAAAACATGTTTGCGCGACGTTTCAAAGTTCACTATAAAACTTTATTTACCCAAAATACTAACTTATTAATAAACGAACTGGTCACGATATCCTCCCATGTTGTTAGATTGAACCAGCGGCGCGGCGTTAACCGCATTTTCAATGTTTCGTTTTTTTCAAATCCAAACGTGGCGTGGATGATTTCATTTCGCTATACAATAGCGCCTAACGACAGCGGGAATTTCTTGTTTCGGAAAACCCAATTAAATTTAACACTATAAGTGTTTATAACTATAATAAACGAGTTTCATATTGGCCGATTAGAACAAAAGCTATTAGGAGAGCCTCACTTCAGGAATGTATCACCTGAAGTACGATTGGAAGTCAAAAGCTTACAAGAGTGGCTGGTAGTGGCGCGGCGGCGCAGCCGATTTCCCACCCGCCACGCTTTTTTTTTACAAAAATATTATTTGCTATTATTGATTAGTTGAATTTTCTACTTATAAAGGCGTGTTTTTAAGTTATTTAAACTATGATTTATTGAATATGGTATTACAATTAAACATCAACATGTCAATAATAAGCTGTTAACATGTACTTATTACCGTCCTGATGTCATTAGTTACCATCGCCACGTGCGTAGAGCACCTCTGTCCGCCGGCCTTCGATGGTAACTGTGCCACGTCACGGCGCTTGCTTGTTGTTTGGTGACAATAATGATCCTAATTGCAAGACCTGGTTTACATTACACAAATATTACATTACATTTATTTTAAGTAATTTCACTTATTTTGGGTCTTAATGACATGGCTTTGACCTTCCTGAACTGTTAAATGTTCTGAATCTCTATAAGTCTATAATCTTTTTTGAAGAGACCATCCCCGGATTCTTACTTACCTATTACTTACTTATCCAGTTAGATCTTACTGGGGCGATAACGTTAGCTTTGGACAATATCTACATATTTCCGTTCCGACATCTATATGAGACATATACTCGTATATGAGAGAGAGGATGAGTGAGTGTGCGTTGCGGCGCAGGCGACAACTGGAGCGTGATGCGGATCTGCGGACCCACTGCCCCGGCTAGGCGGCTCGCCCGATATTATTGTTCCTATCCTCCACTTCCACCATTGTTTTACATATTTGTATCGTATTAATAATAAGTGAATTTTGTTCTACAATGGTTGTCCCACCTCTGTAACCGGCACGCGTGATTGGCTTTCAGCAGATGTAGGCATGTCTGTGATGCCTACTCGTCGCAGCTCGCAGTAGCTGCTCGGAGTGTCCCAGATAGCGCATCGCAGTCTAGTATCGAATACTTAATTGGGCCTCTCACTCACCACTTGCCACTTGTATTCTAGAAGTTACATAATCATTCGTCACGTTTTCACATCAATTCGACTAATCTGAAGTATCTCGAATAATTTTTAATCGTATATTCGTCACTTCTTTTTCTAATAGTAATAGATTACTATTAGAATTTCGTAATGAAAATACCTATTTTAAGCTCACGAATAACTTCGACGATCAAGGAATAACTAATTTATGTGTATTGTCAATGGAAGGAATAACATCGAGTAATAAAAATAAAACCCGCAATAATTAAAACGAGTGTAATTACTATACAACGAAGCGGGTGACAGTATCCACGTTGTGATGTCCTTGGGCTCCGGTAGCCAATTATCCCCAGGTAGGCCGTCAGCTGGAGAACTTCGTGGAGGCAGTAGGGCTATAGCAAGCACGTAGGTTGCTCGACAAAGGTCACGTTTCAGAGCCGTCGTAAGTGTATCGTGCAGCGTGCTCGCGGTGCAAGTTCAATAACATGTTGTTGTTTGTTCCAGGTGAGTGTATGCTCGCTCGCTCGCCACAGTAAGTGTGACATAGTGTAAGGCGCATGCCGCCCCCCGCCCCCCCGCCCGCTTCCAGCCGCGTAACGAGTCCGAGAGCGAGTGACGTCACGGCCGTCCGGAGCGCGACAATACAATACAAACACACTAACTAACACGCTGCTCCTAATAAACTGCCAAATTCGTTTTGTAAGCGTCGACATCTCTGTGCGCTGTACGCCGATACAGCGTCAGCGCGGCTGCACGCTGCACGGAGACCGGGAAGGCGCCACCGCCACCGCGTCACTCGACTCTCGTACCGACTCACAACAATATACACGACCGTCTACAATCTACGCTTGGAAGCACACCTGCTTTTATACAATAAAGAACATCGCGACACTCTGTATGTAGTGAATAAGTGTATAGAAATGTTTATTAAATTGGATTATTATACCACATGTTCAAGTTTTAGGAAATTCTTTAATTTTGACGAAACACGTGTTTATAACTTAATCCGGCTGCATTTATTTTTATGCAATGGTGTAGTATTATTGAATATATTTGATAATTTTCAATTTTTAGGACCGTATTTAGTCGCACTTGAGCACGCGAAGGTTGTGATATTAATATTGTCTGTATTAGGAAGATTTCCCTTACTGCTTTGCTCGTACCTATCCTTCTGAAAATGGCAAAACGCAAGCAAATCACACTAGAACAACGAAGCGCTATTTGTACACTACGCGAGGAGGATACAGTCAACGACAAATCGGCAGAAGAAAAATTAGATTAGAATGAGGCGCATAAAAACTGGACCATAGTTCAATGGCAAAATGTCACTTATAATTTTGAAGTCCAGTAGATGCATGTTTGTCCGCCGGTCACAAGGAGAGAGGCCTTTGGAAGCACGTACAGCATCTACCATCAAACACGGTGGCGGTCATGTCAGGGATTGGGCGAGTTTTGGCAACAATAAGCCCGGAACTACCGATGAAGATGAAGAAGATAACCGGAAAACTCAATAAATAAGGGTATTTGAATTCTCAAAGATGCCGCCATGCCCAGTGGACTAAATCACATGGGTCCTGAATTCACTTTGTAACAAGGTGCGGTCTTAAGCGGTCGTCGAAGCTTTGTCAGAACTTTCTGAACAAGAAAACACGATGAAAATATTTTAAAAATTATGCAATCTCAATGACCTGACCTTTCTCGAATTGTCCCAGTGAAATTTCCTTCTTCTGAAATTTCTCATATAGAACTTGTTTGGGAAGAACTCGACAGAAGTTAAATGGAAATGGAAAAGTGCAGAATATTTCAAGAAATTATTGAACATATTGCCTAGAACATGCGAGAAGATAATAAACGACAAAGTGAATATTCATATAATGTGTTAAATTCTTATTTTGTTTATATTCGTTTTTGTTTCATTTTTAATTTGAAATTAAAATTAATAGAAATTGTGGGCATTTTTGTCTTTTATTAGATTTTACCTGTAAACGACCGCCACCACCAGTGTTTACACCAGTAAAATCTCAATATTTTGATAAATGAATAACGCCGATCGGGTGTCGTGAGTGTTCTGAAATGGTTCACGTAATGTACAGACCGCAAAATATAAACCACGAAGTTTTATGTTGAAATTATTGTCTTTGTAGAAATATTAAATAATATTTAGCAACGCGGGCGAGCCTCGCCTTGCCGTGACGTGACGCGAGGCGCTTTTGTCACGCATCAAACCATCGCAACCTCTCAAGGTTCATGAGCGCCTGGTAAACGAGCACTCAACAGGACAAAACATACTAGTATATTTAACGATATTATTCTTATACACGCCAATATAACTATTTTAAGTATTATTAACCTTCAACAAATTATCGCAGTTCTGAGAATGATCATTGCCGGATTAGAATAATATATTAGAATGTTTTGTTTGCCGCTAATTTTTAGCTTATATAACTCCGAATATTCCCGCCGTTAAAATATTTTGGATCCATTGTATAAAATATTTCAGTACTACGACTATAGTGCTGGTGTGAAGCCAGCATTATTTGCCTAGAGGTAATCCGTAGCGTGTGGCATGGCGACTATGGCTTACACAACAATTACAAGTAATCGCTTAGTTTCTTTGTTTAATTTCCTACTGAGACATACAAACATACAAGTCAGCTGATGGTGAGTGGCCGCCGGCGCTCATATACTTCAGCTATGCAAGGCTACAGCCACGGCACTGCTAGCCGCACACAAACTCAACTCTTTTCAACCTTAATTGATGAAGGTATGTGTGGGGGGAAGCTGTGGGTAACGTAACGCTCATGAAACACCGTGGAGAGGTGTTTATTCCACGTGGAAGGGAAGATTTGGTTTCATGTTGGAAGAGTTACTCTATTCTGGTGAAGCATAGTGCGATGCTAAAAGGGAGATGAACGGAGAAGGAGA